ATTATTTCTTAAGGTAAATACAGGTCGAATTTAAAATTATTTTACTGAATAATATTTTTTAAATATATATACCACTCCCAATTTATTTTATACTAGTAATTAAAAACTTTAACTTTATTATATTTATAATATAGAATTATTATTTTTCTAAATATAATATAACGGCGATTATGGTAAGGCCGGATAATATATTAATACTAACATTCTATAAAGTCTAAGAACTTAGTTCGAATCCGGGGTATAAAAGTATATAGTAATACTATATAATCTTCAACTCTAATAAACGCCTACGTATTTATAAATTCGAATTTTTTAAAATAATCTTATTAATATTAAATTAAAGCCGATTATATATAATCGGAAGAGATTTACTATTTAAAAAAATGTTCGGCTATCGCGTAATTACTTCTATCAATTTTCAATACGCTAATTATTAATACTTTTTCCTCGGAGGAAAACGTTTTATATATTAAACGGTCGCTCCAAACTATATATTAATAGTATTTAATTCTTTTCTACTATATTATATTAAATAGGAAGGTCTTTCTTACCGGTACTCGGTTTAAAAATAATAATTAAATTTAGGGCTACACGCCAGAATTTTAAAAACCGTTTAATTTTACTCCCAATTACAATATAATAGAATTTACCTACGACTATATTAATTTTATTCTTATAATTAAATTGTATTTATATTAATATAAACCTATACTTCTTGATAACCTTTACATACTAATAAAAACGGACCTCGCTATTATTATAAAGATGCTAATACAAAACTATAGGACGTAACGTAAATATATATTAATACCCGTATATATTTTAATATTAAATTCGCGTAATTTTAAATAAATATTGTTATACTATATATAATTTAAACTAAATATAATCTACCCGCCCCTATAGCGTTGTAGAAGGTCTAATTTCTCTTATATTATGTATAGGAAATAATCTTTAAAATAAGAAAAAAATAGTTCCCGAAATAAATAAAAGTCGAAAAACTTTGTAAAATAATCTTATAATTCCTATTTATTAAATTTCCGAATAAAATAAATTTTATCCGAATTTTTTTATTATTAAAAATAATATATACTTTATCGAATTCCTCTTGAAGAATTTTAAGCGTATACTTTCGAAAGATATTTAACCGTTTTTATAACGTTTATAAACTATATAAAGAAATTATAAAACTACGGTTTTAGAAAAAAATTAATAGTTCTTTATCGGTTACTAATAATTCGAAATAAATTACTTCAACTTATTCGCAAAGTTTATCGGTAGGAAGAATTTTTAGTCCTTATTGAAGTATAATTTTTAAAGCTTTAAAGAAGCAGCCTAACGTTAAAATATTCATTATAACGCTAAATTACTTCTCCAAACCTTTTAAAATATTATTACAAGAGAATTTATCTATATATATTTAGAAGATGAAATCTATATAAGGGCGGAGGTTAGTATATACGCGAATTATTATAAGAAAGTAATCTATAATAGGGCTTTAAAATATTATACGATCTATTTAATGAATAATTAATACTTCGTAGTTATATTAAAGAACGGGCGACCTTTCTTATATTTGAGTATAACTTTCCCGGGAGTATAACCAGAATTAATTAACGTATATCGGAAGTAATTAATTATAATATCCTAAACTAATTTGAGTTCCCTTATAAAGTACCTAGTACGGACTCGTATAAATAAAGCTCTATATTTCTATATGGCTACTCAAAGATTAAAGATTATTAGTAATATATTTTCTATACTTTATTTAATTATATTCCTTAATAAATTTATGATATATATATATATATATATATAGAAAATATATATAACAGCGTTTAAAAAGATAACCTTTCAATAAATATTTTAGTTTTTATACTTATTTATTTTTAATAAAAATATAGATTTTCCAATTGGGTTTTCTTTGAAAAAGTAAATTATTATTTATATAAATATATAGATATATATAATTAGATTTTTAAAATTATAAAAATATTTTTAGAATTATCTTCGTTAATATTAAGAATAATTATTTTTAAAACTTTCGTTTTATAATTCTTATAAATTATATATATTAATTGTTTTTATATAATAAAGATTATTATTATAATAAATAATTATATATTTATTCGAATATTTATATATATATATATATATATATATAAATAATTTAATATAATTAGCTTCGTTATTAACATACTTCTTTAGTTTAAGGGTATTAAAAATTATATTCTTTAGGTTATAAGAATTAAAATTTATTCTACCCTTATAGAAATTTTAAAAGAATTTTTAATAAAAAATAAAAGTAATAAAAGCGCCATCGTTAAATTATAATTAATAATATAGAACGGTTCTTTTTATTAGAAATAATATAAAGCCTTAGCGCTTTTAATTTAATAAAACTTATAGGATTTATATAATTTTAAAGGTTAAATTATCAAGATTTTTATTATTAAGCAATTTTTTACCTTTATTTTTAAATAAGATATAGAAATATATTTAAATAAAATTAAAGTAATACTTAATAAATTAAAAGCTAGGGAAATCGAATTACCTCTTTAAATCTTTATATTTTAAATTCTATTTAATTTGGAATAAGGGTTTAAATGTTAATTTTTCTCTATAATTAAATAATTTAAAAAGGATCTTAAAGCTTATACTTTAAAAATACCAGTTCGTCTTTATTAAAGGAATTTAAGCGTAAAGATTCTAATTATAATAATATTCTTTTTATTAATAAATGGAATAATAAAAAGTGTTTAAATCTTATAATAAGAATTCTAATTCTTTTTAAATTTTAAAAGTTTATAAAAGGAAGAAAATTTAAAAAGTAATTAAAAAGGTTATTTCCTATATTTAATATAATAAATCTAATTATAAGTATATTAAATATTTTCTTCTTTATTCAAATAAGGTTCCTAAATATTTTAAGAAAATAAAGAAATATAAGACTTTTAATATTTCTTTTAGAATTTTAAAAATCGAAGATAATGAATTTATTAACAGAATTTTCGAAAATATTTAAATATTAAATAGAATTACACTTAATATTCCAAACGTTATTATTCAAAGCATTTAATTTATTAAATTAGAAGATATTTATAAGTAGATATTAGAATTAAAAATCAAAAGCTTATTTAATAGTTTTCTTAAGTTATATTATTCGGCTACGTTTAATAAAAATAATATAAATAATTATAAAAATATTTCTACAATCTATTTTAAATCTACCACTTATACTATTATTAATAAGAATTTCTTTTATACTTTTAAAGAAATTAAGAAAATATTTTCTTAAAAAGGCTATTTAAAGGTTTATATTAAATATTATAAATATATAAATAAGTCTTTGAATTATTTTATAAATAACTAACTTATATAATTAAATTATTTTATATTATAGTATATTAAAAATAGTCCTTTTAATTCTATATAATACGTATAAATTAATTGATTTAAAAATATTATTTAATTATCTAATATAGAAAGCGTTTATTGTTCATCAAATATAATTGTTCTTAATTAAGGGTAATTACTAAATATTAAATAGTAAGACGGAATATATTATTCGTATAGAAATAATATATATATATACAAAAATTAGGATAAAATTCGTAGTAAAACAAAGTTAGAGTTTCTTATATACTAAATATATTTAAAGAACTATTGATATAATACAATTATATTCCCATCTTACGCTTCTATAGCGAAATCGCCTTAACCGCTCTACGCTACTTAATATCGGAGATAAAAATATCTTCTATCTCCTCAAAATTATTAAACGTTATTTTATTTATAATATCGTCTTTCTCATCCTCTATCCAAAGAATCTATATTTCTTCTACCTCCTCTTTCTTCATTTTCTTCTCCTTTAATTCCTTCTTAAAAAAAATATTTAATACCTTACCCAACGTAACAATAATACGTATAAACACTATTAAATTACTTTAGGTAAAATATAACGTATTCGGCCGTCGAATATATAATAGCTTTATTAATATATTTAATATATTCGTCGTTATTATATTCCTCTTCGAATAAATAAACTATAATAACAATTACTTATTTAACTATGGTAACCTTAAAAATAATAATTTCCTATACCCTATTCTTAAAGGTCTTGCTAACTTCTTATAAACGTATAAAGATTTATTAGAGCCGATAATATTAAATTACTTCTAATATAATAATATAATTTTAATATATTATATTATCTTTTTAAATTTATTTAATAGAGCCCGTAATATACTCTATAATTTTAGTTAATAAATAAATAATTTACTCTTTAATATTTAACGCCTCGCTCTATTAAATTGGGGGCGTTGGTAATAAGCGGCCAATAAATTAGAACGGCGACAATATAATAAGGATTCGTATAGGGAGTAGTAGGAGCGCTATAAAAAAATTCGGAAAGAGCGACGAAAAAGTGGCAAAAGAGTGGAGAGAGAATAATAGGGGAGCGGTAGGGAAGTATATACACTAATTATACGATATTAAAGTATAAAGGTATAAAAAGAAAGTAATTAATTTAACGAAGAGGAATGTACGTGCGTTTATATGCGGAGTATTAATAATTTCTCCGATAAATAGTTACAATTGAGAGTTCGGACCAATTTTCAATTGAGTATAGCCAATATTTGGGCCACCGTACAAGTGCCTTGATTGCTTCATCTTTGGAGGCCGTCGAACACCCACTTGACCTCCGCCAGCATGAAACGACGGGCGTGGAGCTTGCCCATTCAGGCTGGCAAGGCAACTGCCCACGTTCAGGCACAACCAAGCTAGTATGATACCTGCCTCCGGTCTGAAGCCGACTAAGCGCTTCGCTACCCAAAAGCAGCCTCATCCCGCCCGACAAGCAAAGCAAGCGCAAGAGATATATGCGTATGCGGGTTACAGCCCTGTTTGTAACCTCGATGCAGCGGTCTGGGGATAATGAACGGTGGTGAGCGAGCCACGTAGGAGGAACCCCGGACTAGAAAAGGGGGATGAAGTCGTATCAAAAGGCTTGACAGGCGGCTGGGAGGCCTATATAACGCAGCTTTCTCCAATGAAACAGTTTTCCATGCGCCGTCGAAGCTGGGACCCGGCAACAATTCCATGCTGCCCACAAAGTGGGACGAGATGAGGAGTCTGACGTGCAGAAGTCCTGGACTAAGTATGCGCCACATGCTTATGGGCTCGGGATGGAACGTCGTCATGAAAGTGGCGGTAAAGGTGCCTGACTAAGGTACGTGGTACGTGGCCCGGGACCAGACTCGGCCGGCGTGGCATCGGCGCGGCGTGGCTGGGGAATTGGAGACAGTCCCAAGACCTCCATGATGATGGCTTTGATATGAACTTCCAGGTGTGGATGAGTGCGGGATCTGGGCCGTCACAAAAAGACAGCACAAGGGTGGTGAGGTTGTGCGGCGGAGCAAGTGCCCTCGCACAGCAGGACCCTCTGATATGTCTCTGGGATGGAGAAGAAGGCGCGGACACACAGACGGGAGCTTGTCCGACCCAGATGGATCCACTCCCCACAAGCGCCGGCCGTGTTGCTGGACCCTTGTGTTGACTTGTCGTCCATCTGCCGGCCGGGACGGAAAGTGTGATTCCAGAAAAGAAAGAAAAGAGGACAGATAACCATCGGAGGATTTCGATATACCGGCGGCAGAGACAAGCCGTGGTAGCATCAAGCGGACATAATGACAGCATCTGATTGGGTCGTGAGGCAGTCTGAGTCTCTGAGAGGGTGGGTGAGCTGGCATTCACAACGTTCAGGTAGCAAAAGTATCTCGTGGGGGTTCTTTGGTGTACGAGTACATGCTTCAGGTACCTGCTTCTGAAAAGGCCAAAAGCAGGCTCACGGGGTGGTCTTGGATCGTGGACGACTCGCATTGGACGATTCGACGGCCGGGTTGCCAAGAGCCGGGCCCAAGCAATGGGAAGCTGTGGGAGATGCAAAAGGGCGGGGGGCGAAAATGCAAGGCCAGCTCAGCAGGCTGTGTACATGCTCAGCGTGTGGCCTATAGGGTTGTCCAAGGACATCTCATGCCTTGTTGATAGGAAGAACAGAAAGACAAACACGATAACAGAGACGGAAAGGGGAGGTAGGTATAAGGCAAGCCTCGTATAAGCGGGAGAGATATGTCTGTAAGTGAGGGGGTCTGGGGGTGTGGTTCAAAGAGGAAGAGGTAGCTCACAGCCGCCGCCATCTGGAATTGGGATATTGGGCATCTGGTATCTCCTCCAGCCTTGCTTGACTCTTTGATACTGATGGGATCAACACCGAGCATGAGACTGCAACTGCGCATATCGATAGATTGGACGAGTATGAGCTAGCAGTGTGGCCGGTGTTCCGTAACCTCGTAACCATATCATCATGATTTCTCGTACTATAACTCGCTCACTCTTGGCTCGGACACTAGATTTTGTTTTCTCGGAAACCGGTGCAGTCCAGAAAAAGTGTTGAAGGGGCGGTGGACAAGCATGAAAGCTGACGAGTTGGAAGCAAAGACGAGAGTGAGAAGAGAGGACAAGAGAAGCGGTGGACTCAGATGAAGCCATGCCTTCCATGCCTTCCATGCCAGACAAGCCGATGCTGATGAGATTGGGCACTCGTCCGCAGTCGTCAGGCACAGCAGGAAAGAGCAGATATGCGTCATGGGGAAAAATGTTTTTTTTTCTGCGCTTGGAGAGGCAGGAGGGGATGATCAAGCTGAAATACCGTGTACGATATCTCGGCGTACGTCGTCAGTATCAAGTTTGTCATGGGACTCCATCTCGCCCATTCAGCTCGGGGTGACTGGCGGCAGTGTCCGTCCATCCAAAGAGGTACTCGTCTGGGCTAGAAACGCCTCAGACCCCATTCAGCGATTAGCAAAAATACCAGCGATTAGCAAAATTTTAATGTACATTACCCGCCTACAAATTTACTAGCAAATCGACGTGGCCCGGTGTAACTGCATATCGCGAACAGGGTGAAGGTATTCACACATTGATTCCTAACCACACAGCACGTGCATCTAAAATTTAAACGCGCCAGATTGTTCGCCTTCTCTTTCTCTATCTGCTGATATATTCATCTTTTTCATATCCTTCATTTTCGAGGTGCAAATCAAAAAGCAGTACAAGCTAAATTTTTTTGTTAATCGCTAGTATTTTTGCTCATCGCTGAACCAGACCCCATGCGCAGCATGGGGTCTGAGGCGTTTCTAGCCCAGACGAGTAAGGTAACATCCTGTCCACGACATGCACATCTGATGGAAAGCATCCGAAGCAAGCAGACAGAAAAAGCCGGAGAGACAAGCGCAAGCGTGAACGCAAGCGCGAATGAAACGAGCACCTTCCCTCACGTCAGGCACATGTCGGGCCGTGGCGCGAAAAGAGGGAAAGAAGTGGGTGAGTGGAAGCGGGGCAATGGAGGGGGTCGCTATCAAAGTCCCAAGGCTCCTTCTTTCTTTTTGACACAAATAAGTGCAAGTGGAAGAAATTGAATGAAGATGCAGGACAGGAAATGAGGCAGGAGAAGTGCAGTTGCGGCATGGACCTCTGATATTGAACCATGATTGTCAAGATGTTGGATGGAGAGGAACCTGAAGAGCAAAAGAGCTTCAAGAGAAAAAGAAGGGACAGGGATTGTAGCGTGGCAGAGAAACATGCCAGTGGACCGCTCGCTGCAAGTGTGCTGAATGACAGTGAGAAATCCACCAATCTCCAACCTCACAGGGCATGACTCCAACTTGCAGGCACGAGCTCCAAGGTCAGGGTGTCCCGCATTCCCAGCCGCCAAACCTAATTTGGGAACAAGTGGGTCTGATGGACCATCGTCCATCCGTCCCTTACCCCACGTCCGGTACAGTACATCCCTCAAGTCACTTTGATCACCTCTTCTCTGGTTCGACAAACTGTCACGGCAGGAAGAGGCGCCAGGCCGGCCAGGGTGCAACGAGACACACCTCTCTCTGTTGCGCCCTCTCGGCTCTCACTCTTTCCAGTTCGGTGGGATTGTTTGTGGGAAAAAAGGTGAAATACGGTAAATGCCCGATATCCGTCTCATCCACAAGATGGTAACTTACGACAGAGGCAACCCAAACAACAATCATCACCATTTGTTTTATTTACTTCCAGTTCTTGGGCAGTACAACCCAGAGAGGGAATACTTCATATTTCCAATATAACCGCCGGGAGGATCCACAAGACACTCTCGCCCTGTTACAAGCGCTGTCCGTTGCCCTGTCTTCCTGTCTCCAACCCTGTCGTCGCCCTGTCAGCCGGAGAGTCCATCCAGTGTCGCGACCATCCCGTCCCCGTCCAGCCGTCCTCGTGCCCGGCTGCAGTCCCGTTCCTCGCCCATCGCCTTCTTCAGTTAGGTTGGGTCTTGTTCGGATCGCACTCTCCCCCCTGAGGATCCATCCAGCTAAGCCCCAGAGAGCCATATCGACCAGGGCCATCAGGGCATGGTGTGGTGTCAGAACTTTTCCTAGCGACCGATCAGCATCCTTTTCCTCTTGCAGCTTAGTTCTGGTTCACCTTGCGTGCTTGCTTTTGAGGCGAGACCATCAACGGCTCCCCGTCCCTGTGAGGTCTTCAAAGACCATAACCGTCAGGGCAACAAACTCCGGGATCGCTGTCAAACATCCATCGCGTATTCTCGACTGGACCGCACAGCTGACGGATCCCCCCGGGCGCGGACCTCTATCCCTGCTCGCTTGTTCGTCTCGATTCGCGACATCAACCACGGCCAGGGCTCGCCTTGTTCCCGTTCCCAAGACAAATATACCTACATATCTCTTTCCTAGTCTTCATGAGCATGACCTGTTATACTCCTCTTTGATACCCCAAAACCAAACCGTTCCAAGCTGAAGGTGTTGATATCTCATCCAATATCTTAGCGCCTTGTCGAGCCGTGCCGAGCATCCCCGTCGCTGTTGTTGGAACGCCAACCTCTGGTCAACCACTTGGACTCTTTTGTTGCATGGTCCCATTATGATATCCATGCAGCGCTCTCTTTCCTCGCCCATCAACGTTCAATCGTCGCTGCGTATGTCGGGGAAACCAGAGGATCATTCCCCAAGGTTGAGCTCTCTAGTCCCGTTGCGCTAACCCATGTCCTTCTCACGAGTAGCTCCATCCCCAGTACCGTCTCCTCCGGCAGCGTCGAGGTCGCCAACTCCGTCCCCTTCGGAGAGTCATGTGGACGCCGCACACTCACGAGCACATCGAAACAAGAGCCCGTCTCGCGCGGCCAAAGACGCAAACATGAGCCGCCGTAGCGACGACCTGTCTAGGCGCGGACCTGGTCTGCAGATGCCTACCACTCTTCCCAACCGTCCAATGCCCACCATCGACCAGGACATAGAGCCGTCGCCAGCACCTACTCCCAAGGACTCGTCCGATAGTCTCAACACCAATATTGCAACCGCCTCTTTGTCCTTGTCGGATGAGAAACCGGCCAAGAAAAAGTTCCCGCGGCCCTTGTTGTCTGATGTTTCACTTTATACCCAGCCCTTTTGGAGCCCAGAGAGTGAAGGAACAACCTTGGAGGAGCTGGCCCATGTTGTTCGCCTGTCCAAGTACCAGGAGCGCAAGCGCGCAAACACAAGGATTCGCCTGCAAAGGAACCTCGTTTCGACGGCACTTTCTGCCCGTCTCATGAGGTCTGGTGAGATGGCCCATCGCAGCCTGGTGGATTGCTTCCGTGGAGACGACAAGAAGACGTTTGCATCCTTGTACAATGCAATCATCGACGTCCGCAAGAGTTGCGACGAAACCCGTCGATATGCCATGCTCGAGCCCGATATGGAATTGGCGCAGGCGCCAGGTCTCACGTCAACCGAGAGCGTTGACACACCCACGGGATCCGTTGCGGGCACCACCCCAGCACCAGGGACTGTTCCATGCTTCCTCAACGAGCTGTCTTCCGAGTCGCGAGAGACTTTGTTGAGTGTTCTTGATCAAATCAGGACGAATCCCGACTATTTGGCAACGAGAATCAGTTCCTTAAAAAGCACCGAGCTTGCGGCGCTGACGAAGTTCCATCAGACCATGGAGCCAATTGAGTCGGTCCTTCCGTATCACAGCCGACCAGCTGGTCGTGGTACTTCGGCTATGTCGGGCTCTTCGAGTGCTGTTGGTTCTACCTTCAGCAGCTCCTCGAGCGCAGTGGGCGCCAATCGGCAATCGGCCCAGGAAAGGAGCGCCATCGAACGACTTCTGTCCTTCCAGAGACATGATCCCATGTCGGCCTTGATCTATACTTGTTTCGCTAACTCTGCAGGTCCCGACAGCGCCGAGGACCAGCGCAGGACAGCGATTTGGGCCAATGTCTGCGCTCGGTTGATATCAAACCCGGCTACTGGCAGTGAACAGACCGTCATGTCCATCTGCAATGTTTGGGTTTCCATGCGCGGCTGGTCCGGGAAATCCAACATGGAATGGTATCTCATGAAGATCCTGGAAGAAGGAGCCTTTCTGCTCGACCGAGCCGAAGACCAACATGGGACCAGGTTCAATATTTCGGATTGGAGTTCCAAGGATCAGATTGCCGCAGAGGAGTTTTATGCCAAGGCTGTGGACGAGTTGTTCGAGGTTATCGACGATGAAGACAACACCGGTATTCCCGAGGGACTTATCGAGCTAGGGAACGAAATCATCAAATGCCTGGAAAAGAAGTACCTCGAAGCTACCCGCAAATGGCTTGTGGCCAAATTCTTGTTTTCCACCTGGCTGCTCGGAGTTATCATCCACCCAGAGGCCTATGGGATGATGGCGGACTATCACATCACTGAATATGGGCGACAGAAGATTCTCAAATCCGTTGCCATGAATGCACAAAAACTCGTTATTGACATGCTCCATAGCAAAACTCCGGTGTCTATCCCGCCAAAGATACGAGGACATATTGAGAACATACAGAACCGGTTTAGAAACACAAAGTATCAACCCAAGACTCGCCTCTTGCCTGCTCGATCCATCACGTCCCTTCGAGAAACAGCAGAAGTCCATCCATATTTGGTCGTTAGCCCTGCCGATCTCGCTACCATTGCCAACGCCCTCTTCCCGGATCGAAGACCAGCCTCAGTTCACTCTGGAGGTCGCCGCTCTGGGGCGCCGTCTGTGTCCAATTTCTCCATGGTATCTCAACCCATGTCTGTGAGGACAGCCCCTAGCACCCAGTTTGATGCCCTGTCAATTGTCAGTACCAGCGCCGAATCGATAATCAGCGATGTAACAACATCCCGAGAGCCCCTTCTCGAAGAGGGCCCTGGTTACTCTCCTCCGACTTCAAGCGCTCCAAGCTCTTCGGTCAACTATGAGGATGACGGGTACCGTCTTCGACTCGCTTTGCATGAAATGTCTCAGGTCCTCGGGCAAGATGTGTTGAACGGCTCCTGCCACCCTTGCGCCGAGCGGTGGGCAGTTTTGTTTATCTCGGGCAACGGCAGTCAACTCTCAACACACATGACGTTTGATCCCGATGATGAGGTCGATGAAGAGGCGACTTCCTCCAACACCGATAGCGAAACCGACGAGACTGACAACGAACGGCCGACGTTGTACAAAGACTATCACCAACTTCGAGACGCGATCCTAAAGTTGGTTCAGGAATATGAGATTCCTCAAAACTTGGAGAACAGTGGCACGCGAAAGCAAACCTTTAGCAACCGAGCGTCTACCCTCAAGAAGTACAGGTCCAAAAACCGTATCGTCAGCAACATGGGCAGCCGAAATCCATACAATAGTTATCGTTCACGAGCCCCGAGTGTTACCAGCAGTTTGTCCGACACTTCCAGCCGGGGAAATGGCAAAGGGAAGGAGTTACCAGAGGCCGTGGAACCCACGTCACCCCTTATCGCCATGCTAACAGCCGCATCCTCGCAATCACGAGCGCAATCGGATTTTGTCAACGCTCACCTTTACTGGAGGACACTCCAACAACTCAACGCCCTTACATCCGACTCTCTGCGCAAGGACGGGTTCGCAACATTGCTAAACATTTTCTCCCGCGGCCCACGAGACTCAATCCGCAAGTCCGCCGCCGCCATTGAAGACTACGATGCATGGCTTATCTGGCTGAAGCAGAGCCAGGAGCGCGCCGAGGGTCTCATCGATTCAATGATGCGCCGGCTTCGTGCGCTTCGTGACAAGATGTGGTACGTTACAGACGTACGCAATTCCGCACCTTATGACGAATCTCGGAATCTTGCAGTCGCACTCAAGACCATGGGTATGCCACATCGTTGGAACTCGTTCCAGCGGGCTAAGAGCAGGATGCAACGTGGACCAGCTTCCAGCTACCTCTTCAAGACCGAATCCCAAATCTTGGATATTCTCGCGGCACCCGAAGAGCAAGGTGGACCCAACAAGCTCCGTGACGAACAGGCGGAGAAAACTGCCAGGTGGCTGCAGCAGCATGAGGTCGAGAACTTCTGTTGTGGCGAAGAAAGAATCCATCGCTTCTGCTGCGAGGTCGACAATTGTATCAACAAATTGCTCGGTGACAGCATTGTCGATGGGCCGGTTCTATGGTCCAGTGAGCTTTTCACGCGGGATAGGCGAAACCTTGAGAGCAAGCAGGTCAACCGCCGTGACCGAGACTTTGACACACAGTCAGTCTCGTGGGATGACTCCATCAGCGTTATCAGTGACCCTGAAAGGAGATTCACCCCGGGGATGCGGGGCCGGTCATCCAACAACAACCTCCGAGCTTTGTCCGGTCACAATTTGAGTCAGCTGTCCTTCGATTCCTCCAGCCGCTTTAGCTACTCAAGAGCCAGCACGGCGATATCTGAGATTGACGGCTCAGACTATTTTGGTGCATCGTCTCCGGTTCATCAAATCGATTCTCGAGAGACGTTCTGGTCACCTTTTCACCACCGTCCTACATCCCCGAGTACCGTTACGTCCAGAGCTCAGTCGCCAACCACCAGTGTAACCAACTTCTCCGGCTCCTTTAACCCTCCCAACCACCATGCACTTTCGTCAAACTCTCAGCACTCGATAGGTCGGTCTGGCGCCTCTGTATCATCTTCAAACGAAACCATCTTCCAGCAGCGCCAGTCAGAGGAGAAGGCTCGCTTCCTCGGCGAACTTCGCCAGACACTGACCAGTCTTATTCTGTCCGATCTTGGTAACCTCGTTTTCTCTCGCGGTTCGGAAACGGACGCGTGGTTCGAAGGCCTAGGTCAGGATTGTATCGATCGCCGAGAAGCCATCCAGCGCCGCAACCGTGAGGCCCTGGGCAAGGAGAAGCGTAAGTCCGGCAAAGGTGGCCTCAAGCAACGGATACTTGAAAGGAAGAAGAGCTACACCGACCTCCGCGATGGAGTAGGCGAAAAGGGGACATCCGAGACACAAAGTCCCGTTGCCGACGCAGGTGGTTCGGGCAGTGTTCACGGAAACGAGAACACTGCCTCCAACGAGCCCTTGTCCGGTCAGCGGTCTAACCGAGACGGGAAGAAGGAAGCAATGCCTGATTTCCCGTTCATGAAGTCCTACCAGAGACTATTGCGGATGTTCTGCGTACACCCCAACCCATATGTTAAGCTCAACGCTCTTCATGAGCTACAACACTTGATCAGTGCATCCCTCAATTCGGGATCCCGGCGCTCCCGATTGGCATGGGCGCGGTCTGATCTCGGCTCTGCATCTTCGGCCACCGAGGAGCACGGGGTTCAAACCCGTTCGCAGCCTATCGACGACGCGATTGACAGCTTCAAGGAGCGGCGCTCTCACGCGCTCATGCAAGCTCCAGCCTTTTCAGCAGGCAGTCATGGGCATAGTGGTAGAGTGCCGGGCGGCGGACGAGACGCCGACACCCGCTCCGTTGTGTCGGTCTACCCTGCCAACACGGATGCCATTGCCAATGTCCTGCAGAAGCTCTTCCGTGATTCATCTATGCGTCCCCAAACACTTTTCCGCGACTTGCAGTTCATCGCCGCCTTCGTTTCTCCCACCATGCTTGACAAAACAGAACGAGGCAAAGCATTCTGGGACGCCGGACTTGCCGCACTCAGTCTCAAGCAAGAAGTCTGCCGGACAATGGTCGAGGTTGCAGACGAGGTAGTTAAGAACTTCACCACGACTCGCAACGATGCATACGACCACCGGGCCGGTAGCGGAGCAGGAGAAGAGCCAAGCGGTACGCAAACACCCACAGCCGACAATCCATCGTCCCCGTTCAACTCGCCACCATCCCCGCTTCCTCTCACCACTCACTCCCTCGCCGACGCTGCGCGCATGTGGACCATCACGGCCAAGGAAGGCGATCCCACTGCGCAGCGCGAGCTGGCTATCTTTTACCTGTCCAACCCTGAGCTGGTCGAGCGGACTACCCTGCCGCTTAGCAAGCCGCGGGAGGTATTCAAACAAGCTGTTATTGACAAGTACGGCGGCGGTGGTGGAAGGTCTGGTCCTGGTGGAAGCAGTTCGGATGAGAGCTCAAGATTTGCGGGAATGGGGATGGGTGATGTCAGGAGCGACCCGGCGTTGATGTGTTTGGCTATTCATTGGATGGGAGCGGCGGAGAGCGGAGGGGACGAGTTGGCGAAGACTTTTATGGCGCAGCAGATGCGTTGATGTTTTGGCTCCAGGGACGGAGTGAGTCGAGGCATGGGCTTCAACGCCTAGGCCGTACGCCTAACGTGGTGCGTGTGTGTGTGTTGCTTGCACAGAAGCCGGACACTTCTGGAAGTTGGTCCGGCACGCTGTTGTTGTTGCATTTCTCTCTCCTCCTGGTTTGGTCTTGATGGATTTTTCTTTTTCGCTATTAGTTTTGGGTTCCCCCTTGCTATTTTGCATATACCATCTGCTCGTCTACATACCACCATGTACACTCATAACCGTCATGTTTTCTATTCTTTTCTTGATGAACCTCAGAGTTCAACATTTTTGGAAAGCTGCAGTGCAGCCTCGGCTCGGACCTTCTGTTTTCTTGTCGTCCTCAATACCCCTTTTGCGTATACCATTTCCCATCATCATCATCATCATCGTCGTCGTTTGTTTTTGTCGGTCATGTCACGTCATGTCACACAGTGTTTCTTGTACAGGTTTCTCTTGTCTTGGGTGGTTATCTGCTGCTTTTGTCCTTGTTCATCCGGCCGCTTGAGTGCCTACCATGTTATGTACCAGGAGGGAGGGAATGCCAGCCAGCAATGACAATTTTGTTGACGGCGCACGCACACGCATACGCATAACTACTAAGATGATTGTGGGGATATGTATAGTATTATGAGCTATGAGCCATGAGTAGTAGGAAGGAAGAAGGGGTCACTACTGGGTAGTGAAGGGGAGGAGAGGAAGAATGGAAGTGAATAAAGATATAAACGACCGCTTTGGTTCATGATACTGCCGAGCTTGGTGACCGCGCCTGTTGTTATCGCAAAGCTCGAAAAGCGCTGCTGGATATCTCCCTTACAATTGGCTTGATTGACTCCCAAAAGAGTAAGCCAGTATTTCGCTCCGCTCTATCATCCGGAAAAAATCAAGGTTTCTTCCATCGGTTTAGAAATGGGGAAGATGAAGGCGAGTGTCAACAGGCGGAGGAAAAGGAAGATGGGATAATGGGAAGATGGGAGGAAAGAGAGGGTTAGGGTTTGTGCGCTTGTGTAACCGAAGTCCGGCGGGGTGGTGGGGTTGACTCAATGGCTCCAAAACAAGCAGGCGGCGACGAATGGCAGAACCGTTGCCGCCGTGGATTTTGAGTCATCCGTTGCCGGCACCGGGACTGGGGCGCGCGGTCGGCCGCTATGGAGTGCCGCCGTTGCAGTGTCTCGAAAAGTTACAAGTGGATTGCCTAGATCAGAGGAGTCCCCCGTCCCCCGTCTCCGTTCTCCGTCTCCGTCTTGCGCCAATCTCCCAAGACTCGACGACCCCCAATCAGCCCAACATGCCTACCATTAACGTCGACAAGTACCGCCTCTTTGAGGAACTTGGTGAGCAGTGAGTTCCCCCCCTTCACATTATCACGGTTACCCCACCATGGTGTTTTGATCACAACCACTTACACACGCTTTGCGCCAACCACCACAGGTTCACTCCCGACACCTTCCAACAGCTCTGCTTCGAGTTCGGCATCGAGCTCGACAAGGACACCGAGGAGGATGAGACGCGCCCCAAGGATCAGGCCCCCGAGCTGGCCATCGAGATCCCCGCCAACCGCTACGACATGCTCTGCTTCGAGGGCATCGCCATGTACCTGAACATCTTCCGCGGCAAGCAGACCACCCCCGACTTCAAGTTGCTCGACATCCCCGAGGACAAGATGCAAACGATCACGGTCAGCCCCGAGACCGAGAAGGTCCGCCCCTACGTCGCCGGCGCCATCCTGCGCAACGTCAAGTTCACCCCCGAGAGATACGAGTCCTTCATCGGCCTGCAGGACAAGCTTCACCAGAACCTGGCCAGGCAAAGAACCCTCGTCTCCATCGGCACCCACGATCTCGACACCGTCCAGGGCCCCTTCACCTACGAGGCCCTTGCCCCCAAGGACATCAACTTTGTCCCCCTCAACCAGACCAAGAAGATGAACGGCGAAGAGCTGATGCAGTTCTACGAGTCCGACAAGCACCTCGGCCGCTACCTGCACATCATCCGCGACAAGCCCGTCTACCCCGTCGTCTTCGACGCCAACAAGACCGTCTGCTCGCTGCCGCCCATCATCAACGGCGACCACTCCAAGATCACGCTCGACACCAAGAACGTCTTCATCGAGATCACCGCCACCGACCAGACCAAGCTCGACATTGTCTGCAACATCATGGTCGCCATGTTCTCCCAGTACTGCGAGGAGCCCTTCACCATCGAGCCCGTCAAGATCGTGTCGGAGCACAACGGCACCACCCGCGTCACCCCCAGCCTGCACACCCGTGTCATGGACGTCGAGGTTGACTACCTCAACCAGTGCTGCGGTCTGCAAAAGTCGCCTGAGGAGCTGTGCAAGCTGCTCGGCAAGATGGCTTATACTGCTGTCCCCGACAAGGAGGACGCCAATATCATCAAGGTCTCTGTGCCTCCTACCCGTGCCGATGTGTTGCACGCCTGCGATGTGGTATGTCCTCCCTTTGATCCTTACTTGACTTGTGTTACAGTACCTAACCCTTTTGTCACAGATGGAAGACGTCGCCATCGCCTACGGCTACAACAACCTCCCCCGCACCTCCCCCAACCAAGCCTCCACCATCGGCAAGCCGCTCATGATCAACAAGGTCTCCGACATTGTGCGCAACGAGTGCGCCATGGCCGGCTGGATCGAAGTCATGCCCTTGATCCTCTGCTCGCACGAGGAGAACTTTGAGTGGCTCAACCGCGTCGACGACGGCCAGACCGCCGTCAAGCTCGCCAACCCCAAGTCCGTCGAGTACCAAGTCGTGCGCACCTCGCTGCTGCCCGGTCTGCTCAAGACTTTGCGCGAGAACAAGTCGGTCCGTTTGCCGCTTAAGATCACTGAGGTCGCCGACATCGCGTTGAAGGACGAGACCAAGGAGCGCAAGGCGCGCAATGAACGTCATTTCGCGGCGGCTTTCTATGGCAAGACTTCTGGTTTCGAAGTCGTCCACGGCCTTTTGGACAGGATCCTGTCCATGTTGAGGGTCAGCTTCGTCACGCACGAGGAGGACCTCCACGGCAAGAGCATCGATTACAAGGTGGCCGAGAACCCGAGCGAGGAGAAGGGTAACGGGTACTTCATCAAGGAGATTGACGAGCCTACCTTCTTCCAGGGGAGGGCGGCGGCGATTTATCTGCGCTTGGGAGGCGAGACCAAGAGGATTGGCGAGTTTGGTGTGCTGCATCCGACTGTCCTGGAGAAGTTTGACTTGAGATACCCGGTTAGTGTGTTGGAGGTTAATTTGGAGGTTTTCCTTTGAGTCCTTCGAGTGATGGTAGGGGGTTGATATGATATGATGTGAAAAGAAAAGGGAAGGAAAATTAGCTGTGGGTTTTGAGAAAAGTACAATAGAGGTTTTTCGTATGTTCATGTCCGTCCCCCTTGGTCCTTCGTCTCTTGTGTCGTTGTAGTCTGTGGATGGCTAGCACGTTGACTGTTGACAGGTTGGTTCAGCCCTACGGAGGAAGAGCTCCACAACTCCGGATGCCTTCGGGCGCCGGCGCGGTACATATCCGGTGGAGCAACCCCGGAATCGGATGTAGTTGGTGACATGGGTATCCTGGAAGATCTCCCCTGTGGTCTATGGTCTGCCAAGTTGCAGGCTGCCTTCAACTCTTCGACAACTTCGTCTTGAACGTTCTTTGCTCGTTTACTTTCTTGATGGTGAGCACGTTTCCTCCAAGCCGTCGGCCTGGTTGGGGACGAGCCTGGTGGGGTTTAAAAGATGGATGGAATCTTTTCTTCCTCTTCTTCTTCCCCTTCCAACATTCTCAATGATCCGAAAGGAAGACCCCATCATTGGCGTGGAATGACGGGAATGCCCCCCCTAGGCAGCTAAGGCAGATATCATCTGGCACGTCAGTCTCGTCTCGCCGTAGCGGCTGTCTGGATAGAGGTATGTTCACCACGAAATCATGTTGATTAATTTTCACAGTAAACATCTCGTAGCACAGCTGGTTGTACAGGAACGGGCTCACCTGGTGGTTTCGATAAATGGCCTGTTGCTCCTGAGGAGAGGGGATCCCGCGTCATGCAATGCAGATATCATCATGCCGAATGCTTCCATCACAGCACCCGTGCTTCCGATACGCCCGAGGTTGACATGTTTACCATGTGCCAACACCTGTCTCGGCGGACAGGAAGTCAAGAACTTCCACATTGCAACCACATCTGTCAGCTCATCTTGACAACGTGTCTCACTATCCAACTGTCATCGTCCAAACTCGGGTCACCAGTTTCAAAAGACAACAGATACACAAGCGTGAGAGGAAGTGTTCTTCTCATCCTTCTTCTTCTTCTTCTTCCTCCATCTCCTTTCCCCTCCCTGGGGGACTTGGGACTCATGCCCTCTCGGGATCCTTGACTTTCTTGATTGATCTTGGATGATTCAATTTGGTCCTAGGTTTAGCTCTCTTCTTGCGACTGATCCCGCGAGTCGCCTACGGCGGGCAGGTTCAGATCCAGCAAATGCTCGAAGAGAAGACACCAGCAGGCTACAACAATTGACCGCTTGTGAGATCAATCTCAGTACCGATATGCCGGGCTGGAGATATGCCTTTGCTTTGTCGAAGGATGCGGTCAAAGCCGCTACGCCGCCGGGAACGGTGAGGCTTATCGGTATGGTATACTCCCTTCCTCCATCTTCACCCCCAAGCAACATTGGCAGCTAACACACACCCCAAGCAGAGCACAAAAAACGACCACTAAAAGACCACGACCGACCACCACAAGACACTCGTAGCACCCCATCCCCGGAACTCGACCTCGCCAAGTTCCCCATCCCAACCTCCGACCCTTCCGACCCCCTCAACTGGGCTCGCTGGCGCAAACTCTCGTGCCTCTGCACCCTCTGCAACTACGCCTTTGTCTGCTCATTTGCCTCGGCCTCGCTCGCACCTGCCCTAGCCATATGGAACGCATCCTTCCCCTACGACCCTCGAGGGATGGGAGACCTCAGCCGGTTCACTGCTCTCAATGTGCTCCTGTTAGGATTGGGCAACATCGTGTTCGTGCCGCTGGCGAACGTGTTTGGGAAACGGATCGTGCTGGTGTTGAGCGCGTTGACGCTGTTCATCGCGACGGTTTGTGGCACGAGAGATTTTGGGTTGGGGATGTATGAGAATGTGTTGGTCATTCGGATCTTTCAGGGGCTGGGGAGTAGTGTGTCGGAGACTGTTGGGCCGGCAGTGGTGGGCGATATGTTTTTTGTGCAGGAGAGGGGCGGGTGGATGGTAGGTCTAGACCCTCGGGAACTGGGTGGGTGACGGAGAATGAATGATGCTGACGACTTGTCTACCTAGGCTCTGTATACCGCTTGTCTCGCCAGCGGATCGGTGATAGGCGGGATATCCGGAGGGTACATTGCCACGAGATACGGATGGTTCGGAATCTTTTGGGTGACTGCCGTTTTGGCGGGAGTGGCGTTCCTGGCGATGGTGTTCTTGGTTCCGGAGACGCTCTTTGAAAGGGGCCCGTTGTGTTTTCCGACTATTGCAACTGATACTCCGAAGGGGAGGAGCCAACGTCATCGACATCGAAACCACGACGACATTGCCGAGGAAGAAAAGGAGATTGAGGGTGGTGGTAATGACGACCGCAACCGAAGATCGAGCGTTCGACGATACTACTACCAGCCGACTCCCACACCATATCTCAGTTTGGGTACTTTGCCGTCCATACGAATGACCATGCCGTCGCGGTTTATTACCTCCGTCTATACCCCGCTGAACATCAATACGAATCAACCTCAGTACTTCCGGGACTACTGGGACCCACGTCTGGGGCTGACTTGGTACGAAACAGCTTCCGAATCTGATGAGTCTGAGGAGAGGTTCTCGATGGCTCCTCATGGGAGGGAATCTTCGATGCCGCCGACGGTTCTACGTCCACCACCGACTGCTGCGCAAGGAGGACGTGAAGCTGCTGCTGGCGGCCTCCCACCACCTCCTACTCGTGGAGGAATAGCAGCACGACGAGCCACCGCCCGAGGAGGCCCTCGCTACCGCCTCTACCCTCCCTCCGATATCGATACCCACCCAATCGGCGGCCGAGGCGGCAACCAAAACCGTCCGATCCTCCGCAACCCCGAAGGCAACGCCAACGGACGACTCTCGAACCGTTTCCCATCACTCGGCCCCTTCGCCCCCCTCAACCGCGACTCCGAGGCCTTTTCCATTCCTTCCTCAGATCCATCCACCCACTACGAACCCTACACCTACCTTCGCTCCCTCCGCTTCTTCCCACGCCAGAGGCCCCACCCACCCCCCAACCCTTTCGACCCAGCTGCGTTGAACCCCTTTCCTGACCCATCTCCTTACTCGCCATACTCCCCCAACTTCAACTTCCCCAAACCTTCCTTTTCCAAGGCCAATGACCCCTCAAGCCCCCGCCACCGACACAACCTAGCCCGGTTTCCCTTCCCAGCAAAGAAGAAGTCACTGTTCCAACACTTTATTTCCCCCCTGTTAACGCTGCGTCTACCATCGGTATGGGTAGCCACCCTCCAATGCTCCGCCCTCGTCGGGTCCGCAGCCGTCATGTCCACCCTCGGCGCATCCCTGCTGGCCTCGCCGCCCTATAACTGGACCGTCTCCCACTCGGGCCTGTTGCTGTTCAGCGGCGCGTTGATCGGGATTATTCTTGGAGGACTTTATGCGAGCGTGTTGGCGGATGAGAGGACGAAGGTCAAGGCCGTCGCGGGCGCGGGTGCGGGTACGGGTACCACCAAACGGGCTTCAAACAACAAAAGGACAAGAGGAGGAGGAGAGATACATGGACTCGGAAGCGGTGGAAGCAGGAGCAGGAGGGGGGGAAGAAGGACCGCCGGTGGGGGTGGGGGGAAGAAGACGGAGAGGGTCAAGAGCTGGGGAGAGAGATTGTTTGGTGGTACTGGTGGGAACAGTGTCTATGGATATGCGGAAGCGGAAAGCAGGTTGGTGGTTGCGTTGCCGGGGCTGGTGATTGCCACGGGGGGGTTGTTGGTTTGGGGATTTTGTGGCGAGTATGGACCTGCTTTGAACGCGGCTGCGGCTGCTGCTGCTGCTGCTGCTGCGGCTGGGAATAGCACGGTACCTGGGAATGTCACGGCGCCGGCTGTGGGACCGGGACTGAGCAGTGGAAATGGAGGAGGAGGGTATGGAGTGAATAGGTATAGTTGGCTCGGGTTGGTGTTTGGGTTTGGCATGGTCAGCTTTGGGGTTGCCGGGGTACCGGGGGTTTGGTTTAATTATGTGAGTTTGTTCTTCTTCTTTTGGCTCTGATCACTTTCTTTCTTTCGTTCTTCCTCTCCTCATCCATCTTCCCCTTCCTTCTCTCCCTTCTCGGCTCCCTCCATTCTGCCTCCTTCCTCTCTTTCCCGTCATCATCATCTTCTCCCGAGGTCTTCCGTACTAACGCATAACATAACAGCTCATTGACTCCTACGCCAACCTCGCCTCCGACTGCTTCGTCATGATCTGCATCTCGCGCGGCCTCATCCCCTTCGCCTGGACCTTCTTTATCAGCGAATGGGTTGCAAAGCAAGGGTATTTGATACCCTTTGGCGGCGGGTTGACGGTGATCTTGGGTGTGTTTTCTCTGTTGTTGATACCGGTTATTTGGTACGGAAAGAGGATGAGGATTGCTACGGCTAGGTTTGTTGTTGGGAATCAGTGATAGGGGTGGTGAGAGTGATACGGGGACACGGGGACACGGGGTTGGATGATGGATCTGGGCGTGTGAGGTTGAAGAGGTTGAAGAGGTGCTTGTCGGAAGGCTTCTTATTCGTGGGAAGCAGTCAGATGCATGGCCGGGTGATGATACAGAAGCGTGGTGCAGATGATTCTTGATTTATAGATTCATAGTGTAAGAGTTGGAGATATATAGGGAAGGGCTCTACTATTCGCGCACTAGTCCTTTGGCTAATCGCGCACTAATACCCCCAGGGGTTAGGGTTCTCTGTGTGTAAATATTAGGGTGTATTTTTGGTGATACAGTCCGTAGTGTTGATAGTCGTAAAAATATAGGTCGTGCCCGCCAGCCGCCCAGACCCAGCCGTGCCCAGACCCAGCCGCCCAGACCCAGCCGTACGTATAGAGCACTCCAGCGCACTCGAGCACACTCGAGCATACTCAAACGACCGCTAGCGCACGTCAACACTATAGCGTATAATTTGTAGATACTATTTAAGATAGTTTGGAATTGATGTGCATTGATTTGTATAGAGATTTTTATAGAGTGCAATATCTTGATTGATTTTGTAATCTTTATTAACCAGCGATAATGATATTGGTAATGTATTAGAAAGAGGGAAGCACGTACGTGCGGCTGGATTGGGCGGTTGGCGGGCACGACCTATTTTACATGGCTATCAACACCATGGACTGTATCACGAAATTATATGACCCAGATTCTAACTACAGAGAACCCTAACCCTTGGGGGTATTAGTGCGCGATTAGCCAAAGGACTAGTGCGCGAATAGTAGGGCCCATAGGGAACACGTCTAAAGCTCATTTTTCCTCCGGTCTGAGTACTGAAATAGAATGGCATACTACACTCAACGGCCATATTATCCTGAAAGCCAAACGCCCAAAGTAGAAAGAGACCATCCCAACTCCCACTCACACCAACACCAAACCTAATTCCCCTCCTCCGCAGCCTTCATATCCACCTCCCACTCCCTCCTCACCTCCGCCGCAAACTCCTCATCCGCCAAAACCCTCCACCCAACCTCCGCCATCGCCCGTCCACACTCCAACGCCCTCTCAAACGCATCCTCTGTCCCAGCCCCTTTCGTGAACCCCTTCGTATGATTCGCCGCCCCCTCCTCCGTCTCGATCCCAAACACGCCATGAAAGCCCGGACACTGATAGCACACATTCCCCATATCCGTGCTCCCCTGGAAGAAATCCTTGGGATCCTCCCACGCCACCGTCCCCTCCGGCGAATGCATCGCCTCCATCCACGCCTCGCACAGCTTCCGACTCGGCCTGACATCAAAGTAAGCCGGCAGGTCCTCCTTCCTCCATGCACACCCCGTCGCCAGCGCGGCGCCCTCAAAGCATTTCAATACTCGCTTGCCGAGTTCTTCGGCCCCCCGTCGCGTCGTAGACCGCACATAATACTCCACGCAGCAATCGGCCGGCGTGATGTTCGGCCGCGTCCCGGCCTCCCTAAACACACCGTGGATGCGCTCTTCAGGGCGGATCTGCTGCCGCAGCATGCTGATGGCGTTATAACTTAAACAAACGGCGTCGAGGGCGTTGACGCCGTGCCACGGCGCGATGGAAGCGTGCGCCTCGCGCCCGGTGAAGTAGCCGCGGTACTTGACGTTGGCTAACATGCGCACGTAGCTCACTGCTGTGATTCCCGGGGGTAGTTTGGATTGCGGACCGGGGTGCACCATCAGGCATGCATCGCAGTCCTTGTAAGCGCCGGCTTCGATCAACTTGAGTTTACCCCCGCCGCCTTCTTCGGCTGGGGTTCCCAGGAGTCGCACTCGCCCGGGTAGGCCGGACTGCTTAAGGGCGGCGGCTACCCCCAAAAAGGCGGCGAAAGAGGCCGAGGCGATCAGGTTGTGGCCGCAGGCGTGGCCGATCTCGGGGAGGGCGTCGTACTCGGCGTTGAAGATGATCAGGCGGCCGCCGGAGCCGTATTCGGCCTCGAAAGAGGTGGGCAGGCCGTAGGCGGGGGAGGTGACGGTGAAGCCTCCGAGGCGGCGGAGGGAGTGCACGAGGGTGGAGTGGGCGGTGAATTCGAGGTAGGCGAGTTCGGGGTTGGAGTGGATGTGGGTGTTGACGAGGGCGATTTCGGATTTGTTGGACTGGATTGCTGAGGCAATGGTGGTCGAGATGGTTGGATCTGTCATGGTGGTGGTGGTTGATGAGTGAAGCCCTTCCTTGCTCCTGTCAATGTCCAAGTCTTATGGGAATGTGTTCTTTTATCAACTGGTTCCTGCAGTAGTAGGTAGTAAGTAGTCTTTACAAGTGAGCCTCAATCATGAACCGTGTCCCAAAACGGCAAAGCAGCCGTCCCCTTTCGTTTCTTGTCGTCGTCGGTCGGTCTCTTAAAAGACCCAGAACATCAACAGGGGCGTGATGTTTGACAAGGAAGTGTAGCTTCCCCTCACATAGCTCACGCCTAGTCCCCGCCCTTGCCCACCTCCAGAGACGATCCCAAGACGCCGGCTTCTCAGCCGCTCGTTATCGTCGAACGATTGCGAATGAACGAATGGCCGCTAACTTGTGAAGCGAATTACTGCAAGCCATCTCATTGGTTTGTCCCTCGTCCAACCCGTCCCAAGCTCGGTATGGTTACCCGTCGTGGGAAATTACCATAATACGTTCGACGGTTGGCATCGTGAAAAGCGTCATCATCATCATCATCGGCATCGGCTTCCGCATGGGCATGGGCGTTGTGAGCAATTTGTGATGGTTAAGAAAATAAAAAGGTGAGATGGTTCGAGAAATGGAAGATCGCAATCGATGTCAATCAGGAATAACAAAACCCAAAAAAAAAGAAAGGAATGCAGAAATAAAAAGGTTAAAGTGCAAAAAGCAAAAGAAATGCGTCACCTACAGGATTCGAACCTGTGCTCCCGAGGGAACTGCCTTAACTTTCTTGCGAATAGCAGGGCAGCGCGTTAACCACTCCGCCAAAGTGACTAGTGGTTGTTGTTGAATTAGTGCGTTTGTTCTCGGGGTTATGTATGAACTTGCAGGTTGTGGTGGTACAGAGCTGAAAAGCTGCAGGACGGTGTGGATGATGTTGTGGATAGTCTCTCATGACAGTCGTGCTCCGATGTCAGCCCCCATCCGCTCCGCCGCCACACGTGGCGCAGTCTCTTTGTACCCTGTGGGTCCAAATGGTGTGACATTAGGATTGGTGGGTGGGTGAGTGTGGTGGGGATGTCACAACCATTTGGACCCGCAGGTACAAAGAGAAACGCAAGGGCTATGCGTAGGTGGCTGAGTAAATGAGACTAATGTCAATGTGGATTCATGATTGATGGGACGAACTGCAATTTGAAACTCCACTCAAAGCGTGCGCTGCACGTTCGTCTTGACCAAAGCACTGGGTCGGTCACTGACTCACCGGTGCGGCAACAACTTGACTTGGAAATTTTCGAGTTTGAACGTCAACTTGTCTTGGTTTCAATGCCGGGATTGCTTGGATTTCCGGAATTGGCTGGCATATCAGCTACATCAAGATCGTTATATTGAACATTCGTCTTCATTGTACCTTTCGACTGGAATCGCAAACATTTCCTGGATCCAAGCATCCCTAAATGACTCTGGCGGACGTGATTCCCATTTCACTACGAGGCATATCACAGTTTTGTAGCGACCTTTTCTAGCCAAAGCGAGCGGTATTGGACTGACCATATTCGGTTTGGCTACTCATACGACCACATCACCAGGGTTCCCTGACATCCAAATCACCCCCTGCAAAAACCACCAAGTCCAAATATTTCGATGGTGTTTCGACACCCGAAAGATGGAACCGCAGAACCGCTTCCTTCCCAGTACTATAAGTACGTGTAACCTACGCTAATTAGGTATACCTGTGTTTATTGTTCGGTCAAGTTTAAGTTCAAAATTTCCATTGTCTTCGTCCATTCATTCATGCCTTCATGGTGAGGAACTTTTTTCCCTTTCCAGGAGCGGGACAGTATTCTCTCGACTGGAAGTGTTTTTTTTTTTTTTAGCAAGAGACGCGAATGTTCCCAAGAGGCATTCAATGATGAACAAGGATTGAACGAACTCGGGAACGAACGAGGTCGATACTTCGATTAAGCCTGTTGGCATCGCTGTTTACCTATCATACCTACGTATATATCCATAAGCTCATAAGCAAAGTTCGAAATTACAACGCTGTTTCTCAACCTTCCCCTCCCTACCTATAAAGGTACTTGTATCCGCTTCCGCTTCCGCGTCTGCTGTCCTTTTTTCATGTTTTTTTTCATCTATTCCCCCGTCTTCTGGTTGGTTTATTTCCCTTGTCCGTTCACGTCTTTAGGTTATTTCCTCCAAAACTAAACTACCTTGTAAGTACCAAACCAACACGTACACAGCTTAAACCAGTCCTCCCCCTCGCCCCTCGACGTGTTCACCACCCACTCATCTACTGGCTTCACAAAAAAGGGATCACCTGTGTGGATAAAGTACTTCGGATCCGGCGCGGTGCCGTGGTTAGCATTGACGGCACCGGACGGTACAGATGATGATGACGATGATGATGTGGGTATGTCTTTGTTGGTTGTCGTTGTCGTTGTCGTTGTCGTTGTCGTTGTCGTTGTCGTTGGCTTGGTAGAGGTGGCTGGACCTTCCTCTGCGGCCGTGGCCATCATCGTGAAGGCGAGATTCCAGAGAGCCCTCCTGTTTACAGCGGGACAAACAAGCACATCCCACTCACCCTTGCTGATACCACGTAGCGTTGGTTCTGCGATTCGCCTTGTTTCTTGATCCGACTCCCACTTCCACGAAGGAAACGAGGTGCACCCAGATTTCGAACCGAGTAGGTAGTTCAACCTCGACAAGACAAGTATCTCCTTCCACAGGCCGTACGCCGTCTCCGCCGTGGACGGGTACTGGATGCGGAGGATACGGTGAGGAAGGAGTTCGTCGATTCTGAACATGGGGATGCGGACCTCCAGCATCTGCACGTCTGCACCACCTGCGAATTTGGCTGCGCCACCACCGGCCCCAACGGACTTGTCGAGTCGGTGCACAGCCCACTTGTACTCAGCCAGCGCAAGCTCGCGGTCAGAGGTGAAAAAGATGAGGCCTCCTCTGGTACTCGTCCGCCCGCTAGTCAGACGGACGATTGTGAAGACCTGACGAGTATGTGCTCTTCTTCTCAGCTCGCCCACGGAAGCCGCTCTGTTTCTGGTGTCGTCGTCGCCGGTGGTGTTGTTGTAGAGAAATGGTTCCCGCTCCGGCTCCCTGGACACCTCTACTAAGCTCTCGATGTTGGACAACCCCACAGGGCCGATATTACCAGGGCTAGATATTCTAGTGTCCTTGAGCTGCGTACCGGTCACGACTTTGTACAGTATCAAGTGATCATGTTTTGTGCGGCTTTTGCTGTCTTTGCGAACATAGCAGGCGCAAGGAGGAGCATCCGGCGGTCCTCGGAACCCTGCGAGAAATGTAGTTTCGAAAACTGGTCCTTCGCAGCGAAGGTTCTTTGCGGTGTCATCAGGCACCTCGTCTTCGTCTTCGTCTTTCTCTTGGCCTTCGTCTGGGCGGCCAGTGTGCACACCGAGTGAGATGTGGTCGTCGATTTTCCGTTCGCGTTGCTGCTAGCGGGCTTTGAACAGGCTTAACTTCGATGAGGGTGATGAGAATAAAGGGGGAACGTCCCAATCGTGATTGTCCCATATTCGAGCTGTTCTTTTCCTCGAGGTTTTGTGTACTTTTATCAACAAGTCCCAACGCTGTCGCAGGGTGTCTTCAATCCAGTACTTGCAGGATTCGGTTAGTCGTCGTTCGCGGAAACGAGGGTCCATGATCATGTCCACAAATTGTTGGGAGAGACCGTGGGCGTGAAGGACTTGCCTCCATTCGTTATCATCGTCGGTGAATGTGTCGAGAGTTGGGCTTGTACCGGCAACGTCGGGAAGACGAAAATAGGTCAGAATGGTGTCGCGGAATGTGGAGGCGGCTCGGAAGTGTTTGGGTTTGTACAGTTCGAGCCATTGTCGCCACAGCTGGTCGGCCATCTCGTCACTGAAACCAAGCCAAATAAGGGCTTTGCGTGAATAGAGAGTTATTGGTATCTTTAGCATATCGGACGGCTTCGGTGGGGATTCGCGGAGGGCATCTGAGATGTCATCGTGCCTGAGGAAACAGCCTTTGTGCAGTTCCAGGTATCCGATCTCATAATTCAGATCCAACAGGCCGTACTCTTGCAGGCCACGGGCGTCCTCGTTCGTCAGAACGGACCATGAAAGATCGTACGACATTTCGCGCCACTGTCAAAAAGAGATAATATCGATGCCAGAGTAGAGATATGAAAGGCAGAAAGCGGGGGTGTTTCCAAAGAGTACGGGACCGACTTGAAAAGATTGGGGGATGGTGAGAGCATTGTGGGATTTATACCCACGGGTATCATGTGAAATTGGCTCATCCAGCAACGTAGCTTCCGACTAGGGCTTTGGGACCTGCCCATCAGCATCGGCATCAGCATCGGCATCGTCGTCTGTTCCTTCCACTTTATCACCCTTCCCCTCTCCCCTGGTCGGCCACCCCTCTGCCTGCCTCTTTGCCCACTTGACTGCCTTCTGGTGCTTCTTGCTCTTGAGGTGCTTCTGCCACTGTTCTTCGATTCTAAACTCCTTCTCGCACACCTCACATGTCTTGTTGCATATCGTCTCGGGTCGGTTGCTCCTTTCCAACTGCTCGGCCAGCACCTCTCTTGCAGTGTCCGACAACTCTTCTGGTCGCGGTAGCGGCTGATCGGCAAGGTGTTTGGCTAGAAGAGAGCTTCCCTTTTCGGCTACTTCAGAGTGCCATTGGGAAATGTTGGACGAGTCCAGAAGATAGAATTTGGACAGAAGGTTCTCTTCCTGAAGGGCTGCAATGGTCTTTCGAGCGATCCACCTGATTTGGTATTTTGCGTACTGGCGGGTTGCTGTTTTGGTGTCCTCGATTCCTTGTTGCTTGAGTTTTTCCAGTGCGGCTTGTGGAGTGTCGGTTTCGGTAGACTTGACGGCTGATAGGTAAGTTTCGAATTGACGGAACCCGATGGACTGCCAGATGCCCTTGGTGCGGTCGACAGTGTCACCGGCCGCAAGCCGATGCTGTAAATAGTCGTGAACTGATGATGTTTCGTCCAGGAGGCCATTGGCCACCATTTTGTCTACACGCTTGTCAAGGCGCTCGTTAAGCACATCCGGCTTGGCGTAGAGCCAGAATAGGAGCAAGTTCCAGGGACTCGGTGGTTGATCTGCGCGCTTCGCTTCTTTCCGAGCGCGCTGTTCAGCATAAATGTCGGAGGCACGACGGCCAGTGGTAAGGTAAATCTCGAGCGAGTTGCGAATCTTGCGAATGTCTTTTGGGTGCCAGCGCTCGGCCATTACGGGGTCGACTTCTTGTAGCTTGGCCAGCATGACCTCGGCGGACTCGCGAAGAATTGGATGTTGGCTTGCGAGTTCTTCTCGTGTAATCTTGGCGGCTGCCTCTGATCCTTCGGTTGTCGCAGGATCCGACTCGACCAGCTTCTCGTCAAACAGCAGGCCGTCAAGGTAGTATGAAGTTCCTCCTACTACGATAGGCAGCTTCCCCCTCGACCTAATATCCGATATAATCCTCGTTGCTTCGCGCTTCCAACTGGTGACAGACCATGGGTCCTCGTCGAGTCCAATGTTGCCGAGAAGGTAGTGGGGGATGCCGCGCTGCTCTTCGGGGGTGAGCTGGTTGGTGATGATGGGTAGGCCTCGATACATTTGCATGGCGTCGGCGTTGATGATTTCGCCATTGAATCGGGTGGCTAGTTCCACGGCAAGCTGGGACCATAATAATTTGATCAGCGCACAGGAACACAGACACGGGACGAGAGGCAGTGGTAATCGAATGGCTGGTGAAGTAGAGGTAGAGGTAGCTGTCGTACATCAGACTTGCCGGTGCCCGTGGACCCGTAAATCACAACCAGAGGGTCTGCCATTGTTGCTTTGCGAAAGACGGAACGGATGGCCTGGGAGAAATTTGAAATGGTCCACCTCATTGACGGTTAGCGAAGAAGCTTGTCGAGGTGCTGAGGCGCATTGCTCCAAGGGTTGACGGAACGGGAAATACTAGCTCTAGTATAATATATATATAAATAGTACAATATAATTACATTATAAAAGAAAAAAAGGTTCAAGACGGGATTGAATTGAATTGACAATAACACCGGCAGGCATCAACCCCACCAAGCCCACCTTCAATCCCCAGAAAGTTGACGGACGGGTTGTTATCGATAAGAAAGATGGCATCCACACGCTGACCCCTAACCCCTGCGGCTGTCCCTGCTGCTGTCCAGGCTTCACCAACGATTTGGATTCGAGTTTCAACAAGGGGCGCTGGAAAGTGGAGGGATGCGCTGTGGATGTTGCCTGCCGAAGAAGCTCCCTCGTGCTCTCCCCTGCAAACGTCAGAAGCTCGTTCCAGCTCCAGAAGGCTTGGCCATGCAATTCGCGCCTGTGAGTGGTGGAAAGTCACGTGTAGTGGGTCCTCTTGGTACCAACGGGACCCTCCAAATTGGACACATCACACTTGGGCGACTTTTTGGACAGATCTCGCGACGCACCGCCTTCCGCCTTCCCTTTCGTGCTTTCGGCCAGCTTCCACTTCCACACTTCTTAATCGCCAACTCATCACGTCTCCCCCCTTTCCTTGCTTGATCTTCAACGCAGCGCCGACAACACTCTCTGCGCTTCCAACTTTACAAAGGGCTGTTGTCGCCCGTTTAATTTAATCTTCTTCTTTTTACCCTTCCTTTTCTCTTCCTTCTCTCTCCACACCCCATTGCCCACCATGAGTTCCCGTAAGTTGCCCTTATAAAACACGCGTAGGCGCGTTGGTGATGATGACTGCGACGACTAACCTCCCGCCCGCCATGCAGTACGGTTCCTCGATCTCGTCAAGCCCTTCGTGCCGTTCCTCCCCGAGGTTCAGCAGCCCGAGACCAAGATCCCCTTCAACCAAAAGTTGATGTGGACTGGCTTGACCCTGCTCATCTTCTTGGTCATGAGCCAGATGCCCCTCTATGGCATTGTCTCGTCCGACACCTCCGATCCGCTATACTGGCTGCGCATGATGATGGCGAGTAACAGAGGTACCTTGATGGAGCTCGGTATCACCCCCATCATCTCGTCCGGCATGGTCTTCCAGCTCCTCGCCGGTACCCACATGATCGACGTCAACCTCGACCTCAAGGCCGACCGCGAGCTCTACCAGACCGCCCAGAAGCTGTTCGCTGTTATCCTCTCCATCGGTACCGCCACTGTCTACGTCTTCACCGGTCTCTATGGCCCTCCCAGCGACCTCGGTGCCGGTATCGTCTTCCTCCTCATCCTCCAGCTCGTCGTTGCCGGCATGATCGTCATTCTCCTCGATGAGCTCCTCCAGAAGGGCTATGGCCTCGGCAGCGGTATCTCGCTGTTCATTGCCACCAACATCTGCGAGTCCATCATGTGGAAGGCTTTCTCCCCCACCTCCATCAACACCGGCCGTGGCCCCGAGTACGAGGGTGCCGTCATTGCCCTCTTCCACCTCCTCATGACCTGGGACAACAAGCAGCGTGCTCTCTATGAGGCTTTCTACCGCCAGAACCTCCCCAACATCATGAACCTGCTCGCCACCCTCCTCGTCTTCGCCGCCGTCATCTACCTCCAGGGCTTCCGCGTCGAGATCCCCGTCAAGTCCTCTCGCCAGCGTGGTGCTCGTGGCTCTTACCCCATCCGCCTCTTTTACACCTCCAACATGCCCATCATGCTGCAGTCCGCTCTCTCCTCCAACGTCTTCCTGATCAGCCAGATGCTCTACTCCCGCTTCTCTGAGAACCTTCTCGTCCGTCTCTTCGGCGTCTGGGAGGCCAAGGAGGGCACTGCCCAGCTTTCTGCCGTTTCCGGTCTCGTCTACTACATGAGCCCTCCTCTCAACTTCAAGGACGCTCTCCTCGACCCCATCCACACTGCCGTCTACATCGCCTACATGCTTACTGCCTGCGCCGTCTTCTCCAAGACCTGGATTGAGGTTTCTGGCTCCAGCCCCCGCGATGTTGCCAAGCAGCTCAAGGACCAGGGTCTCGTCATGGCCGGCCACCGCGAGCAGAGCATGTACAAGGAGCTTAAGCGCATCATTCCCACTGCTGCTGCTTTCGGTGGTGCCTGCATTGGTGCTCTCTCTGTTGCCAGCGACCTCATGGGCGCTCTCGGCTCCGGTACCGGTACTCTCTTGGCTGTCACGTAAGTTTTGTCACCTGATTATTGATGAAAGACCAGTTGTTAACATTTTATTCTCCAGTATCATCTACGGCTACTTCGAAATTGCCGCCAAGGAGGGTGATCTTGCGGGCATGAAGGGTATGATCATGGGCTAAAGGTCCATTTGTCTGCCCCTATGATAAATATCGGAGGTCATGAATGACTCCATGTCAGGTGGGCCAAGATGACGAAGGCGACCATGATACGGTTCGCCGGGCCGGCTACCTGACGTTATTTATATGTGAAATTTAATGAGTGGAAGAAATTAAGATAAACCTATGTTGTGTTGTGTGTTTGTGTAACTCAAAATGTGTATTATACTACCTAAGGGAAAACCAAAAGGTTCATAAAAAGGGTGGCTTCTTTACGAGCACTTGCTAGAAGCGAGCGGGCGGGTGGGCGGAATTTGGGAAAGCAGTTGCTATCTTTATCTGGCCGTCAATTCATATTGGTTGTATAACATTAACAACGGATAGAAAGACCGAGGAGTACCAAGCCTGCCGTGGGTGTTAACGTCGTGACTACATTGTAGCTTCCAAGCCTTCTCAAGAGGGCTGGACGGAAGGGTTCCTCGGTTTTTGGATGATATGACATCACATTACTAGGTATACACAAATCCAGGCTAGAAAATTGTACCACGAAGAGCAGAGGTGATACAGACTCAACGCGACTTCCGCTTTTCCACTTGAGTTGCTTTGTTCACGAAGCCGGGCATTTTCGTTTCGTTGGAAGACCGCGTGCCCTGGGGTGCCTTCACTGCCGGGCTTCCGTTCCCATCCACCAGCACTCTTTTCCAGTATTTCTAGGTAGTATGGCTCTCTGGTTTCAGTTCCATTTCTCCTCTTCGACCGTTACCACTACAGAACCAAGCACTTTTTTCCTGCTGTCGCCTTTCCTCTTTTTCACCTCCAACAACCTGGAACTACCTCTACTTTCCTCAACAGTCTTCGGATCGGACGGGAGCCATATTACCAGTGCTGGTGCCTGTAAGTACTCGGCCTTTCTCTACCTGTCTGTCTGTTATCAGGATATCGATGCAAGCCATATCTTCTCTTCACAAAACCAAACAACATTTGGAACACCCAGTGCTATGTTGTAAGAGGGAGGCATCTACATAGTCTGGTATACCTAGTCTGGTGTATGTACAAGGGGATATCTTTCTGTGTTTTTTTTCTATCATGATCCCGTCTACAACCGAATCGGGACTGCCTACTATACTTTTATCTATCCCGTCTGTCTTTCGTAAGGAAGGGATCAATCAAATCAAGCCTCAATCTGACTCTTAACCCACTTCTCCAACCCGCCCCGAGCAATAATCTCCTGCACATTCGGCGGCAACTCGCCCACCTTCTGCTCCCACTTCTTGCCCGAAGCCTCCTCCACCACCACCTTGCTGCGTCTCACATCCCACGTCAACTTCCACCCCGTCCTCTTCGTCAGCGCCTTGTTCTCGCCACCAAATTCTTCCCTCAACCGCTGAACAAGCTTCGGCACCTCAACACCCATCAACGCGTTATTGATCGAATTCCTGCTAAAGATATTTCCAAAACTACCGCTCACCACCAGCGGGATTTGTTTAGCGAGGATGGCAGTAGCCGCTTGCTCACGGGAACTGCCGCAGCCAAAGTTGAAACCTGTTACCAAGATGTCACCGGCCCGGGCGATGGAGCCAAAAGAGGGGTCGTAGTTCTCCATGCAGACTTCGGCCATTTTGGAGGGGGTGATGTTATCTTGGTAGGTGTATTTACCGGGGTAGATGCCGTCCGTGTTGATGTTGTCGGCGTCGCAGAAGATGATTTCGCCTGAAATGGCTTCTGGGAAGCCGGGGAGGATCTCGGTCAAAGACTCTTCCGAGTCGGGGGAGGAGGGGGAAGAAGAAGAGGGGGTGGAGGTCTCGGTCTCGGTCTCGGCGGCGGCGATGAGGGATTCAGCCTCCGCAATGATCTTGTCGAGAGCGTCTTCAATGGACATAGCCTTGTCCTGCTCCACGACCCCGTTGCCCTCGCCGATGATCACCTTCTCCACACCCTCGGGCTTCTGGTACCAACCCGGTCCGGCAATCTTGCCTTGCAGGGCAGAAGCGGCGACGACTTCGGGTGAGGCGAGGTAAGCCTTGGCGTCGGTAGAACCCATGCGGCCCTTGAAGTTACGGTTGGAAGCGGAGATGCCGATCTCGCCCGGCTCAAGCAGGCCGGTGCCCAATCCGATGCAGGGACCGCAGCCCGAGGGCAGGGGTTCGGCGCCAGCGTCCAGGAGAACTTGCCAGTCGCCGGAGTCTTCGGCTTGCTTTTGTTCGAGGATGGAGGCAGCGGCGATGTAGAATTTCACGCCAGGGGCGACCTTGGGGATGACGCCGTTGTTATCGGCGGCGGCGTCCTTGAACACGCGGGCGGCGGCAGCGATGTCGGAGGCGCGTGAGTTGGTGCACGAGACGAGGTAGGCCTTGTCAAGCTTGAGGTTTTGGGCCTCAAGGTCCTTAAGGGGCGTGGCGATCTTAACGGAGTTAGGGCCGGCGACGAAGGGGGAGAGGGTGGAGAGGTTGAGGTAGAGCTGTTTGGCGTAGGTGGCTCCCGGATCGGCGACGAGCGGGTTCTCGAGCAGCGCGTCGATCTTGGCGTGGGTGAACTTGGCCTTGTCGCCCAGCTCGGGGTGTTCCATGGCGGTCACCGTGGCCTTGGCGCGCATCCAGGAGGCCAGGACGGCGTCGATGGGGAAGAGACCGGACAGGGCGCCCCATTCGGTGGTCATGTTGGCGATGGTCAGGCGGTCGTCGACGGTGATGGACCGCATGGTTTCTTCGGCGCCGGTGAACTCGATGGCGTGGTTGAGCACGTCGTCGTTGTTGAAGAGGCCGCACAAAGCGACGATCACGTCCTTACCCGTCACGCCGGGCGGGAGCAGGCCCGTGAAGGTCACCTTGGCGATGGGAGGGATCTGCCACCATGTCTTGCCCGTGGCCCAGATGGAGGCCGCGTCGGTGCGCACCATGGGCGTGCCCAGGCAGCCGACGCCGCCGTACATGTTGCTGTGCGAGTCGGAGGCGACGGTGACGGTGCCCGGCCACGCGTAGCCCTCCTCAACCATGATCTGGTGGCCGATGCCCCGGCCGGCAGGGTAGAAGTCGACGCCGTGCGTGTTGGCAAACTCCTCGATCTGGCGGTACTTCTTGAGGTTGGCCTCGCTCTTGTTCTGCACGTCGTGGTCGAGCGTCATGACGACCTGGCGGTTGTCGTGGATCTTGGAGGCGCCGATGGACATGAACTTCATGGCCACGGGCCACGAGTTGTCGTGTGTCATGCAGTGGTGAGGCTGGAGCGTGACATAGTCGCCCGACTTGACCTTCTTGCCGGGAGCAAGGCCGACCGAGTAGCTCTGGACAATCTTCTCGGTCAAGGTCTGGGGAACCTGGGGGACGACCTTGGGGAGGGTCGAAGAGGCCAGGTTCTCGAGCTGCGAAGGGAAGGCATCTTGGAGACGGCGGGAGGTGGTGCTGTAGTAGGAACCGGCGGCGGCGGCGCGGACACTGCGGACGGAGGTGGTTCTCGAGGCGGCAAGGAATTGACGGGGGGCTCTGCTGGCAGCCACGGCCAGGGCTCTTCTCTGTGTGTGGGAGATGTGTTAGTGGTAGTTACAATTGCGATTGTAGCCGTAGACCTTGGGGAAAGGAAGACATACCACGGGGTGAATCATGATGGACCAGCGATCACGACTTACAACTGACCATGGCACTGCCGGACAGGAGTTGCAATTGGTGTTTGTAATAGGTGTAACACCAAAATTTAACGACTGGGGATCCGGCCGGCAGTCAGTCAGTAGTGGAGTCCGGGGATACCATGGATGGCCCGGAGTGGCGATCCCGGCATGAAAATGTTTTGTGGGGGCTCCGGCACCGGCCGTCCTCAGCACGTCAGGCACGTCTAACCGGGGAGGTACGTACCGCCATCTCATTTGGGGATGTGGTCCAAACTCCAAAGTGGAACCTAAGGGATTCACTGCCCGGTGTATTAAAATGGTAGGGCGCGCTTATCTTATCGCCAAGTGCGGATGTGCAGCGGGCATGGATGTTACTTGGGGGTTAGCGATAGCTTGGGTAGACCCTTTTGCCAACCCCCTCTCATAAAAGAGGGGGAAATTTTTGTATAGAACAGACTTTTAGTCTGGGACAGCCTATATAGTAAACTACTAGTAAATTGTCCCATCCTTATAATAAAGTACCACATTATACATCAACACAACGTCATTTAAAGCTATTTAAAGCCATATAAAATCTAGTATATTACCCAATTAAGTAGTAAGTAAACAAATAAAAGAGTTTCAATCTTTATCCATCATTTTCTAGCGCTAGTATAAGTACTAGTACCTCCTTTACTAGTATAGGTACTAGTATAGGTATAGGTACTACCTCCTTTACGACCGCTTCCCTTCTTATTAATATCCTCTTAATACGTACAATTTGCTTTCGTACCTACATACAAAGTCTTATAATACCCTTAACGTACTTTATAACCCCTTAGTATAATATTAATTCGAGCGACTATAGTTTCGATAGAATAGAAGGGTTAACGGCTAGTATTAATGGCCCAATTTGTATGGGAGGTCCTAATATAGCGGGCGGGTTAAAGAGATGACGGTTAATTAGTAATAGTAATGGTAGAATATACTCCTCCTTGTCTTCGTCCTCCTCCTCCTCCTCCTTATTATTATCCTCCCTATTGTATACTACTTTAAGAATAGCCTCGTCCTTATCATTTATAAGAGTACTCTCGTCTTCAAATATAACGTTAATTATTTTTATATTAAAATAAATAACGACGTCGGTAATAAATTTAAGGATAGACTCCTCTATTAAGTTAATAATTTGCGTATTGATATAGGCAGCTACTTAAGAGCCAATCTCAACAATGGAATATTAAGGTGGGCGGGGAGGGGAGGATGGGGGCTCTGGCGGTTAAATAATAGAAGGGTATTAAATAGTAGAGGGATTATTACCTAGATTAATATTAACCGAATCATTAGAAAAGAAATAAGAGGGCTTACCCTATACCTTCTTAAAGACTTTTAGTATTAGTATACCTTATATATCCTATATAAATAACCTTCCCCCCTCCTCCTTCTTCCCTTTTTTATCGTTATTAAGTATATCCTCTTTATAAACCAGTATATAACTATCTTTCAATTACTCTTTCTTCTAATTATTAAAATAAACCTTTATAACTTTCCCCTTACTGTTAATTAAATCCTTAATCTATTTATTATATAACTACTTTTAAATCTTTTTATTATATACCCTAATGGCTATTAACTATTTTTTTTCTTTAGCTAGCTATTCCTTACATTGCCTCTCTATAGCCCTCTGGTTGAGCTTTTCCTTAGAGAAATTTAAAAATTCGCCCTCTAGAAGAACTTTATATACCCGCCACCTCATTTTACGGTCGAAATTGGCCGCCTTCTCCTTATCTTAACGGTTATACTCTTATATAGTATTATACATTAACAACGCTTTATAAACAACAACTTCAACAGCGTAATATCGAATATACGTAAGGGAATTAAATATATAATAATATTTATTTTTAATATAAGTAATAACTTTCGTAGCTTCTCGAAAATAGTCCTCCTTAAAGAATAACGAGGGTAAAGCGGGGTTAGATTTCTTAAGTTGCTTTATTCGGATTTGTAATAGAATTTTCGTACGGTTAATTAACTACGTTCTAATATTAGAAAACCTATTAAAGATATTGTATACAATTATATTACCGTCGAAAATACGTTAAAAGATTGGGAATAATATAATTAATATAGGGGCGAAATAATAATAATAGGGACGAAGCAGTGGCGAGGGGAGGTAACAATTAATTTTGAGCTTTTTAATAAACGTAGTGCGAGTAAAGCTGAATTCGCCCCGCTAAACGAATTGCTTCAACACCTTTTAATAGTGAGCTTTAAGGGACAAAAACATATTAACGTCGAAGGATTATATTATATATATTAAATAAAGGGGTAAAACTATTAAGATAATATTAAAGGCATTACCGTATTATTTAACCTCTATACTGTAGTAACTACTAAACCCGTCGATAATTAATAGATAGTAGACCGGCTTATAAAACCTTTTTAAACCAATACTGTTACTAAAGTCTTCGAGCTTCTTACTAATATAATTAATTCTATACTAATTATACCTAAACTAATCCTAGAAGGAGAACCTCTTATTGCCCAACTTATAGACATCCTCTTCCTTTAACTTCGTAAAAGTAGAAGACGAAGAGAAGGAGTGTTAATTAAAATACTTTAACTAATCGAGAATAAAATCGGTATTCAAAAAGCTAATCGGTAATTTAGCGAACTATATAGAATTATTAAAGTCGTTAGCAATAAAGTCCTTTATAGGATCCATTTTGAAAATTATATAAATAGGGATAGTTTTACTAATTATACTTATTCTAACTATTAAGGTAATCGATTCTCGATTAATAACATTGTTGATCTTTAATTAGAAATAAATAAAGAAAAACGGTAAATATTTATCCTTATATATTTTTATTAGTAGAATAATATTATTAATTATACTAATATATTTCATATTTAGCTAACTCTCTTAATGTAATTACCTTTATACGCCCGCCCGCTATATAACCTAATTTTATACCTATTTTATTATAATTCTAAATATTACCCCTATTAATATCGTACTTCTTTAGCATAACCTTATAATCGTCAAACTACTCATTGACGGAATCCTTATTCAATTCCTAGAATCTCCTCTTAATGTTAATAGCCCAGTAAATTGTAATCTTTAATTTTGGATAGTCTTTAAGGAAAGTCGCTAACTAGGTTGCGTTGTAAGTTTCTAGAACTCCTCGTAACGCGCGTAGTCAATTCGCGGCCGCGATAACTATCTAGTATAAAGTAGGAACTTTCCCTAGAAATAGAACGTTATATACAATATGAAAGTATCTTCTTTAGAGGGCGTTAATATACAGGGCCTTCCTATTGGGCGCGATAAAATAGTTGGTTTATTATATTTGATTAGCGACTTAATATAATAAAATATCGACGTACGGGATTCGCTAATAATAATAACGATTTTTTTAATAGTTGGCGGCTTGCGTAATATTCTAATTCTAAAGCCTTTTAAATATTTGCGGGCATTGCAATATATATAGGCGCTTCTATACCTAGCGGGCGCCTCTCCTAATTCTTCGAAGTATTTATTGAAATTTACAGGCATTGTATATACGTTAACCTCTATATTAATTCATAAATATATAGACTGCTTATTCTTTTATAGTTTTGAACGATTAGGGATAGCGAGTTTGTAATTTAGGCTTTAAAAATAACGAGTTTGTACGAAATTATATTACGAAATACAATCCGAAAGTACGATGCAATTAAGTAGTTTTACGTGGCGTTAACAGCCGATTCTGCATAGTACCGACCGGGCCTTATCCCAGACTAAAAGTCTGTCCCACACAAAAATTTCCCCCTCTTTTATGAGAGGGGGTTGGCAAAAGGGTCCACCCAAGCCATCGCTAACCCCCAAGTAACGCCGCGAGGAATCCGAGAAAATCGGCATTCTGGGCGGACATCGAATCCTTTCCACTTTGCCAAGCAACTTTGTTCAGGATAACCTCAAACACCACCACCGCCGTTTGAGATGTGTTTTCTAAAATATCCGAGGAACCCAAGTCTAAACTTCACGCAAACTTGAATTGATCTATCCATATATCAATGCGCAACGCACTACCCCTCATCACTGCATTTCAACTGCCGCTGACTAAGACTGCCACTTTCACACCTCATGTAAACCAAAACAGGAAAAAGGTCACGGTATGTAGGTACCTACTTCTATCACGCACCAACCTACAGGTACGCGGATAAGGATCTTGGATGAGTGCTCCCAAGTTGGACCCTTCTGGGCTGAACTTGGTCCCCTTTTCGCGGTTAATGAAAGAAGCACGGGCCACAAAGTGCCCGTTGACTGATCCCAGGTCGGTTGTTTTGCACAAATCGAGACTGGACAGTGGAAGCGCTGGCGTCGGGAAGTCCAGCACCCGACTGCCGATGCGCTGGGAGGCTCCAATATCGCTCCAATGAATCCAATGGCCATGCATCATCTTGCTGAACTGGCTGATCTAGACGCCGTGATACCATCTTTTTCTCCATACGGTATATTCTATTTTCAAATGACTGATCAGTTTAGCCATGAAACCTTGATACAACGTTCCGCCAGTTCAAGCTGGCAAACGTTATGGATGAGGTGTCCAGTTTGGAGCGTCTTTTCAGCCTCTTTTCCCACTTTGATAGTCGGTTTCGCTTTTGAGACTGACGCCAAGATGCCAAGAAGAGCCCCATACCCACGCACTACCACCGCTGTGGTGACTCTGGTGAGAGGTCAACAAGGGGAGGCGGTAGAGGTACCAGGAGATTTATAATGCAGGAGGTACCAATAATTCGGCGTCATATTCTCTTGTTTCTACTGCCTGCCAACAGCAGGCAACAACGACTTGTCAGCATTGAAGCTTCCGTTCACACTCTCGACAAGTTCCTTCCAAGTCAGGATTCCTGTGTGAGTGGGAGGCAGGAGGAAGAAGAGTGTCACCCGCCGGCACAGGAAGGTACCTCTACCCTCAGTACCCATTCACACCCCATTGCCCTGAAAGGCAGGGACCAATCCTACAAAAGACTCAGAGAGTTTCCCGACCGTTAAGGTCCTCGCGGCCTTTCTCATTCTTTTCCTTTCCACTTCATTTCGCACTTTTACACTCACTGGGTCTCAACTCAAATTCACATCTTGGCTCAGCCTCTTTGCTAGATCATCAGGTATTGGGAACTTGTTTATTTTTCTTTCTTGGTCCACGGGTCGTCGTTTTCTGTCTTCGGATCTGACCTCATCCGTTGGACTCTCTTTGTTCTCTACCAGGGTACATCTCCCATAAAGATATCTCTACTACAAAACTATCGCGGCATTATCATCACCGGCATTCACCATTCCGACGGCATCGGCAGCAGTCATGGAATCTTTCCAAGACGTGCCCATGGCCTTTCGGCCCTCTGCCTCGGGGACTGCTCCAGGGGCGGCTTCTTCAGGGGCTGATCCATCCGCCCTATCAATAGCCCCTCCACAACCAGCTCCATGGTCTTCAGCTCAACCTCCGTCTCAGACTCAACCTCAAGTCTCAACCCCATCTCAGACTCAGCCTTCCTGGGGCCAAACTCCAGGCTCAGCAGAATCCCAATGGGACCAGTCTCCGGCCCAATTGGAGTCTCCATGGGACCCCTCTCAGAGTAGTCAACCTCAGCAACAACAACCACGCTACGCCAAGTCGCCTCGTATTCTCGCTTGCCAGCTTTGTCAGGGACGAAAGATCAGGTGCAGTCGAGTGTTCCCCTGCGATAACTGCAAGAGGGTTGGCTATCCCGCATAATTCCATCATCTTGCATAAGCATGCTAACCTTGCCTCACAGTCCAATGTCCAGTGCATACCTAGTAAACCGGCACCTCTCAGAAAACGTCGGCCACCACACCAAGCGCTCCAGGAAAAACTGGCTGCCGTGACGGAAAAAATGGAGCAAATGAGGCGTGAAATGGATGCTGCTAAAGAAAGTGGCCAGGGTTTGGCTATTCCCGTCACACCGACACCGACCACTTCTGCTTGGGACTCTAAGGGAAAACCGAGACTGATCCAGGAAGAGGGCGGTGTTCTTTTCATGGACTCTCTATTGGGCACCGTGTACCAAGAGGTATGCCATCATCTCTTCGTTCTGGTCTTCAGGCTTACCAACATATATACAGCTAGGGGAAATAAGAGCCATGGTAGACGTTGCGCCAGACGATGGCTCAGAGCTGATCCTTGGCGCCGACACTCCAACCGTTGATCCCATGTCTTTCTGGCCCGAAGAACCCGGTGCTGTTTGGTCGCTCTGTGACATTTTCTTCCAGAGAGTCAACCCCTTAATGAAGATCATCCACAGGCCGACGCTGGAGAGATATGTCGCGGAAGCTTCTTCTAGCGGGCCGTTCGTGCTTCGTTCCAACATACGAGCCTTGTTCTTCTCCATCTTTGTGATGGCGGTCGTGTCGTTGGATGCAGACGAGTGCATGAAGCGGCTGGGCTATGACAGGGAGCAGGCTCTTCGGGACTTTTCTCAAGGTGCTCGCTTGACATTTTTACGAATGGGCTTCCTCAGCACAAACGACCTTACTACTCTCCAGGCATTTACTCTTTACTTGGTATGCCATCGCTCAAGACGCTGTTCATCGGTTTGAAGTCGCAATGCTGACAATCACAGACATCGCTCCAAGGCCGATTCAATCCTCATGTCACTTGGGTTCTGCTTGGCACCGCCATACGCCTGGCTCGAAAGTTGGGTCTTCACGTTGATGGCAAACGATTAGGGCTACCACCCCTCGAAACCGAAATGAGAAGGCGGCTTTGGTGGCAGCTTGTCGTGCTCGATGCCAAATCCGCAACAATATCCGGCTTCAAGTCTGCGGCGGTTGTGCGAGACTGGTCCACCGAGCTCCCCAGAAACCTCGACGACACCGACATGCATCCTGATGCCAAAGAAGACTTCGTAGAACGCGACGGTCCCACCGAGATGATCTTCTGCCTCATGGCCTATAAGGCCACCGACTTCCTCCTCACCAGCGGGCAAGATATCGAAGGTGTAATGATCGCGGCCGACCTCCCAGGCAGCCACGCCCCTGGCTCCGACGACCAACGTCACCGCCGCACCGTCGAACAACTAGCCATCGAGTTGTCAGCGTTTACGGACCGCTACCACTTGCACCCCACCAACGGCCCGATTCACGCCCTGGCTTCCAAGTTCAAGGAATTTTTCATCAAGAAACTCTGCAATGCCAAACCCCAACCCCCTTCCACTTCTGACCAACAAGGCTTCGACGAGGTCGACCGCGCTTTCAGGTTATCTATCATCGACCTCGAGCACAACGAACAAAACCTTGTCAACGACGACCCCGCCTTCTTCTGGTTTTCGCGCGTGTACTTCCAGCCATACAACTTCATGTACGTCGTCTCGCAGCTGTGCCAGGTCCAGTCCCCGTCCGCCAGTGATGAGAACATGAGGACAGCAAACGTTAAGACCGACCTAATCGATCGCGCCTGGCGGCAAATCTCCTTCGTTTACCAACTCAATCCCGACCTGTTCGACATGACAAACCGGTTGTACTTCCAAGCCGCTCGCAAAGTCCTTGAAGCTTGGCAGAAAAGGTCCGAAGCGCTGCTTAAGCAGACGGGGACACGGCCACCTGCTCCGTCATACGTCGAAAAACTTGCGAGCATCTTGGGCAATGGTAACATGGATAACGGCGGCTCTATGACAGCAACACGAACAGGTACAGGGACAATACCGGCGGCCACAACACTGGCCTCAAGTGCAGGAACTGGGTTTGCCGTTGATAATGACTCGTCGCCGCTCCTGCCTGGGCCTGCTGTTAGTACAGGTCCCGGTGCCGCTTCTATTCCCACTACGCATGCACTGGGCCAAGGGCAAACGCAAGAACCGTCGCCGTTCATGGAGGGCATTGTCAACTACATGGACCCAAATATGGCCTACGCTGGAAACATGTGGGGGGATGGAGGATTTGAAGATCAGTTCCAGCAGCCTCAGATGCCGATGATGGGCATGATGGAGGATCCGGCGACTGGTATGATGTACAGCGGTCCACCTTATTATTATCCGGATACGGAAGGAGGCGGGGAGCCGTCGAGGGGGATGTGGTGATGCGGTACTGTGGTGGTGAGGTGATAGCCATTGAGCCTCTACCCATCGTCGGTCGGCCTTTCGCTTTGTGTATGAGTGTTGGAGCGAGGTTGTACGGCACGGTGCTCCATCAGCTCGAAAGATGATACCCTGAATTCCTCTTCGTTTTTTTTTTTTTTTTTTTTTTGTTCTAGCGTCGCATCGCCCCTCAGCCTTTTTTTTTTAGCTTTCAGCGAGGAACATCTTTTGGAGCCGGCATTGTACGATATGTGTACAGAAAATTATATCCACTCTAACAGGTCTCACTCGTCTTTTCTAGCCCAGACGAGTAAATGCCAAACCACTTGTTCAAATCACTCGTTGTTTACTTCTTTGGCTCTTTAGTCCCGGCCCCCAACTCAATGGAATGAACTGGAAGGGGGCTTGAGGTTCACGGTTGGCGGATGATATAAAAGAAATGTGGGACGTTACGGCGACATCTTCCCTGAGTGAATACCCAGAATAAACTGCTCTACATAAAGGCATGCTTCTGGGCCACCTTCAACAAAATCGGGCCATATCAGTTCAATCGGGTATGGTGTAGCGGTAACATCGTTGACTCTCACTTATCAGGAGTGACTGCTCTCTCAACAGCCCCGGGTTCGACTCCCGGTATCCGAGTCTCAATATCTTTTTGCCATTTTTTCTTTCATCATTTTGGGCCTATTGCGATCGCAGAATTGCTTCTTGTCTTTTCAAAATTGTCTTTTCATCATTCAATCAATCTATGGTCCGTCACCAAAGCCTCCTTCATCGCTCACTTCGGATCAGGAGCAGCACCGACAGCCTCAACCTTCCTTTGCAATTCCAAAATCTCCGCAATCGTGAGCGGGTTGTCGGACCTCTTGAATCCTTCTTCAATTGGGAGCCTTTCCTCCTCTGTTCAGTTGTTGTTCAGTGGTTAGCGCTGTACTTCACTGCACGGAACCGCACTGCATCATCCCGTCCCGCCCCGGTCCCCTGCCCATTCCGCATCACCACCACGACATCTCCTTCCAACCCACCATCTTCCTTCCAACCCACCCTTCTTTTCCCACGCCTTTTCCTCCTCCCCATCCCAACCATCACTTCCAACCTCAAAGAACGAATGAAAGAAGAACTCACCAAACATAACCCTCACCCACCTCGTCTCCGCCCCGCCCTCCGTTCCCCGTCCAAACACGCGCAAATACAAGGCCGTCTCAATAGCACTAAACCGCAAATCATCGCTACTCATCTTAAATCCGTGGGGGTTAATCTTGGGCCCTTCCGCAATCCTAAACCCGCGCATTTGCGCTGCTTTCTCAATACTAATCCGCTCGTCGGAGCCGATCACTTGAAGAGTGGTGGCCCAGATTTCGGGCGAGAAGGTGTGGTTGTCGCCCATGCTGATGTCCCCTCTTGATAACGATCCGTCGTGTTCGATGACTACACATTGTTAGCACGCCATGCCCGCCATGTCCGCCCCCAACTCAACTCGCAGTGCCGACCTGACCTGACCTGACCTGACCTGACCTGAACCGGTCTGGTCTGGTCCAGCCTATGTACCACAGCACCGGCACCGGCGTCATCAAAAAGTGAAAAAGGAAAAGAAAGAGACAAGAGCTTACTTACCTCCATGCTTGTTAAGATCGTCAAGGTGAAAAGTAATCCACCTCCCCGTGCTACTAGCCTGCAACGCCTTGAACCCAACAATCAGACTCGCATCCGGCGCCAAATTGATCCCCCTTTTTAGGCCTTGCATCAATGCCGCCAGGGAGATATCCTTGCCGTCGTGCGGGAGGTAGCCGTGGTTCGCTAGGGCGTTTAGCATTGGGCAGGGGCAGCGGCCTTTTTTTTTTTTTGGTTTCTGTTAGCGCTATCTTTACAAAATTATTTGCTGATGATATCGAGCGAAGCGAGGAAAGAGAAAAAAAATAAAAAATAATAAAAAATAAAGAACATACGGTCATCAGGCCCCGGCTTCTGCCAGGAGTGATCCTCTTCTTTATCTTCGCTTTTCCCGGTGAGTTTGGCGTAGGCTTCTATCCCCCCGGCCAGAATGGAGGTGAGGAAGGACATGACTTTTATGCCGAAGGCTGTGGAGGTTATGTTTGAGGAGGAGGAGGAGGACATGGTGGGCGGGTGACCTCTTGCTAGGTAGTCTAGGTGTGTGGACGGTTGGTGAGTTGGTGTTAATGGTAAGTCGATCGCGATTGTCAGTGAGAGGCTTGACGTTGAATGAGTGAAGTGAGTGTTGTTGGCCCGGCCGGTGATGATGATGAAAGGTCAAAAATGGAGTTGGAAGCTACCCCGGTTTTATGCTCCCGAGCTCCCTCCCGCTGTTGGGCTGAAACAACGTCACAGGTACTACCCTGAGGTTTTTACCCGCTCGCCATGCTGTGTTGGCGAGCTTGTGCAGGCGGGTGGAATGGAGCAAGCGCGTCCAATGAGGTTCGTGATACGATCCGATGGCTTGATCCCCAATCAAGGCAATTGGTGCTACCATGAAGTTGCATCATCTTTTGAGGTGGAGGGCAGGCAGGAGCTAAATCGATAACAGATGGATGGTACGAATGCTTGAAGTACTGCATTTTTGCTGAAATTCTTACGGGCTCGTCTCATACAATCTTTCTTTAGAGGTATCTTAGAGGTAGGTAAAAGACATGCACAAGAACACATCCACATCTTACAACTTTCCATCCCATCCCCTCTCTCTCCCGAGCTTTCAAAGTAAAGTCTTTGCTCAAGTAATTCGGTCTCCCAAATCTCCTTCTCAGCCTCATTGCCACAAACTCATCCCATTCATCCCCTCCATCCCCTGGTACGGATTCAAGTTATACATCATCCCCTCCTGGGCCTGCTGCATAGTACTCCCATCAACCATTTGATACTCCCCATACGAAGATTGCTGCGGCAGACCCAGATCGAACGTCCCATCCAAGTCAGCCGGCGAAAAGCTACCGACGTCGAAGTACTCATGTGTCGTCAACGACGGCGTCCCCACCATCGAGCTTGTACCTGAGCTCGTAGGCGGTACCAGTAGGGTGTTGGAGGGAGTAGGAGGTGGATGAGGCCATGAGCCATAAAGACTCGCGAAGCTCGCGACGGACTGTGAGGAGTCCAGGTCTGGGCTGGAGAGGGAGGCTGAGACGACACTTGGGGAGTAAGTCAACGGCAACGGCATCATCAGTTCCAGATCCAGATCCGACGACATCGTCGCCGACCGTGACGTCTGTTGATTTTGGGCCTGACTCTGGCCCTGACCCTCCCTCTGCATCCGCCTGAGAGCCTGCATAAACTCAGCAACAAGACTCTCAGCCGTCGCAACGCCCACTTCCATCAAGCCCCGCTCATCCAAGCTGTTATTCAACGTCACGTTCAATGTGACAGCCAGGATGATGCTAGTTTTGGCCGCGACTGGTCCAAGGTGGAACTTTGCCCTCCACATCCCCGAAAAGAACCCCAGTGTCTCCGTCAGGATCTGCTGGAAGACGTGCACCACCCTTCTTTTTTGCGGGTGGCAACGAGACGATCGGTCGAGCTCTCGTAGCCGGGAGACCGTCCAGCAAGCAGCTAGCACGGCGCGACAGGCGTCTGTCCACAGCAAATGGCACGCCATGCTGGTTATGCTTGCACTGCTTGGACTACTACTAGGAGACTGGCCGCAAAGAGATTGGAACTCGTGAAAGACGGACGCTGAACAGTCCCATATTTCCATGAGAGAGGTTCGTTGGGAAGGGTGGGCGTTGGTGGTATGACTGGAGGAGAGGGTGGAGGCGAGGTTGATGATGGAGAGGAAGCTATGCAAGCTGATAGAAAGCATAGACTGCTGAAGAGCTTGGATGGGGTCTGTTGTTGCAGTGGTAGATTGACACTGAGTGCCGGGTTGGAGTGATGCTGGGAGGGAAGCGACGATGTCCTCGTAGGCTGCCCTGAGGTCGTTCTGCATTTGTGATGGGTCTGAGGCTTTGGAGGAGGAGTATAAAGCTTGTTGCATGGGACCGATGACGTTGGCTAGTCGAGCGGTCGCGATGGAAAAGGCTAGATCAGCTCTGGTTTGTTCGTCCGGTTCACATCTCAGGATTGTGTTGGACGTAGTAGTGCTCGAGTCCGGTGCTCGAAGACCGGCGGTCGTGGGAAGCGGGCAGTCGCTCTCTTCAAGACGGAGGGTAAACTGCGTCCCGCTCCTAACACAATAATCCAGATTCAACCTGACAAAGATGGCCCACAGCCTCTTGCGGACCTCGGCATGATAAGGACTAACATCCGCAAACAGCGCCGGATCGCGATGCAGTCCCATGTTCAAAACGATCTGCATCGTGATCCCGTGCAGACCCATCAAATCGTACATCTTGTCCGTGTCTGAAGCGGAGATGGTCTTGAGGATGATGAGTAACAAGTGTACCTGCACGACGCCGATGCAGGGTTTTTGGAAGCGCGAGGAGGAGTGGAGGAAGATCTCGACTTGGCGGGCTAAGCTCCGGCCGTAGAGGCGGTCGGAGGAAGAAGATTGCATGGCGATGGCCATGGCTAGCAAGACCTTGGACACATGAACGGGGTGGGAGAGGGTTCCATTGTAGATCCTGTCCACGTCCGTGGTGAGGGCTTTGGGATCCAGGATGGTGTAGATCCTGCCGTACGTGGCTTGGTACTGCGCACACCAGTGGTCGCAGGTGGGCCGGTCGGGAAGGAGAAGTTTGAGGTCGGTGTCGCTGGTTAGAGTTGGGAGAGAAGGAGGGATAGAGTTGTGCACGCGGAGCATGGTCTTGAGCTCGTGGAAGGCTTTGCGGCAGGGGTTGAAGGGTTCGGAGTGGTCGAGCATGGCGCGGACGACGTCCATTTCGTTGCAAGGGGCCATCCAGTGGCTGAGGCCGATCATGCGGGTTTTGCAGGCCGAGGTTTGGAAACGAGGGCTTCGTGGACTGGGGAGTGGTGAGGGCTGCCGGGAGAAGGGGGAGAGTGCTCGGTCGATGCTGAGCATTGGCTCGGGTGTCTCACTGATGGAGGAGGAGTAGCTCTCGGGAGGAGTGTGTGTTTGGATGGGTGGGACGACCTCAATAGAGGGCGTCTGAGGAGGACTTGTGCTGGAAGACTTTGTTGTCTTTGGCTTGTTGGAGCGAGGACTGGAAGTAGGATGTTGATTTCGGTCCTTGTGGCTGCTATAGACACAGCTCGATGGATGACCGCGGTCTTTGCATGGCTTGCATGGTGTTTCTCGATCGCAACGAATTTTGCGAGTCCGGCATTGTTCACATGAGACTGCTTCTCTAACTCTGGGTCGTTTCCTTCCGCGTCCGACATCTTTCTCGAAGGTTGCCGCAGTGAGGTGACTGAACGTTAAAGCCATGGTGGTGGTTCGACGCTGCTTAGGCGAAGGGACTTTTGATGTCTTAAAGTTGAAATCTAGAGATCTTTGTGAGTGTGAAGATAGCATTTTCTGATCGTTTCTCTGAGCTCGGCAGAGTGAAGAACAGAGATGGAGATCTTTCCGGATAGAGGGGGGAGGGAGCCAAAGCTAGGGTTATATCATCATGAGAACCTCGACGGCCCGACTCGGAGAAGACGCGGTTGATACACCATCATCCCCAGATCTCCGCATACCGCTGTTTCAACGTGGAAGCTTCAAGGAAGGAAGCTCCATGCTGCGGTGACACTCTGTGCACTGCCATCGTCACTACAGAGAGGGCGTATCTTGGCCCGAGAGATGGCATTCAGAGTAGTTGCTCGCCGAATGACGTGACACTCGATTCGCTTCTGTGCTGCAACCATTCATCAAGTCACTGACTTGGAACCGCATGTTGAAAGCCACAATGTGCCGTCTCCGTGGTCGCTTGTGTTCATGACGGTTCCCCAAAGAAGACCACATTTGTACCAGCTATCATTCATTGCCCGTTGAGATGGCTTCTGGTGTTAACATGTTGTATAGGGCTGTGCAATGCATCATGCCTAGCTGCACGGCGGGACAAAAACGTCGTCTGGGATGGTCCATGATTCGCTTGAGACCATGTGGCTCGGGGCTGTGCCCCTCTTCCCGAAGCTCTCGTGAAGCTGTTGGCCCTTCAGCAGCTCATCGGTTCAGCTTGAAGATGCGATTCTGATTGGTCCCGGAGTACAGTCCTTATGTTACACCTGCCATCAATCCATAGGGGACCTGACAAGGCCTCCGCGGCATGTCGGATTGGCGGGCCCGGCAGTTTACGTTACATCATGTGTGTGTGTCGTCGAGTTGGGAGTCGCGAGCGTCTGATAGCTATCATGGCTTCCGTTCGTAAACCGCGATGATCCTGGGGAAAAGATAGTGCTTCGCGAGCCATCTCTCGAGCATCGAACCGTTATGAGACAGACTGGTAGCGAGACATTAAATAGTGCTCTTCGGCTGAGATGACCTGATTTCGGAAGATAGTCCAGAATCCAGACGTTAGCGAGTTGGAAGACGGGGGACGTCTCCAGTTTCTCGATAACGTTGCAATTGGGGTGAGGTGACGATGCCTTACCCGACACCGCACCGGCGGGTTGACCGCACGCGCCGCAGCCATGCATCCAAGCCCACAGTAAGCACTGAATCTGGACGGGATGAATTGATGACATGAGCTTCGAACAACGAACGACAGGCCATTCGGTTAACATCGCCAACTTGCGGTGAAAAACTCCAAGGTCGCAGTGCTTTGCTCATTCAGTCTCTAATCCGAAAGGTTGCATAGGTACGAGGACGACCAGCAGAGAAAAGCAACGCTGTCGGCTTAGGCTCACGATGGAGCTCTTGATCGTATCACAACAACAAAGGTCCACGGCGCAGCCCGCAAACATCAAGCACACAACCGAACTGGTGGATCGTGGCACCGTGGGGTTCTTCCTCAGCCTACCTTGCTGTGTCTCAGCACCGTGGTCCCTTTGATGATCCCTCCCTAGACGTTCTAGACCACGGTCAATATCTGACTACCCCAACCCCTGGTTCCGATGTGGGGGTAGGACATTGACTTTACCTGCAACGTGAGACCAAGCCAATATCTCGAGACCTTCATTTTCTTCAAGTATAATCCGTTTGATGTCTCTGGGACATTTGAGATGAGCATCTCCGTTGTCAAATTGCAACTCTGCCGTCGAGAAATTGTTGTTGCACTACCCCTAATGACTAACCGTCCCTTCCAGACCCGGGACGCCATGATGCGATTCCAGCCACTTGTAATATCGTGGAGTATCATGTCATGGAGACATCCGACCTTTCTCCTCACGAGTTTAACGTCACACAGCAGCTGCCCTCACGATCTCTGGGCGCTCATTGCACGGAATTCGAGGACTAGGGTCGGGGTAAGCTCCGGCGCAGTGGTCTTCTTCTGGCCAAAAGGATTTCTTCCCTGCGCCTTCGCTAGAGGTAGGTCCCTGATAGGGCTGAAGATGTGCCTCCCGAAGCCTCAAGGTCCGAATGACATGGGCGTCGCTGAAGCCGACGGAATACGGGAGGGCTCGGTTCGGAACTGACTACTCAATATCCAGCAATGACCGATAACGTGACGAGCCAAGTTATGTAATCGATATTGTCAGATATTTTGGGATGAGGCTCAAGATGGCCATCTGCTCAGGCGCGGCATAGGCATTTGATATGTAACCATGGTGATGACCCGGCCGGCGTCCCCATATATCGCAGGTGCCTCTCCCTCACAGCCGTCAGAAGCTCAGTCACTAGGAGTAGGATAGAGCATGATAGACGTCGCCAAACGCTATCGCTTGCAATTGCCAAGATGCTCCCGCGAAGACTGCTGTGTACGCCTGGCACAAGGCTTTGATGTCTTGCTCAACCGTTCCGATGTCCAAGACAATGGAGAACCCTTCAGCGCGTACCGCGTACGTGCGTTGGCGGTTGCGTTGGTGCTCTTGACTGTTCTCTGTTGGCAGCTGTCAAAGACACGCGTGACGGGAGCTGGTGCTTCACAAAGAGGAGCAACGAGACGGCGCGTCTGTCGAGTGAGCGAGACTGTCATTTAACTGAAATTCAAGAATAAAACGATGGGCCATGAACCGCTGATGATGAATGTTTTGGAGGAGACGCAGGTGAATGACTGGATGTCGTTTCTTCAAAGTTTGGACGACAGCGGGAGCAGTGGGGGGTCTGGGAGAGATCCTCCGCGCGCTAACAATGGGCAGGGGTCTATTTTTGACGGTGTTTCACGAATTCCCAATTGAGGATGAAATGAGCAGCTGCAACCAATCAAACCCCGTTAATGGCCACTCCACTTACCCGCTTGTCCACTTCAAGCGCTGAGGCCATGTGGGGCTTCGTTTTAGCAGTGCGCTTGTCTGGTCGAATCGCTGACAGAAACAAAGTCAGAGAAACAATGGACGAACGACATCCACTGACTCCGGATTCACCACGCGCTTCTTCAAACACCTCCACGCAGTTGTATGGACACCATGAACTTTCACTGGCATTCCTATGCTCTTTCACGCGGAAAGATCCCTACAAGGCGATCGTGTTCACTGCCGCCAGTACTTGGGGCGCGTGGATGATCCGCATCCCGTGTTTCCCTCCCCGGCTCCCCCCCTCCCCCTTGATACCCTGATGCCGTTGATGTGTTGTTCACACCATCGACCAATTCCAAATTGCATGACAGATGGTTCACGATTGAGAAGCTCTTCAGACAGTAGTATGGTGTTGGCGACCCACAATGGCGCATAACCTTCCCGTCAGATAACCCATGACCACGGGAAGAAAGGTATTGTATATCAGACGTCCGATTCCTTTCCCATTGTCTCATGCCAGTTCACAGAACAACTGCCAACGCATTGTTTGTTGGGTCTTCACTTTTCCCTTTTTACCTTTCTTTTGTGTTCGGGTTTTCCTATTTCTCTAGCGCTTCTGGTCATTATCCTCCTTCGTCCTTCAGCATTTTCAAAGGAGTTCCGGGTTCAACTTCTTTCGACTTTTCTTCAACAAAATAATCCAAGTGTTGCTGGTCAACATCACCGTCTTTCCTTACTCGTCTTTCGATCTCGATCTCACTCACTCCTCGATAACTGGCTTGTCGGACAATCTTCACGGCATCAAGGCCATATTCACATAATCTTCTACTACCAACCTATTCCTATTTCCAACCACATTACACGCCCGCAAAATGGGTCTCAAAACTGGGGCCAGAAATGTAGGAGAAGCGGGGGTGAACTTCTTTTATGGACGTGAGTATTCCCCATCCAAACCTCAACATCAACCAAAGTCCACTAACACACCTACCCATCTTCCCCAGCCTACTTCAAATTCTTCAAATGGGCCCCCCTCACCTTCATCATCCCCACCATCCTCTTCCTCACCCTCTCCCTCTCCGGCTGCCTCTCCTCGGCACCCACCATCCCCTCCCTCTACGTCGTCGCCCTGACCTCCTCCTCCAACGGCACTATCGCCTCCATGCAAGTCCGCCTCGGCTACTTCGGCATGTGCGGCGACGACGGCGACACGCGCACCTGTCTTTCGGCGGCGGGCCACTACGACCCGGACGAGCCCAAGGACATCGTCAAGCTCACCGAGCTTTTATTCCCTCAAGTCATGAACAACAGCAACGCCCGCGGCGCCATCCCGGAACTGCAGAACATGGTCTTGACAGGGCTGGATCTGCAGGATCAGATCTTTGGCAAAGTGCTGCTCACCGGCTCGGCGCTGTTCGCCATCGGCTTGGTCCTCATGTTTCCGTACAAGCTGGTCAAGAGGCAGCTGGCTAAGCTGGCGCCCGGTACCCCGCTCACCAAAAAGCAGCAGTTTGTAAGAAGGGGGTGTTACTCTGCTATCTGGATGGGGGTGATGATTGTTTTTGCGGCGTGTATCGGGACTACCGAGACCGCTGGTGCGCTGGGACATGCGACGCGCAATATCAAGGGCAGCGCGATCCTGATGAAGGAGGGCGTGACGCTACAGGTGCTGCAGTGGATGGCGTTTGGGTTCATGTTCCTCTTTGTGCTGACGATGCCCGTCATGTTGTTCGTCAGGAGGGAGAACCCCCTGGATCAGTTTATGAGTGCGGAGGGGATTAAGGAGAAGGCGTTTGGTTTTGCGAAGGATTACGCGATGGATAAAGTCAAGAAGCCCAAGAGGGCCAAGTTTTTTGGGAGGCAGAAGTCCCAGCAGGAGGATATGGTGTGAGCTGTGGGTGGAGGGGAAGGGGAGGGGTGGTGTGGGGATGGGTGACGGATGGGATGGACGGCAAAAGGGGGAAGACTAGGTACCTGCCTATGAACGACAAGAAGGGATGTGGTTTGCGGTGATCTGATTCATATATCAAGGCGTTTTGGTTTATTATCTGCAGGGTTTGAAGGGAAAGAAGAGCAAAGATATGCCATGGCAAAGGATGCTCGGGTCAGCATTTTGGGTCAAATCTACCATACATAGCACAGCACCCTCCTTAATGGTAAAATACTACACAAGACTGCCTTCACTGGTGGCAACTCATAAGATGATCTTCTTTTTTCCCAGTCCGGCAATTAGCAATTAGCGGAGGAATGAAGAACGATGTAAAGATCACTGCAACTACCACATGCAGTCCATCCAGTACCGTTTGTCTTTACAACTTCCACTTGGTGCTCCCATCCGAAATCCCAACTCATCCCAAACGGCGTTCAGCACCACAGGGCACCAACCGAGGCACCGAGTGAACGATCAGTCCGCCAATCTCATTGCAGCAAAACCACGAAACATGTAGCTTAGAAAATGTTCCGGAACTCAACATGCAGTTAATGCAAACCTTTTGGCATCAATCCGCAATAATTCTTGGACATCGGCGAGTGGCTCACCCCATGTCCCGTCGGACCACCATCAACAACCACCGACAACCACCGACAACCCTCGACAAACACCCTAACCATACTGAATTGGCCAGTATAAGCCCTTACTCCGCAGCAGCTAACAACAACTAACAAGGGCCGCTGGTCTAGTGGTATGATTCTCGCTTAGGGTTCAATCCTGAGCATTCTTGCGAGAGGTCCCGGGTTCAATCCCCGGGTGGCCCCGTTCATTTTTCGAGTTTTTTTTTTTTGTTCTTCCCAATCATTTTCGGTTGTTTTGATTCTCTGTTCTCCCGCGGGTCGTGCGAACAAACTTTTTTTTTTTTTTTTTCCTTCGCTCTTTGCGATTTCTTTTGCGTTTTCCTTGATTTCTAATGCTGCTGTCTCTTTTGTGTGCCATTTTGGTCGAATGCGAACGGGGACATGTCGGACCAGTATCATCCAAGGATTGAATGAACTTGGATTCATTTTGCGAACTGCCCCAAAACTCAACCTCCAAGTTTCATTCCTGCCTGCCTCTACTCACTTCTGTTATCCTTTCTCTGTTCACATTCACATGCTACCTTCCACGCAGATATCAATCAGGTGGCAGATGCCATTCAGGCGCAGTTGTCAGAGCCATCTTACTTAGATTACCAACCTGAGTAAGATGGCTTTTGGAAGCATGTTTACACCACCAAAGATGACGAAGTTAATCATGAGGTTTATGTTCATGATAAATGCATTGATAAGGCAAAAAACTTACCACCGCTGAGCACCCACCGGACACTTTTCCTTTTCGGCGGAGAGTTTTGTTAGCCCGTCGCCGCCGCGGCCGCCGCCGGGGGATCTACGATCGACGTCCGCTAACACCAACACCAACACCAACCCAATGACAAGGGGTGACAAGGGGTAAAAAAAATTGGTGACATCGCTTCTTCCAGGAGATACCTCGGCTTTTGAACGAAACACTGAAACAGGTACCGGTTTCGCCTCGAAATGTTACCAATCCCTTTCTTTTCAGTAGGGTGAAACTGTTCTTGTTGTTCTGGACTTCCAGTATCTTCCAGGCTTGTTCCATGTTACCTTACTCACTAAACTCAAGCGAGTCAAGCACGGCGGAAGCATGGCCGAAGAAAGGATTTTACCCGCTACGGAGTTGTTCGGTGGGGCTTCGGTAGTGGAAACTGGAAGCATTAATAAGCGTGGCACACGACTCCACGAGGACCGCGGTATCCGCTTGGTTCTTGATACCGAGATCTCGGACTTAAAAGTGTTGATACACCTGTTATAAACCGGGGGTGATCGTCTCTGGTCTTTGCTTTGACTTTACTTTTCTCATTTTGAGTCCTTCATCCATCACATCCCCAGTCGACATACCATCAAACCCCTTCACCGAACCTCGCCAAGTCACCAAACCTCACCTACCTACCGAACTCAGAACACCCAACCCAACGTCCCGGATCACCAAGATCCAAACAACACCACCAAGATGGCTTCCGTCACCGATTTGAAGCTGGCCCAGCCTCTAACCCTCCCCAACGGCCTCATCCTCCCCAACCGCCTCATCAAAGCCGCCATGGCCGAACAACTCGGCTTCGGCAACCACCTGCCCAACCCCGAGCTCTCCGCCGTCTACTCCGTCTGGGCGCGCGGCGACTGGGGCATGATCCTAACAGGCAACGTGCAAGTCGACCACGCGCACAAGGGTGACGCTCACGACATCTCCCCTGGTCACCCAGGTACGACGCCGGAGCAGACTCTGACGGCGTTTAAGGCTTGGGCTGATGCTGCTCTCCTCAAGGGACAGAGCAGGACGCCGGTGGTGGTGCAAATTAACCATCCCGGCCGCCAAAGTCCGATGGGCGCTGGCACGAGGGGACTTTGGGAGAAAGCGGTGGCGCCTAGTGCTGTGCCGTTGGTTTTGGGAGAGGGATTGGTACCCCGTTTGGCGTCCAAGTTGCTCTTTGGCACCCCCCGGGAGTTGACTGTCGCCGAGATCAAGGATATCGTGCAAAAGTTCGGTTACACTGCTAGAATCACGGCGGAGGCCGGGTTCCAGGGCGTGGAGATCCATGCGGCGCATGGATATCTTTTGGCGCAGTTTTTGAGCAAGAAGACGAATAAGCGCGGGGATGTGTATGGCGGGTCGGCCGAAAACAGGGCGAGGATCGTGGGGGAGATTATTGAGGAGTGTAGGAGGCAGGTGGCCGAGGCGGTGGGCGAGGAAGAGGCCAAGAGGTTTGTGGTGGGGATTAAGTTGAATAGTGCGGATTGGCAGACGGGACGTAATGGAAAGGAGGAGGAGACGGATACGACGGAGGAGGTGCTGAGGCAGATTGAGCTTTTTGAGCAGTGGGGGGTGGATTTTGTGGAGGTTAGTGGTGGGAGTTATGAGGATCCTCAGGTGAGTTTTGGCGTCTCTTTTCTCTGGTGGAAGAAAAGGGGTTGTTTATGTCCAGTCGAGGACGAAAGGGGCGCCGGAACAAATGCTGACAGACACAACAGATGGCCAACGGCCCCAAGGTCGAAAAGTCCGAACGCACCAAGGCCCGCGAGGCCTTCTTCCTCGAGTTCGCCAAGATCATCCGCACCAAGTTCCCCAAGCTCCCTCTCATGGTTACCGGCGGCTTCCGCACCCGTCAGGGCATGGAGGCCGCTTTGGCCACCGACGACTGCGACATGATCGGTATCGGACGCCCGGCCGTCATCAACCCTTCGCTTCCCGCCAACTTGATCCTCAACCCGGAGATCCCGGATGCGGATGCCAGGTTGTTCGACAAGAAGGTTGAGCCGCACTGGATCTTTGAGAAGTTGGGCATGAAGTCCGTTGTTGGTGCTGGTGCTGAGATTGTACGTCACGTTTTAACCCCTTTTGCTTCCTTTCCCGAGTATGTGATGCTAACTGGTTGTTTTCTAGGGCTGGTATGTGAGCGAGATCAAGAAGCTGGCCAAGTTTTAGGAGAGTGAGGAATGATAAAGTACACGATACCCACATTTTTGGAGTTACAATAGAGCTCGAATAGAGGAGTTAATGATGTTTGCATAGCTGAATGTGCTGGAGTTACCTCGTCTCTCGTACTGTGAAGGCCAGATTGACCAGTTCGCGTGCTGACATGGCTGGCGGTCCGAACTGGTGCTAGGTACGTATAGTGTCTGGAGTCTTTACGTGGGAGACTTGTTCATCAATTATAAAGAACAGTTATGAAAATCAAATCGCGTAGACGATAGGTGGGAAGTGTGGACGGTTATTTGATGCATCGAACCTTGTTTAGGAAGTTGAAGTTGGGAAAATGAGGATGACATAAGGCCAGACGCCAAAGGGCGGGACGTGCGGGACGTACCAGAGTACCGAGCACTTGCACCAACAGTTTCCGCGTCAAGAACCTGCAAACCGAGTTAGTGTGAGCTGCAGTTTCCCTGGCAGCGGTTCAAAGCGCTCATGTGGCGCTGTCAAAGGCTGCAGCCCTGATCAGCATGAGACGAACAGCAGAGCAATCAGCAATCACTTCAAGTGGAACGTATCGAAAGCAAATGAGAGTCAACTTAATTATTTCGGGCGCCTACCAGAGACATGCCCAACCCACGAGTGTGATCCTAGCCCATAACCATGATCTTACAACACCCATCGGTACCTACCGCCTCCCTCAAGCATGTCGGACCCAAAGTCAAACTTACGACCACTTTCCTCGCCCATCAATAAAACCTCATCCCCTCAAACTGCCTCCTCAGCACCTCCACATCCTCCACACTCCCAACCCGATCCTCCACCCTCAACCTCTCCATCTCACCAATCAACCTCCCCTCCTCAATCCTCTCCTCCCTCTCCATCCTCTCCAGCCGTTCCCTCTCCCTCCTCTCCTTCCCCCTCCACATCTCCCTCACCGCCCACCCCTCCACATCCTCCCCAGCCTCCATCCTCTCCCTCTCAAAACGTCTCGTACAAACAGGGCACATACTCTCTCCCTGACACACATAAACCGACACTTTGAGAGATTTGACGTCGCTGCGCCGGCCGTACGTGTTGTAGGGACAGTCGCCGCAGTCGACCGAGGTAGAATGTCGACCGCAGCAGTGAGAGGTCGCCGAGTCGAAATAGTACGACCAGGCGGGGATGCGCCCGCCGGACCCTCCGCTAAGGGTGGTGAGGCGGTAAGCAGGGCAGCGGGGGTCGCTGGCGAGGGCGGAGGGGCAGAAGTGAGAGATTATGCGGCCTTGGCACATTTTGGTGCTTGTTTTTGACTTGAGAAGAGAAGGAGGTATTGGGGTTGTTAGCTTGAGATTGGGAATTGGGGTGTTACCTTGGTTTTTGCTTCTTGCAGATGACTGTGGTGTCTCGAAATATCCAGTCGATGCTGATGAGCAAGAACATTTGGGATTTGATGAAGGGATCATAGAGTATTTATGCTTTGGGGAAAGTGACGCCGTGGAGGTTGTGAATAAGACTGTTCAGGATACTGAAATGGAACAACGACTGTTGTGTCCGGATCAGAGGAGAACACTCCCGGTGAAAGGTTATGTGTGAAGGGCATTGTTCGGCAAATCTGGATGATTCTGCCCGAAGAATGGGAGTAAACTCTTTGCAAGAGGCATTGATCATGGACATGTCCCAGACAAGGTCTGAACAACGGCGCGGTGCCGGAGCGACATAGCATAGTGCCGGTGATTGTGAGGGTCATTTTTTTTAACAGCCCGTGTACGGAGAGGAAGAGGAAGAAAAGATTCGTTGTAAGGAGCATAACTGGAAAGACATTGTTCTGGAAGCCTTTGTTCGCGGCACTTTGGTGAACTCGGCAAAGGCACGCCAAGATGACCATGGCCAACCGAGTGTGAATTCAGTACCCGCGGCACACTGAACCGTGAGTAATTGCGCCGTCATAGTCCAAGGCTGGACAATGCTTGGGCGGGAGGTAAAGAGACGACGGCACGGCCCGTTATGCGAATCCGTTCAGTGGACTGCCAAAAAGTTGAAATTGAAAATTCAAGATCAAAGTTCCGTGCCTTCCAATTCCACCAGACGGTTGCCCACACAGCGATGACATGAACAGGGGACCAATCTCCAAGCCCCACTAATTCCCTTCTTCAGCTAGCCGTGCCTTGCAGTGTGGGGTAACTTCCCCCACACCGCCTGCCTTAAGCGACCAAAGCGCACAGACCACTCCAATTTTCGTGCAGTTTCTTTTCCATTCGTCGACGCGGCAACGTCGAAAATATCGAAAGGCAGCAGATCGATCTGACAACTCTCACGACAACCTCACCCTTCTCCATCCCACCCCCACCAAACCCCAGATCACCACTCTTCACACCACCACACTTCAAGCCCGTCAGCTCAGACCAAACCGTCAAAATGCATTTGATGTATGTCCCCGCCAAGAACGCCGACGGCAAGCCGCTCGCGCGCCAGTACACCCTCAAGAAGGTCCTCGACGGCCAGATCACCAAGAGCGCCCACCCCGCTCGCTTCTCTCCCGACGACAAGTGGTCTCGTCACCGTATCACCCTCCGCCGCCGTTTTGCGGTCCTCCTCGCACAGAGTACGTATTCCATTCCCGGTTCACCCAATTGTCAGTCAAGTGGATCTGAACAGCGGCTGACGTTTCCTTCTTCCGTCGCGTACAGAGGTGCTCAACAAGACCACCGAGTAGAGTGACAGTGGCTCGAAGCGGGATCCATTGACCGAAGTCAAGACTGAATTCTACGTCAATGCCGCCACTCGTTATCTGTTCGCGTCCGGCCTGAGAATCGTCTCTCCCACCGACATTGTTAAGAAGGAAGCCGACAACAACATGGATAAGAAGGAAGCCGACAAAGTCAAGTTCAATGCCAAGGCCGCGGTCGTCTCCCTTATGTTAGATCAACACATCGCCAAGCAGGAGGACAATTTCGACAAGAAGATCAAGGCCATGCTCGAGGCCAATCACACGGACGAGTACTACCTGGACCAGTACTACAAGATGGTCAATAATATGGAGAACGAGGCCGACGACTGAATACCGACAAGGACGACGGCAAGGCTTGCGGTAGCTACAAGAAGTAGTTCACCAACAACCTCTCTTGTCCGCCTCTTTACTGTGCTCGATCAGTCTGTGCTCGACCAGTGTCTTCTTGCTTCCACGACCACGATCTCGTTTTTGGCTGCTGCTCTCCTGCAGCATGGCATTGGTTCATCCCGTTGGATCTTCAATCAAACCGATCGTTGGCAGACGGTTTTCTTGGAAGTGGAGATGGCAATTCACAACGACTGGGGGCTTACAGATGATGACAAGACACTGATGGCACCTGCAGCGGCAGCGGCGGGATGGCAACCGACCGGCTGGCTGGCTTGTTCGGCTTCTCTGGATCCCGGAGAAACACCTTTATGATGCTTGATCGATATTGCTTTTTTTTTTTCTTTTCCTTTCGGATTTTTTCAAAAAGGAAGACAAGTTGAAGTTGGGCAGCTTGTTCTTCCTCTCTGTGTGTGGCGTTTATCGGGATTTTACTTGTATGGGGGGTCTCCTGGCGTCTTTTGCTTTTTGAAGAGCATCTGAGCATAGTGTGAGGGAAGGAAAAGGAAAAATACCAATGACTTCTCGATGATTTTTCCTCTCGGTCCGTTTATGACACATTGGTGGCTCTTTTTGTCAATTCGGACCGCTCCTCACCCTGTTCCTTCCTCTATTTCTCCTCGACTATCATGACTGCTGTGACCGCTTGCACTCTCCCACCATGCTTGAATACCAAGGCTACTCAGTACTGCCATCCGGCTCAAGATTCCAGTCTCAATCACACTACATACCCGGAAATACCATATTTCAACCCAAACGGAGGTCAGAAGCAGCCCAGCCAAGTCTACTAACCTCCTGGCTGGCTAAACTAACAAAGGCAAAGCCAGCTAGCTCCCGACGTCAGATCAAGGACATAAACCAAAACGACTTCCGGCTACAAACTCAGGAGAGCAAAAACACCACAAGCTAGGCAGCTCAGGCCACTCTCCTTTCTGCCGGCCGGCCGGGGGATTGGGCTTACGGACAGACGGACATCTTGCAACTCGCAAGACCTTTGTTTTTCTGTCTACTTAAAGCTGGGATAGAGGATAGGGTGTGTTCGAGGTTGGCTGGTTGGTTGGTTGGTTAGTTGGTTGGTATACACAGCCGAGTATGCTAGTGAGGAGAGCGGGAGTATGTACATGTACAGTGTGTGATAGTGGCGGCGGTCGGTGTCTGCGGCATGCGGACGGAATATTTATCTGTCTTCACGGTCTTCTTGAGATGGATGGGTAACTTGCTCATCGTAGTATGTATGCACGGCGATGGAGGAGGAGGAGATGGGTTATGGAGAAGTAACTGAGGACTGTTTACTGTGTATTGCGTCAACATTGGCTTGGCTGGATTGAACGTGGTTCACTCGAAGGTCGCTTTGACGATGTATATGTTTGGCAGTTGGTAAATGGGTCTAAGTGTATTACTTCCCGACTCCTGTTCACATGGCCTTACGACATCTACCTTCGCCGGAGCCAACGGAGCCAGAATAGATTCTGAGTGAGGTCTGAGAACTGTAACTAGGAAGGAGGTGGAAGGACTTGACGACTTGACATTGAAACGGAGCTAGACAATTTGACGTCGACATGAAGTTCAAGGCTTGGCGTTAAGGGTGGATCTTCGATTTTCGGGTCGAAATTCAGGTTATAGTCCAGGTTCTAGTCTAGGTTCTAGTCCAGGTTCAGGTTCAGGTTCAGGTTCAGGTTCAGGTTCAGGTTCAGGTTCAGGTTCAGGTTCAGGTTCAGGTTCAGGTTCAGGTTCAGGTTCAGGTTCAGGTTCAGGTTCAGGTTCAGGTTCAGGTTGTCGAGAGCTCCACGTCCACCTGGACATGAGGACGGGAAACAAAGGACTGACCGGATGCATTATAATATCTAGGGGCTGTTAGTGTCACCGGTCATCGGGCATGGGCACAGGCACGGGGATCTATACAGGCATAGGCACAGGCGCAAGGAGCTGTTGAATTCGTATTCTTGTCCATCATGTATCACACCATGACAGCACGCAAGACATATTCAGAAACGGGTTTCTCTAGACAGAAAGACGAGTAAACATATCTTCTTCATGAAACCTAACGCCATTACGCCATTGACAGTGACTACCAACAGAAACATACCTTTTACCCTTCCCTTTTCCCCTTCAGCCCAGCTCCAAGATGGCCCCCAGAATTAACCAGGCACACCGGCTGACTGACTGCCCGCTCACCTCCTCTTCTTAGCATTAACATTCCTCCCCGCCCCCACCTTAATCCTATTATTCCCCGTGCCTCCCTGCCTCTGCCCCGTCAGGATACCCGGCAAGTAATCATCATCCATCAGATCCCTATACCGCGTCCTCTTCTCCTCCTCCGCCCTCTTGATATACTCCTTCTGATCCTCGGCGAGAATCAGCTCCTTGCCCCATCCACCTTTGCCACCACCCTTAACATTCTGGTTTTTCCCGCTCGCGGTACCATGCGTCGGCTTCGGAATAGAGTAGACATTTCCGCGGTTGTTAAACTGAAAGTTCTTCTTCAGATGCAGCGTAAAGTTGCCGGCCGCGTCGGTCGTGCAGGAGACGCGCGTGAGGGTCGGTTGACCGCAAGAAGGGCAGAATTGCTTGGTGGTGTCTTTGCACACTTTCCAGCACCCGTGGCAGCGGAGGACCCAGGTCTTGAGAACGGTGATGCGCGCGAAGGAGGAGTCGAGAAGGTTGAGGTTGATGCGCAGGGAGACGTTGCGCATGGCCATGTCGGAGGTGATGAGGGCGGCTTGGAGCGTCTTTTGGAGGGGCTCGGGGGCTACGTGGGCGGATTCGCGGGCTTGGACCTTTTTGATGTTTGTGGGGGCTGTGGATGGATGTGTTAGTGGTGGTAACAAAAGGGGATGGAGGGGATGGGGGGGGGGAGAAATGGGGGCTTACTGATCCATTCGCCGTCGTCGTCAGAGGCTTCGCCGTCGTTCTCTTCTTCCTCCTCCTCCTCCTCTTCCTCAGGGGCAGGTGTTGTCTCTTGCTCTTGGCTTCCAATATCCAACTTCTCGAGCTGCTCCTCCACCTGGTTTACCTCCTCGGCCTTCTCCTCCGTTACGGGAGCAGCCTCGGTCTTCTCCTCGATCTGTTCCTCGGTTGTGGTCTCCTCCTTCTTCTCACCCTCCTCCTCCTTGGCTGGCGGCGCACCATTAACCGACTTCTGACCAGGCTCCTTCCTCAACCGCCAATCGCCACCGTTCCTCTCGCACTCGAGATCATACGTCAAAGCGATCAAGTGGATATCGGGCTTGGAAAGAACCATAAGATCACCGGTGCGGCGGGCGAAATCGGTGACGAACTTGATGGACTCCGGGCGGGGGGTGCGGAACTTGAGGAAGGGCATGAGGGTTGTTTGGAATCGGAGTCGGGTGGCCTCATCGCGAACTATGTGGGAGTAGTGTTAGGTCTTGGTCTGGGTCTGGGAGTGGTTGTGATGGAATAAGAGGTGGACACGAACTTTCTGATACTACCGAAGGAATGGTGTAGAGCTCCTCGGCTTGGGCGATAAGGGTAGAGACGCTGGGGTCGTTCTTGATGATGACGTTGGCGTCGATCACGAGGGAGTGGACGGGCTTGGTGGTCGTCGTGGGCGCAGGTGTTGAAGCTGGCGCTGTGGTGGTGGGGGCGGGGTTCTGCTGGCTTTGCGCCGCGGGTTCGGCGACGGGAGCATCCATATTGGCGGTGTTGCGAATGTGGCTGACGATTTATTGACTGGTTAGGATGGCGATGGGCAGTCGAGGGTCGTCTGGTGGGTTGAATGGCGGGATGCGATAAGATGCCAGTATCAGGCAGTGGTGTTGAATGCGGTCGCCCAAAATTCAGGCGGAATCTGGTGGCAGAATTTTCTCTGCTATCGATTGTCAAATGTCGACGTGAACAGTGGAGTTCGAAGGTGTTCGTCACATCATTCTGGAAGGACATGGTGAGTGGTCAGATATGAGAGACAGGACTCCACCCTGTGGTCTTGGCATCTAAACTGCTCTGGGCGACTTACGTAAAGCTTCAGCGAGCTTCAGTGCGCTTCACAGTGGTTTCACCTGACCACATTCACATGTCCAACCTCTTCCCATCGCTTCGTGTCATTCCAATCCTTCATCTAACAGACACCTCGGTTATCATCATTTTGTTTATTATCACCAGGTCCGTGTGTTGTAAGCCTGACAGACGGCAGACAAGTCACCCTCCTTCCTCTTCCGGGTCCCTTCTTCCCGGGTCCCTTTTTCCCGGGCCGTCGGATGTTTCGCAAGTGCAACAAGCGATAAAGCTCTTACATACCCGGCACTTTACCCACGTCTACCCTCTACATTTCTCAACCCGGACTTCAACTCTGCCGTCCCGTCGTCGCACCGGTTGCAAGTTCACTTGGGACTCTCCTTTCATTCCATTGCTGCCTCAACCACTCCAACTCATCTCTCATCTTGTTACCCATGCTCCCATGTTATCCTGCCTGCTCGCTTCCTTTGATCTCTGACTGAACACAAGCGAGCTGACATCTTGATGGCCGAACACTATCACCAGAAGGCCCGAACCAGTGTTATCGAAGGTTTGGGTTGGATCCTCGCTAACAAGGATATGACGTGCTGCCTTTGCATGGTCACATCTTGAGAAGCCTCCTTTCTGTTGTTTCGGTCTTCAATAGCAACGTTCTCTTGTTTCTCTGCTCTTGACATCCGTTCAGTTACCTTCAGTCGTTGAGTGTGAAACTACGCTGGGCCTTGTCTAAAGTCTTATACCATGACAACACCAATCACTCAACACGGTGTAAGCACCGACTTGGCGCATATGTCTATCCTAACCCAGACACTCCTTCAGCCAGGTTGCTTTCATGATCCTCGATTCTTCTTCATGACACCTGACAGTTTGGGCAACCATCCCGTCTGGAGTATTAGTGCGCATCTCCAAGGGCCTTGTGAGTGCGGGAACTCCCCTGCTCGTCATCGAATGATACATAACCTCCATCTGGATCTCGTCGTCTTCGTCGCTTCGACCCTAGAAGCCTTACATGTGGCCCTAAGCGATTGTCACTTGCCCTAAAGAGCAAAGGGTAAAGCCCCCTTCATACACCACCCCGGTGCTCACAATGCCATCTTCGTTTCCCCTTCAGCTAATTCACCCATGGCCATATCATAAGTGAATGGCCTCGCTTGTTTTGCCAAGCGAGCTAGGAGTTCGTCTCGCATGTCTGTGCGCATGGCCCTTTACATGACAACCAGGCCATGACTTATGTACCTGCTTTTCGTTTAGGCTTTTGAAAAAGAAAAGAATCTATATATCCGGGCTATTCGATCCCAACCGTCAGATCCATGGACCCTTTCACGAATACGAATACTCGCGTGTGTCGCCTCTCCCCACAAGGCAGACAGACCTCCTCCGCAGGGTCCAGCTTCGTGATTCCGTTCCTTTGGGCTGAATACAACTGTTTCCACAAGTTTAAGAGTTATGGATCAACCATCCATTGAGGATGTACGACGACAACATGGCCTCATCATTACCTCTGCTATCATGATAGCCATGGCCAGTTAGTGACCTTTTCGTCTTTGTTTACTGTTTCATTCCTGACTGGCTTCAGTGCTGTTCGTCCTCCTCCGATGCATCAGCAGGTTCATCCTTGTCCGAACTCCCGGCCCAGATGACTACTTCATCATTGCTGCTATGGTGGGTTGTCAACACTTGTTGTGAGGAATACGATGAGACTGACCGTCCGCAGACCCTCACTCTTGGCTACCTCATCAACCTTATCATCCTCACGCACAATGGCATCGGGATGCCAATGTCGACGCTCACTCTAGATAACATGGTCAACTTTCTCAAGATCACTCTCGCTATCCAAGCCATGTACTATGCCAACATCTTTTGCATCAAGGTGTCCATCCTCTTTACCTACATCCGGTTTGGTAAGTCAGCCTGGTAAACACCCGTCTTTCACCTGACTAACCGTCACCAGCCGTAACACGCACCTTTCGTTACCTTTGCATAGGAACAATCATCTTGCACGTTGTTTTCCTTCTTGTTTGCATTATTACTACTCTGTTACAATGCCAGCCTCTTCACAAGATGTGGGACTTTACCGGCGCTGTCGAAGGCACCTGCATCAATACAACGGCCTTCTTTTACTGTGAGTACCTATTCCACCCCTTTCCCTTCCCTTTCGTTGCCCCTTCCCTCTCGAACCCTTTAATCCCCAGCTCCATACTAACACCACCCACAGTCACATCCGGCTTCAACATCCTCACCGACCTCTGGATCCTCCTCCTCCCCATCTCCACCCTCCGCGGGATCAATCGACCCACCCGCGAAAAGATTGCCCTCTTCCTCATCTTCGGGGTCGGCACCTTCGCAGCCGTCGCCTCCATCGTCCGCCTGCACACCATCTACACCTACACCCTAGCCGATGACCCGTTTCACGAGGGAATCAAAGTCAACCTCTGGTCAGTAATCGAGCTGACCATCGCCATCTCATGCGCCAGTGTCAGCGCGTTGAAGCCCATCTTCAGTGGACGACAAAGGAAACTCACCAGGGGAGCGAGGAGAGGAAGGGGAGGTGGTTATAGCTACGGGAGCTACGGGACGGGGACGTGGTCGCGGGTGGATAACACCGGGAAGGGCACCGTTTCAGGTTCAGGAGGGAGTAGGAGTACAGGGACGTGGCTTACGAAGAAGAGTAAGGGGAGTAATGGTGGATTGGGAACGCAGTCCAGCGAGGACGGATTACATGGCGAAGAGGAAGCTGAGCTGCAAACGCTTGGCTCACACGCCGATAGCCACGCTGACGATCAGGCTGCAGAGAAAGAGAGGGAGAAGGAGCTCACGCCTGCGCATAAGGAGTATCGCCGGTGGGCGCACTCCTCCCATACGAGACTAGGAAGCCGTGATGGCCAACAACCGCACCATACACGGCAACACTCCCGCCAACAATCCACCTCGCTCTCCTCCCCCAACGGCCAAAACCTGCCCACCCCCGACGGAAGCACAGCCGACAGCGCCTCCCTCCCCATCCAACGCCCCAAACCCGCAGCCATCGCCATAAACCAGACCCGCCCATTGTCACCACCACCACCACCGCTGTCGCCTAGCCACATGGCCCACTTCGGGTATCAGGGACCTGGACAGCAGCAGCAATACGAGGCTCAGGTGGGGAATAATCAGGAACCCGGTAGATGGGTAGAAGTAGAAACGGCCGCCACGAGAACTGTGTATACACAGGGCGGGGAGGTGAGGATTACGCCGTTGCATAGACCTGGGGGCGGCGGTGCTAGGGGGAGGAAGATGGAGAGGGGGATGTCGGTTTCGGAGAGTAAGGGGCAGCCGCAGGGGCAGGGTTCTGTGTGGTCTGGACAAAGACAGGGACAGGAGGGGATGGGGATATGGGCGGGACAGGAGGTTAGGCAGGAGGTTAATAACGAATGGCCGGGAATGGTCAAGAGGGCGAGTAGTTCGGAGAGTCTTTTGGTGTTGCAGAAGTAAATACTTTGCCCTACTGCCTGCTTAATACATGTTATGTTTGTTGACATCTATCATGAGTTTGAAGCATGTTACGAGAGTGTAGAGGTAAGGTATCCATAGAGGTATCCATAGAGGTACAGAGACAGACAAATCCTGCGACCACTGGCCGAGTCGAGGTCTACTTCTAGAGGTAGTCAACGCCTGTCAGTTTCCTCTATGGAAGGCAAGTTACTTACCACATGCATCGCATGGTCCTATTATGCTCGCCTTGCTGGTATTTTGCTGGTCTTTTGCTGGCCGTGACAGTGTGGTTACATGATACCTCTAGCCGGCGGGACAAGAACCTAAGCTTTATACGTCTGCCCTCGGTCGAATAGCCACCTGGAGTCCTGGACCTTGGACGTTCTCTTCAAAGAGGCCAGGCCGTTTGTCCAAGGTAAGGAAGGAGGATACTGAATCACCAGACCGTAAAGACGTTGACAACAACGATAAAGCGAAGATGAATGAAAAGCTTAATGCTAGTGGAAGGTTAAACCAAGCCGGGGCCTGCTACGAGTTACGATTACATGTATCGCCGCCAGTAACCTCTACCGCTGCGGCGCTGCCACGTACACAGGACGTTGACGATCATGGGCAGAACAACCCAAAGGGGCATTCGCCTGAAGAAGCCAGTGCGCCACTGCGAGTCACTGGAGTCCATCTTCGTCGTCGGTCTGGATGGAAGGTCGCAGCTGAGGTGGAGATGCGAGCTCGCGGTTAAGATCAAATTGAAGAGGGCAAACTCGTATGCGGACGAGACGGAGACAAATGAGATGGCAGAAAACCAAGTCCGAACTGGAGCTTGGGGCTAAGGTTCGCAGAAGACGAAGGGTACTCGAATCAAGAAGAAAATGGAGGTCGACCGCGGTTCTTACACCCACCATCAGCGCAACAGGCCCCGCGGCGATAACCGGCTCACGCCGCTGAGAGAAACAATGAGAACCAGCACCAACCGACCAAGACTGGGAAAGAAAGCCGAACCAGGCCCAGACCCAGACCCAGACGCAAAGATAAGGGCAAGGGCAAGGGGAAGGAAATCGTTCATTCTCCACCATCACGTCAATGAGAACGAAGCTGGAGGTCATCTGTTTTTCGGCAGGCAATGATAGCCGGGAACACAGTGTCACCGGTGCACACATTGACGCCGAAGTAGCCTCTAAGAATTGCATTACCGTGGGGGCTACGGGCTACCCAATCCTCTCGAGGCGCAAAGGGATGGATACAGGTTCAACGAGGCTGCGCCAACATCTGGGAGGGAACCCAAATACCATCGCTAGAGGTAGCTTCAACTCGCATAAAGTTGACTTTACGGGTCCACCCTCGTCGGGTTCGTCATCAACTCTATGTATCCGACACTTCGGCTATATCCAACATTCCGGCCCTATCGTCATGTCATCTCCAGCCAACAGGCGGACGAAGGGTAGACGAATATATGCTGCCCGGGTTACACCTTCCGAGTAAAGGTGGCTTACTGGACTTTACTCTCCGGCAATTTGCCTATAACTAGAAGTTCCCAAAAAAATATTGTCGCTACGAACTTTACAACTTATTATCTTCGCATCTTCGGGAAGCCTTGAACGCCTACCTCAGTATATGGAAACATCCGAGCTACGTTACCCTAGGAGACCTTCAAACAATTCTCCTACCTCCACAGGGCAAAAACGTGGACTTACTAAAGGATACCTCTAAATGTATAGATCCCGCAATTGATTGTACAGTCGATCTCGGGCGATTGACTGGGCTTGGGTGTTGGGGCGCTCCAGTAGAGTACAGTACTTCCGAATGTCGACGACTCGGTCGTGCTCCCCCATCCATCTGAGAAGAAAGTTGAGGTCCATTTCATCAGCTTTGAGTCTTGCGATAGACTTAGGCCGGCTGCTGCCTATGAGCGCAGCGGCTCACTTGGCCTTCGTAAAAACCAGTCCCAGCCGGAGCCGACTCGACCTCTTTTGCTAAATCCCTTGTCCCGATGCCAGAATGGATAGAAAACTCGAGAACCAGATGGGGAATCGATGAAGCATAACTCGTCGAACTCGTCGGGGCCTATGGTATACGCCGCTGCGATGAGACTGACGGGGTGTTGCTTGGAGACTGAGAGGGAGTGGCGTGTTTGTGTTGGTGGGCGTGCCAGGGTGGTATACTAGGTAGATTGTGAATGGCCGGCAGATGAGAGTTGCGATGCCTAGGAGCATCTTCAAGCCGGTCTTGGTATCGGGGGACACATGACAGAACATTATGAAAGAGGTTGTGGTAGAGCTCGGCGGCGGCTTGCCCTTGTCATAGTCCCGGAACCGGTCTGATGTTGAATCCCAGGCCCACAGGCACTTTGGCACGGGTGTTCGTATGCGAGAGAGCGTAGTGGTGGTAGCCCTTGCAAGTCTGCTTTCTACCCCGGATAGCTTTCGTGGAACACTCTACGTGGGAGAGCGCATCGAAGATGCGGAAGAAGCTATCAGAAGAGCCCGCGAGATCACGATCAATGCGCGAACGCCAACAAACGAGGACTTTATGCTCGCCATGTTTACTGACGCATCGATAAAAAAACAACATGGCCCAACGTGTGGCCCAAGTCATCGATGCTTTCGTACGCTGTTGGCATGCAGGACCCTTACGAACCGGATGACAAATGCCAGGCCTTTGGAGCAGTCTTCTTTTCACCATCCTCTCCATCCGCTCCAGTTTTCTTTTCACCATCCTCTTCATCCGCTCAGTTCCCCTTATCTGCTCCATCGAGGCCAGCGCCACCACCATCACAGCAGCCAGCCACAACCCCCTGACCGAAAACCCCCGTGGCAGTGTGAGACTCCTCACCGTCGCCCAACGTACGAAGCTCTACGACGAGGGCCAAGCAAATGCCCGGCGCCACGACAAGCTTCGGAAAAGGTCGGAGCGCGAGGAAAAATAATCAGCTTGGTTCTGTTGTATGATTGGGCCGTCCAATTGCTCGTGGAGGAAACTTGAGCAGTCAACCCAGTCCACACTACCATTGCAACGCGTACCAGATAGACTGAACAAAAACATCACCATCACCACTCAGTAAGTAACTTGAGCCCTGGTGTCCAGCCTCTTGGGGTGGCCTATCGACCTAATGCTTCGGGACAAGTGCGGCCGTAACAACCTTTGCTTCTCGTCTGATAATATTGGAAAGCTGACCATATCATCCCAAAGACAATCTTTTCTCCCGAAAACATATCCCGAAGCTAATCGTTTTTTCTTGTTCTATCCCTTGACCATTGTCCCTTGTTCAGATCAGTTCTCGTCTCATATATTCGCTTCTCAGGTATACCATCAAGACAGAGATGTGCACCAGCTTGAGCCCCCATGCTTCATTCACAACCGCGAATCGGGATACAGCCGGTATCTTTTGCACCCGATAAGAACTGAATCCATCTATACTTGAAGGTCATCCTCACTACGACCTCTCCTCTTGCCCTGGACGACTGCCAGATCATCCCTTCCTTCAATCCGCAACACCTCCTCCCTATCCCCATATCCACCCCCTTCCACCTCATATCGCCAACACAGGGAAGTTGGACATGACATGCTCAACTTCGGCCTCGATATCGGCCTGTTGCATGGCGTTGTCAAGGGAGCCCAGGTAACGGGTCACCTCAGCACCGACGGAGGAACGGTAGCTGAACTTGGCGAGGTGCCAGATCTCGTATCCGGCATCACCCTGGAGAAGACGAAGCCTCTTTGAGTCGCGCCAATAACGGTGCTCCTCCAAGGAGGCACCGAATCCTCATCCTTTCCCTCCCCTGTATCTCTCTACTAGACTACTAGTTCATCCGGCCCGCCACCGCCGCCGCCGACAACATTCCACGATGATGAGATCATCCATAACAATGAGCAACCGTAACATGAGGCCGAACAGGCCGTAAAGGATGCCGAACAGAACGCGGAAGAAAAAGGGCTAAACGAGAGGAGGAAGCAAAGAAGTAAGAAAGAAGAAGGGCAAAAAGAGATAGGAAAAGGGCGAGGAAAGCGAGGAGGAGGGAGAGGAAGACGCACCAACGGAAACATGGAACGATCAGCTATTCGAGCGGACCGTGATAGTGCCGATCCAAAGAGGCAAATTTCGAACCCGTTTCGGGTTATTGAACGAGATTTTACCCTTGGTTTGCATCTTCTACCCCACGACCAGACAGCTCTCCTCAGTGGATCTTCTACCAAGCGGTCGCGAGAAGAAGACGACTTGGAGCCGTCACACCGCAGCGATGTCTTGTCGCGCAAGATGTCTGACAACGAGCAGTGCTGGAGCTCAAGTCTGGACCTCTTCTGATTGCCTACGGCAGACCCTGGATGCGGGAAATCCGTGTTATCCAAATACTTGATTGACCAGTATCTGCCACAACGGTGCCCGACCGCAACCATATGCTACTTCTTCTTCAAGGATGGGGACCAGAACACAGTCAAGCAGGCCCTTTGTGCTCTGAGCACTACAAGCGCACCAGAGCCAGCATGTCGGACATCGCGAAAGCAAAGGAGGCCAACGCCGCCAAAGACCTCGACGACGCCATCGCCCAGGTGAATCTGGACAAGCCATCAGCCGCACTTATCAAAGCGCTCCTAAGAAACGGCGCCAAAATAAAAGCGAACCCAATAAGACATGCAGAATATCTTGCACGTGGAAGGGAACGGCACAAGACACAGTACGCCAAAATAAAGGCGGACCCAATAAGACATGCACAGAGGAGGGAATGGCAGTCAACTTGAACCTAAGACGCCCTTAGGAGGAGCAAGGATTTGGAACAGACTTAGCCCAGGCCTTGCTGCCTATGACGCGTGAGCTAGGCGATTCAAGAATGGTCTGCGGGTTCGCGGACGTTGGCATGTTGAGCGGAGAGAAGCGGAAAGGCCTTCTACCTACCTTGGTGTACGGGCCGTCTTGTTAGTTCTGGAAACAATGGTTACTTCCGCCTTTTGGGCATACGATTCTATTGTAAGCCAGAAAGACCTTCAGGAACAGGGCTTAGGAAACCATTGTACCCAAGGTCGAGACGGCTGGGCAAGCAATTGCCATTGCTGTATACTTATTCGAGGAGGAGCGCAACGACGATGGATGCACTAGATGCGCTAACGAGGCTACCCTGCGCCCGACGGCCGAATGTGTTGCGCCCCACCAAAAGTGGTTTGGCGGCGCCTGTACGCATTGCCACTACGCTAGCGGCTGGGCAGGGCACCAAGTGCTCTTTTAAAAAGGAGCTAAAGGAGAAGAAGATCAAGAAGGAGGAGGTGGAGGAGGTGTGAGTTCCCTGGACGGAGGAGGAGAAGGACGCCATCATGGACGAGATGACGCTCAATGAGTTGGAGGATATGGAAGATGTTCTTGCGATGAGTTGGAATGGCCAGAACTTTGCCCGTGGCCGCGTATGAGTTTACCTTGGAATGGGTTATGCTCACATGAAGCAGTGGAAGCATATCGTGGATACTTCTTCGCTCCAGGGGGTGTCGAAGCTATCTTCCTCTTGATCGCGGCGATTTCTTCGGCATGGCGGGCCTCCATCTCCTCCTGTTTCAAAATGAAGCAGCCTAGGATTAGTCTGGATTTCTATAGCTTCTGCCCACAGTGTGCTCGCAAGTTTCGGCCTTCATTGGCTTCTTGACGACCCTTTTTTGCATTGTGATCAAAGCCGGAGCTGCCGGGGTCTTGGTCGGTGATAGCCATAAGGTGTTGCTGGGTTGGTGTTGCTGGGCGAAGTGTTCCATGTTAGGTAAGCTCTCTCTTCACAGTCATTTTCCTGTGGCGCCTTCTCGTTCTTGCCGGGAAATCCGTTATACCATCATTGGTGCGCACACATCCAAAGCAGGACGTAGGAAAACGATTCGAGGTCGTGACGGTATGTGTGGTCGATGTTGCGCAATACTTCAATCGCCATAAACTGTAATGTAGGTACCACTCGGGCCGCCATCTCGAACCTTGGCCATATCAAGGTCCATCAGCATGCCGGGGTGGCTAACATCGCGAGAGGCGGGGACCGGAGGAAGTGGCTGGCTGACAATGTTCCGCCGGCTCATAGAGGTAATCATGGGCATGAGCTTGACGGAGTTGACCCTTCTCAATCAAGCCTCCAGTTTTCGCTGTAGCATCTGCGGAAGTTGCAGCGTTCCGGGGATGCTCTGGGAGCAGACAGCGGGCCAACCTGTCCGTTGAGTCCTGGGTTTCGCCGTTGGGGTTGGGCCGCTTTCAACCTGTCAGTGTCCCATCCTAGACATCTGAGATGATGAAGAACCTCAAGGTCTGCTCCAGTTTGGCCCTCGTTCTGTTGGTTGGTATCCGTGTCTTCCATCAGGGACTCTGGTAGTTGCAGCTTCTTTGTGACTCCTTGGTGTGCGTAAGGGCAGGGTCGGGCTTTCCCACGCGTGCACGATGGCTTTTGCTCCAGCGTGCTGTGCTTGCCCAACGAAGGAGCAATTCCAGTCGCAGGACCGTTCCTTAGTGACTTGTAACAAGTGGGCTCAGGTTTGCTGATCCTTTGTTGCTGGCGGTGCTAGCCCCTGACCGGCGTGTAAACAAATTTCCTTTTCGAGCGTTTGGTCGCGGAACACCAGCAGCCGAGCCCTTCGTGATCGTGTTCTCGGAGCCAACGCGTGTAGAATGATGCATTTTGTTTATTCCCCATTCAAAAGGCCAGAATAGGTTTGTGGTGATATCGCACGAGGCTTTCCTCGACGTTCAGCTGCTGGTGTAGTCCGCACAAACGACCTGGATTGACTTCCACAAGCAGCCTTTCACGGCCAGCGCTACACCACCCCTTGGAATGCTGTGGACGGAACAGTTTCCGGGGAAGAAACTTGAAAGTCCAGTGCAAGCATGACAGCTTTTAGCTTTTGGGTAAACTAATGTGTTGCGAAGGTGGTGGTCGAGTGTCTCGGTCCTGCCAGGGCCGATCATGATGCTTTCTGTTCCCGCGCGCGCCAAACCTTTGGTCCTCTGAGCTCCAAGAGCCCATCCTAGTCACCTAATATATTACCTATTCTCGTGCCCTTCCCGCGTATCCCACCTCTTCCCTGTCATTCCTTGTATAAATCGGTCGATCGATCGTACGTCTCGGTCGGTGTGGAAGGCTCGAGGATGTTCGGGCGCAGCGGCGTCGCGAGCAGGCTGGAGGGTTCGGAAGGTGGCTGGATGCGAGGCCCTGGAGAGGGAAGAAGTTAGCAATTAGCTTGAGGAAGCTTGACGGGAAGTACTTGCCTACACTCTGCGTCTTTGGCGAGGGGGAATCTTTGTCTCTCAATGCTGACAAGCAGTTGGGCATTGTGTTGTGCTTTCCAGGTTGCTTTGATCGGAATGTCCGACTTCCATTGACATTGACATGCACCTTTGCAGGACAGAAAGCTCTCCAACGCATGGAGGTATAGGCAGAGGCAGGGAGTACATCATGCTTGGACTGACAAGGCATATGTATCAATGTACTTCTACTTCTACAAATATCAGCTCCACATTACATCATCAGCACCTCCCAACCCGTGCAGGCACAGAAAATACAGGCACCCCAACAGAAGATACAAAACTCCAACAGAAGATACAAAACTCCAACAGAAGATACAAACACTCCAACAGAAGATACAAACACTCCAACAGAAGATACAAACACTCCAACAAAAGACCCGACGCCGTTCATCTTACAGAGCTTCGAAGATGATCTGTATCGATCCCCAGGCAGCACGAATGGGCATTCACTGTTCTTTGCTTTCCGTGCAATCAACGCCAAACCGCGCACACCAGATTTTGTCGATGTCATCAGCCGACCCCTAGGACGAGGGGGCTGTTTGTGCCTCCCCGTCCAGAAAGAAGGAAAAGGGGTCGGCTGATGATGTGGTCGGATCTCGGGATGTGGTCGCATATCTTATTGGGTCCGCCTTTAGTTTGGCGTACTGTTTGGCGTCATCCGTGAGGCCAGAACACCTTCTTGAATGGACCCTTAGTGCCACCACGGAGGATGACGGAGACGATTGTAGTGCCTGGGAATCGAACCCAGGACTTTGTTGTTGTTGTTGTTGTTGTTGTCGTCGGTGGTGGTGGTGGTGACGATGCTTCAAGGACTACCATGATGTTCCGTTAGCTCGTGAACTCCTTGACTGGTAGACGAGTTGAAGGTAGACTCACCATGGAAGTTGCCGCGAGGCACACCACTCTTCCTGAGCGAGTGGCACTTCCCGAGCTTGAAAGCGTGCTTGTGGCACTTGTCTGTCTCCTACAAGGGCAACTGTGAGACGGGGCTCACATTCATCTGAATGGAGTGATGGAGTCAGCATCTGGGTAATGGTAACAGAGAAAGGCAAATCTGGATATTCCGTGATAACGAGGAGAGCGACATGGACAGAAAGTGAGGGGAAAGCAACGCATCATCTTTAGGACTCTTTCCTCTCGCTTGGAGGTTCAGTTGTTGTATACTCCTCTGTCTTGCCCATGCGAGGCCGCGAGAGCATTCTGAGGCAAGGGAAAGGTGCCGAGTGGGAGGGGATGCTGATGGGATGGTGGCAGAGGTTACGAGATCCAAACAAGGGGACTTACTCTTTCTCCGCGATGGAGGCTTGGAATCCAAGATTTGTGTGTGGCCTGAGTGTGGCCTTTGGGGGCCAGAGGCCTCGGCTATGAAGATGTTGTGTGGTGAGGAGGAAGAGGAAAAGAAGTGTCTCGAGGGGAAGATGGAGGGAGGGGAATGGAGGGGTACTTGAGAAAATCTTGAGGGGCGAATGGGCTCGAAGGTCAATCTTGCCAGCAAGAAGGCAGCCTTGCCGTCTCGTCTGAAGCTCCTTCCTTCCTTCAATCTTGCAAGCTGCGTTGCATGTCGCCTGACCTCGGAGTGTACGTACTCCTCACTCAGGGAGGATCATCTCCGGCCGGGGCACATTGCTGCGGGATATGATCGAGGAGATCGGTCAACAGGACTCGTCAACTTGGGCCACAACACAACCATAAAATTCTCCCAAACTCCAACAGTGGACATCCAAGACTTTCAAAGTTGCTCCCTCAAATTTTCCTGGTCCAAATAGCTTTCCTCCCGGTTGAGATAGGCGGACTCCTCAAGCTGGTCTACTTGGATTTGCCCCGGGAGAATGTGTGCCCTGGCTACAATCACTGGAACTAGATGGAAGGATGGTGTGACAAGAAAAGAACAAGTACCAAGTACATCAGATGAGTGTGTCATTACCGAGACGAATCTTTCGTGCGATTGTCCCGCTTGGCTGGTCCATAAGGTTCTCCCCATCCCCCAAGAAATTTCTTCCTTCTCCCTTCTCCTTTCATCATCACCTTCTTCAATCTAACCTGCCACAAACAGAAGAGCACACTCAAGACCGAGGACGCCGCCAGGATGTGCACCCAGACCGTCCTAACCACCTCCTGCTCAGAGCGGGGAAAACGTCCTTAAACCTCGATACATATCGACCACCAGTATCCCAATCGAGACACCCACCACCCAACCACCTCTGCAGCAAATGCGGCTCACCCATGTCCAACACTACCCCCAGTACAGCGGGGGCCGCCTCATTGTTTTCTCATGCTTCTTCATCGTGTTCTCCTGCTTCTTCGTGAGTAATCTTTTTTCTCGTCATCTCCCAAGTCCTCACCTTTGCCTCATCAGAGGAAGACCTCGCTCCGGTACTAACATGAACATGGTTAGATCAAAGCAGGAGAGGACAAGAAGAACATCCAGGCCACCAAGGAGACTCGCCGCCTGGCGTCCACTTCCAGCCTCAGGACGTGTGGGCATCCGTCCTCCTGTTGTAAGTTCACACTGCCCTCAGTTTCGTCCTCTCCTCTTCCCTCTCTCCCATTCTGACCTTTCTTTCACGTCAGCAAGCGCAACGGAGATTCGTACAACATATCGTCGAGTACCAGTACGCGTTCCCCAGAAAAAGCGCCTCCCGGCTGGGGCAGGCCAAACAATTGGCGGTGGCGGGGGGAGAAGCAATGGCTTGTTGGTGTGGCCGGCGCAATGTCTTGAGTGGCGGTGGCCCTGTCTCTCAACCGGGTCCACGTAGCGGCCGATCTGCTCCTGGACAACATTGGCGGTATCAACCGCGGCCCTGATGTCCTGGTCGACTGACTCGAATTTCTTGTCGAACCGACGCAGGACGTCTATCTGTTTCTTGATGGTGACAGCCTGGTCATTGAGGGCGAGAACCTCGACCAGTACCCAACGCCATCGGCGTGGTAAGTACCTCACCATGACCAAACACAGGCCTCTTACCACCAAGCCCCTGGGGACATCCAGCTAACCGTCCAGAAACGGCAGGCCGCCTCATCGTCTGGGCCCAGGAGGGGCCCCTCAACGCTGGTCCCTGGTCCTATACCCAGCCTCGCCTCGAGACTCTTCTCTCTGCTGGTGTGACCGGGGGCCGGCGCATTGTCTTGTTGGTGTGCCCGGCGTATTGTCGTGTTGGTGTGCCCGGCGCATTGTCGTGTTGGTGTGGCCAGCGCAGTGTCTTGTTGGTGTGGCCGGCGTAGTGTCTTGTTGGTATGGCTGGCGTATTGTCTTGTTGATGTGCCCGGCGCATTGCCCCGGGGGGGGGGGGGCTGGGAGGAGGTGTGTACTTGTACTGTAGTCTCTCTTTCTCTTTCTCTTTCTCTTTCTCTTTCTCTTTCTGGCAGAGGTGGGAAGGCAACGACAGAACATGGGCTTGATTCTGTACTGGTAGCGGAAGAGGAGAAACGGAAACCAGAGCAGTCTAGAAGACTGAAAGAAGTGCCGGTGAATGGGAAGCCCAGTGAATGGATGCCAAAGGCATGTAGATAGCAAATCTTTTACCCTTCACTTCTCACTCGCCGTGATCATTGTGTCCATTGCGCGATGCCGAACACTTCACGACATGTGCCCGAGAATGAGCTTTCCATTCATTCACTACCACGCCAGCTTTGAACTCAGGAAGCGCCACCTCCACCATGGCACCAAGCAGAAAACTCAGGCAGCTCTTCGCGATTATGCAGTATGCTCACAGAATGGACGACATCAATAACTGCTCTAAACATGACAATGTTCCGGCCTTCAACGTGTACCCAAGTCACTCGACATGGAAGATAGCATCACCTGTGCTCTCAACACGAGAGCCATCACGAAAATTCAGTGGCCAAAAGGCCCAGTTCACAATGCAACACGTTTAAGCGGATCATTTCTTGTGGGTCACTTCCGACTGGCATAACACTCGAGGACACTTCGTTACACGTTGAGAATGAGACCAGAACTACTCCTCAACATGTAGCTCTGATGGATGACTTCCTCGATCACGGCGCCCGGTCTCCTCCTGGGAAGATCTCACAGCGTGGCAGTTACGGATGCCACAAGGTCTCCTGCTTTCCAAAATCGAGCTTCGAACTCCGATGAATGATGCAGTCTGCCGCTCCCATGACTCAAAGTCTGTCGATCGCAAGACTCTGCTGAGTGCCTTGAGTTCCTTCCACGAAAGGTTTTCCCGCCAGGAGCTCAAGTCTTGGGGACAGTCATGCCCTCAAAGGTAGAAGGAACTCTTGACGCTGCTTCCAGTCTCTTCCATTAAGTGACGGTCACCCGCTACCGCATGACGAGCACCTCTTTGGCTACCTCTAGCCGTCTAGCGGCAACACGCCATATCTCTCTAACGGCGGCAGTCACGAGAAGAGATTTCCCTGAGTGGCACGCGGAACAAGCCGACAGTCCCCGCCTCATTGAGGGCAATGACTGATGAAGGAGTGTCAGAGGGCAGGAACGCCTTCCTCTCTGCAGCTCAACGGTGGCAGCCTCGAGACCTGATGGGGCCCACATGGGTCTGGTCCCCAAGTGTGATCGAAGAGCTCGGCCATCCTCGGAAGTGCGCCTTCCCACCTTGTGGGCTTTGGAGAAGCAGGAGGAAAACTTGCGAGATTGCGGCCAGCTCCCATCAGTCCCATGATCGACGATCGCGGGAGGAAATCCATACGTTCGGCAGTCACCCCTGATGACAAAAGGACAACAGGACAACAAGCTTGTTGCGGTGGTGTTAACCTTTGGACCAACTGAGCATTGGACACTGCTCGGTGTTTTCACTTGTCTATGCGATGGAAACTCATAGTCCATGTCTCCTTTCTCGGAGTCCTAAGGGGCCGGACACCAACGGCACCTCCAGTGAGGGAGCAGTGTGAGAGACTGGACTGCTACCAGCGGTATGCTCACAGAAGAAGAAAGAAGGAGCTCTGAATGATGCCTGCCATCTTGTGTAGCTGATTACCTCTAGCCAGCACCTTGAGGGCCACCTTGTGTCCCAGCACACGATCCACAACCTGCTCCTAGAGGCGCGCCTTCCCGTCTGAGGAAGAACCGGAGCAGAACTTGCGAGATTGCGGCCAGTTCCAGACTAGAGGTATCAGTCCCATGATCGAGGTCGTGGAGGAATCTGAACGTTCGGCAGCCGCGTCTGAAAACAACAGGACAACGGGACTCATTGCCGTGTGGCCACCGCTACTAGACGACGAGCAATCTTGGACACTGTACAATGTTTTCACTCGTCTATGCAATGGAAACTCATGCTTTCCTCCTCAGGAATCCGGACAGGCCAGAATATTGACAGCTCCGGCAGCGTGGGAAGCACTTCGGCTACTAACGGGACACTCCCAGAAAGAAAAGGAGCTCTAGAAGCTGCTTGTCACCTTGTGCCGCAGGTTGGCTAGCACCTGCGTTGCGGGTCACCAGCACCCACCACCCACGATTCTCAACCTGTTCCTAGGGGCGTACCTTCCACTTACTGCTAGTTGGAAGAACCGGAGCCAAGGTTCCAGGCTGCGAGATCGCTTCAAGTCCTTGGAGAGAGGTGCCTAGCCTGTGTGGCGGGAGGAACGCTGAACTCTGACAGTCTAGACTGCTTCCATGATTGCAGGACCGCTTTTTGGGAACGCGACTTCCGTCTCATCTCGAGAGATGTCCAAGTGACAGCCCACAGTGTCTCAAGTCTCTAACACGAACTTCTTCCTGCATTGTGAAAAAATTCTGAGCGCCGAACCAGTTGACGAGTTCCTCTTCCGAGCCCTCTCCTCACATTCTCGTTCGTACTCCAATTCTTCCTTCATCTACAACCTTCTCGGCGTCTACCTCTTCATCGATATTGTCCTTGCAACCAGAGGTTTTGTACCTTGGAGAACGCAGCTACCAAGAAGTAAATCGCGTCACCACTGCCCGCGGCCCGCGGCCCGCCTTCGAGTCAGTCCCCCATTCCAAGTCCTGCCCAAACACGTCGAGGTATCTACCTCTACGCCTCTAGCTTGCGGCTTCTAACGTAGGGAATAACAGACTCAATATGAGACGAGCAAGAGGAAGGTTGTCAAGACGACAGCACCATAGCTTGTGCGTGGAGTGGTAAGTGACTTTCTTCATATCGGCAGCGGCCTTATCTTCCCTGAGTTGTCCGTTACCCTCGGCACAAGTTCCCAAGGGGGTGGCAGCATACCTCTTGTCAAACAATAGAGACACTGGCACCACGCAGTGGATCAGCCCGTGAACCACCCCCTCCACCAGACACACACACGCACATACACACACACGCGAGCACACACGCGCTCGCATATCATCAAAATTATCACTAGCAAAAAGCAACTCACTTACACTTCCATCAATGCAGTGACGAACCCCGCACCCCGCCCAAATCCCTCGGCCAGACCCTCACTGGCGAGCAGGAAGAGGAGCTGCAGAGATCCATACGGCTGCTGGAAAACAAGATGGTGGAGGAAGAAGCGGCCAAGGCCGCCCAGGCCAGTGCCAGTGGAAGTGGCAGCAACGATGCAGCCAATAATGCTGCGGGAACGTGGATTGACGATATGGGTGTGGACTAAGGGCGTTCAAGGAGATGCAGGAACATGCCGAGATGTTGCAGAACGAGGCCAAACGTGGTTTTCTTGTTGCTTTCAAAAGGATGGTGGACGGAATCGAGTTCCATGCCTACAAGTACGACGAGGCACAGGGATGGTTTTGGGAAATGCCCAAGTACAGGCCTCAAAGAACTACCGACAGGAATAATTGAGGGGAAACCCTCCCCGCACCCTGTTGAATCCTAAACGTACCCTCTATTTTCCCCTGACAGCTGTCATATAATACTGGCCGTTTTTGCTGGTAATTTCGAGTTTTCTAATATCCCAGACATGCCGCTGAAAATCTTAAGTCCACGAGACAGCTATATCCTTCCCTATCTTCCCAAAACAAACATTCTAGCGATTCTTTTCATAGTATTAAGACATCTAGTAATACTTTTCATAGTGTTAAGGCTATCTAACTAAACAGGGCGCTACTCGCTAAACTCAAAATCGCTACTCAGGGACGAAAGTTCAGAAAATATTTCGATAGGCGCTCCAGCCTCCTCTCCTCTCGCCTCCTCTCCTCTCGCCTCCTCTCTTACCATATACTCTCGAACCCTCTCCTCCCAATATCTACCTAACTCTTCATCCTCCTCCTCGTCGTCGTCGTCAGCTACCTCGATACAGCTACGTACTACTTCACTCTAGACACGGGCGTCTCTGGCATCTATCTCCTCGATACTGATGCGTGCAAATGGGTGGTGTGAAAGGGGTGCAAATGGCCGTGTGAAATTGAGCGAAAAAAACGACCAAATTAGAAAGATGTTAGTATGCATTGAAAATACGAAATTTAGCGGGTAAAAACGGGATTTTCGATATCAGGTGTCATCCAGCTACAGTCCCACTTTTCTGGGTGGGACAGGGTACGTCTAGGAATAGGGTGGGTGCGGGGAGGGTTTCCCTAATTGAGTGAGTCCGGAAGCAATTGTCATGTTTTACGTGGGAAGGGAAAAGAGTGTTGAGCAAGATGGTTTGTCGATCCACACATGGATTACTCGCGTCTTACATGTACATATATCGAGGGATTCCCCCACCCTCTCTTTCGTCCTCTTTCTTCTCTTCTTCTTCTTCAATCAACAAGTTCACCACCACCTTCTTGTGCCCTCGTGTTCACATCCACTCCGTTCACTTCGACAAAGAGGCCATGGGAACGAGACTATATGCCTTTGAAGATCCGTAAAAAGGGTCCATTGTGCCGTCTTCGTTGATCTGGAGGCTTGAAGTGCTCCTTGGACAAAGTCGTCAAAGACTGCAGTGCTGACTGGCGAGGGAACGCGAGCGGGAGTAGCTGGTTGCGAAATCTAGGCCCTGATATCTTGGTCGGGATCGATGCCTCTCAGCTCCAGCTCTTGCCTTCGCTTCTGTTCGCGCTCCTCCTTGCTTGGTGCAGTTTCGTTTCCGGGAATGCCTTCCTCCTCGCAAGATTTATGCATGTCAGCCTCCATACTTCCATCCGACGTGACGGATACCTATGCTACGAGAATCCAGCCAGACATTGTGAACATCGAGGTTGTCATCGACAGGACCGAGGATGGATTCATCACAGGCACATTGCCTCCATGCCCATCTTCCACTCATCATGACCAATGATTCATGTGTTGTGTCCATGTGAACTCCATCCAGTCTGCCCAAGCCAAAAGGAATCAAAAAGGCAGCACAACAGAAGCAAAAAATGCCAAAAAGATGATGTTGTCCCAGAGGGAACATCGGGAATTGAGCCCGACGTGGGGGTCGAACCCACAACCTTGAGATTAAGAGTCTCACGCTCTACCGATTGAGCTAGCCGGGCAGCTGCAAGCTGCCTTGATTGTTGAAGGGAAGAGCCAGGAGTTTCGTATAAAAGTGCGTGAATTAGTTGGTGGCGAAGTTGAAAGGTTTTGTGGATGTGGATGTTTGGTGGAAGTTTGATGCCGGGCGGTCCCATGTTGTGATGGTGGATCGGGTGGGGACGATTCAGGGTGGTTCAGGGGTTGGGGCGGAAAGGAGGACGGGGGAGGGGAGGGTTAGGGTCAAAGGATGAAGGGGGCGGGATGGGAGATGGGGAGGACACTCTGCGATTTCACGAGGGGAATGCGTCAAGTTGAGGTATAATGAGCCCGGGAGGATGTTTTCAGGTCTGAGCTCTGCGAGATATGGTGATTATGTGCTTAAATCGTTATCGGAGACATGCATCCAAAGATGCCTCTCCTTCCATCATTCTTCATGCCATACATAAGTCATATCATGTTTTGTCCAAAGCCCTTTCTCCCCCTCCCAAGAACTTCCTCCCTTCATATGTACAACACCCGTATTATATCCTCCAACCTTCCTCCAGTCCTTTCCCCACTGAGCAAGCCTCTCCTTAATACCAGCCCAGGAGCTCTAAGCAGCACACAAATCCAACACCACAGCCCCCGCACTCCCACAAACCTTGGTCTGACTTCCCGCCATCTGCGTCCCATTCGCCCACTCAATAGCCCCACAGCTTCCGGTCCCCTTACCCTGCAACACGACCTTATGTCCCGCAAACGCGTCCCCAAAGACACTCGACAAGTCATACCAGATGTTGTCCCCGTCAAGCGAATACGCAAAGATCAGCTCCGGAGCGCCCGTGTACAGGCCGTCGGCCGTGGTGGTGATCTTCAAAGCTTTGCCGCCCGTTACGGGGTCCTTGACGAACGCCTCGGCGTAGGAGCCGCTGCCCGCGGCGAGGGTGACGGGCGACGAGACGGAGGAGCCCACGGACCAGAGGGTCACGGGGAAGGTGCACTTGTTGTTGACGATGGCGGAGCCGACGGTGGTGGCCCTGGTGGGGAGGACGGCGCTGAGGGCCGGGACGGCCGCGGTGGCGAGGGTGAGGAGGGTGGTGAGTTGCATTTTTGGTTGGGTTTTTGGGGCGGTTTGGGTGGTTTGGGTGGTTTGGTTTGTCGGTGACGGTGAGGAGTAGTCTTTGGGTTGAGTCTTTGAGGTTGAGACTTGTCTTGTTCGGTTTGCTGATGAGAAGAGGAGGAAGATGAGATGACAAGAGGAGCTTGAGGCTCTTATATACACCGAAGACCCTAGCTCTGAACCGATGTCATCGTCTTGGCTGACAACAACGTTCCCACCGCACCGCATCAGATCGAACACGGGAAGATGGTTACATCCTATCCAGTCTTGCCTCGAAATAGCATCCATCTCGTTAAGATGGATGTCAGATGGTGGAGGCGGAGTAGGTGTGGGCGGTGAGATACCAAGTCCCAACACGAGGTCGACAAGGTAAGACCCGCAATTCACCGACGTGTTACACTGCAGACAGGCTGGGCTTCACAATTGCAAACTTTCTCCTTCTCGATCTCTCGTATAGTCGTGCTATACCTGCTATGTCAGCCAAGGACCCCAAGGCCTCCAAGACTGAAGATCTTTGCCTTGCAAAAGCGTTAATCCAGCTCTCGGCAGCGCGGAAGTGCGGTTCGTTCCAGTCTTTGATAGTTCAATGGTCCACTGATCCGTAGAGGTACTTGGGTCGGATATGCAGTCGAAAGTTGTCGAAGTCTTGGACTCTTGGACTTGGGGAACATCACGCCGGAAGCTCCTCTACCTCTAGCTCTCAATATCCGCGAGACCAGAAAGACCCGAGCAAGAAAACACCATATTACCTTCAATCAACTCCAATACCACCCTAATCTAATACCAGGCCCCCAACAACAATACGACAGCAACAATACGACAATTGGATAGTTCGAATATCGAGAACCGACCTCTCGTGGTCGTCACCGCATATGATATCATTTGTTGGTTCGCCAAGCGAAAGCCAAGCCCTGGAGCCGCAGTCTCACCGTTCCCGTCGCTTCCGCAGCCAGCGATCTCCTGCGCCTCCATCTGCTGACATCCACTTGACATCCACTAACATCGTATTCGAAAGGGCCCGAAAATGCGGGGAACAGAGAGGGTGGGTGGCATCGTGAACCTTTTGCTGCCATTGATGGCTGCCCTGCCTGTAGGGCGGGCATGTAGGGTGCCGGATCGTATGGCGGGGTTGTATTACAGGGCTTGTGAGCGTCGGTGTGCATCATCGAAATATCGACTGTTCGTGATCGGTTTTTGTGGAGCTTCTCATGGCAGACGAGAAGAGTTGTGTACTTGCTTCCTTTTCCTTCCGGTTACTGGCTTCCACCAAAGAAAGAAACGAGACATTCGAAGACAATGAATCGAATGTTCGGCAACACCTTTCCGGGCCAAGACATGGCTGACTTCAATGATACCAGATGCCTATCTCATCCGGTTACACACGGGTATAAGCTTGTAGTGAGGCGAAACCAATCGCTTCGATTCACGATTCTGTGATACCGCGAAGGGCTTACAAGCTAGCTGCCTTCAAGTCGCACCGTCGAGCATCGCCAACCGATATGTATCTGACAGTTCGGCCCCTAGAACTAGCCCCCAACGCAGACATCGCATAGGAGGATCTCATGACCACGAAGTTCGCAATTCTCGCTATCGAAGCGATGAAGAGCTCCAGGCTTCCATATTGCCATAAAGTAGATTACTCCCGTCCTCGTATATGCAGGCGTCGATTGTTGTTGTTGGGGTTGAGGCGTGGCTCACGAGAGTTATGTAAAAGGTCGCGATGTAACCTTCTCCAACTCCACGGGACTCGGCGGGAGCGAGACCATGACCCTGACGTCAATCGGTTGGTGGAACCACTGATGCGCTGGGGCGAGCGCCGATAAGAGCCGCATGCATGCTTTTTGTCGATTGATTCCATGCTCTGGATTTTCCGAGGGTGGACTGATGGAAATAAAGGCAAGCAGAGCGCGCCTTTTTATTTGGCATTGCTTGCTGCATCGAAGAAATGATGTTTGGATTGATCAATCGACCTGCCTGACCTTGGGTGTTGGTCAGACTTCGCGATGTTGGTCAGTTGGTCAACTTCGCCAGCGGTTGGTCACTTGGCGGCGCCGTTGGCGACGACGAATTGCGGAAGTGCAGGGTAAGTGACGATTTTTGAGCAAACCGAGCAAAACCGCCGTTCGCGCCGTCGAGCGGTGGTGGTGGTGGCCCCTTGTCCCGGCGGTGTTGGCGCCAAGAGCCACCAAGAATCTGGGGCTTGGCGGACCGTCATCGCCCCATGGCCTCCATCCAGTCAGTCCTCGAGTCTTCTAGCCACCACGTCCGATAGCCTAGATGAAAAGAAAAAATTTGAAATGAAGAAGGGGAATGGGGAGAAGATCATGGTTAGTCCATAGAATGAGTGTCTGCATAAAAGCGGGAATAGAAACGCCACGATGGAAGTGCAAGCAAAGGCATGGACGGTGACGGTGCCCAACCACTGACCGATCAACAAAAGAGAGCACCCCGGGCTCGGAGAATGCAAGGTCCCTTTATGAGCACCACAAGCTCAAAACACCATCTGCCATATCTGCCAGGGCTCACGGACTCACCCACTCATGGCAAAGTGGAAAGGGAAGGACAAAGCATAGATAAGGGACAAACAGGTTGAAGTCTGGTCCTGCCTCACCGTTCAACGACAACAGCCGGACAGCGTGATGGCTTCAAGCAGCCCAACGAAAAGCGGGAACGAAGGCGAGCAAAGGCATTGAGACCGCACAGAAGATCACCGAAAGAAGATTGCGAACGGATGCTAGAGGTAGAGAGGTAGGAGTTAAGAATCGAGCACCACGGGTAAAACCAGCGGGGCCCGGAAGCAGCCTCGACTGCCCGGTGTTGTGCAGAAAGATGGATGGCCCAGTGCATGAAACATAAAGGGTGCATGGATTGTCTGTCCTCTCCGGCTGGAACGATGGGGATGCGAAAACATGGTGATGGCTTCATGGTCCCTTCTGGCTGGAGTCGATATGAGATGGCTTGGTGGGCGTTCGATGTAGTAGGCTGCCGGCAACTCGTTGAGAGATGGAGAAACGACACCATCACACGATGTTGCTATCGCCCATGCATCACGCAACAGAAAGACACAGAAGAGGGCACGCTTTAGCCAGGACTACAAACAGCATCATGGAAGCAGAAGACAAGGCAATGTATCCAAAAGTGTACGACAACTGTCGTTGTTGATATGAAAAAGGTATCCTAGAATGATCAATGGCAGCAGCCAGTCCGTCAGGTCGACCATGACTGCTGCGCCGAGAAAAAACAAACCCCCCTTTTGTAAAAACTGAAGAAAAAAATCTAAACGTTGTTTCCCAGGTATCGATAATCCTTCCAATTCCCGATTGGAAACAAAAAAGGTGCGCCGTTGAAAGGGACAACCAAACTCATTAAACTTCCCAACATATGCAAATGGCTTCTTATGCTCAGGAGTGGTACCATAAGACATCAATTTATTACACACGAAAACCTAACCAACACACTAGACTTCCACCCATATACATGCTTTCCCTATCTCCTGGGTATACAACAACCAACGGACTCCCTTCGCTCGCTGACTCGCCTAGAGCATGACCATGCCGGCACCAACGCCCATGGCAACGACAACGTACATGCCAACAGCCATATCAGCAACGGTGAAGAAGCTCTTCATGGCGAGAGGGGAAGCGAACGAGGAGCTAGTGGCAGCAGCACCACCACTGGTACCACCGGTACCACCGTTGCCGGAGCCAGCAGTGGCGGTAGCAGCGACCGCGTTAGCAGCCTCAGCGCTCTTGAGAGCGGCGGAGCAGGTGGGATCGGCCTTGGCGGCGCCGTTGGCGGAGGCCTGACCGTTGAAGTCGCAGGCGGTGGAAGCGTACTTCTGGTTCTTGTAGTACTGGTCCATAACGTAGCCGAGCTGCTGGAGGGAGTTGCACATGGCGTAAGAGCCGTAGACACCGGTAGAGACGTTACCCTGGATGCCGGCGCAGGCGGCGGGGTCGTTGCCGCAGACGACGCCGAAGAGCTCACCGTAAGCGGTGGGCTTAACGCTCGAGTTGGGAACGCAGGTGAGGGAGTTGTACATGCACTCGCAGAGGCTCTCATCGGGAGTAGGGGGGAGAGCGTCGCCAGTGACCTGCCAGTTAGAGGTGACATCGGGGCACTCGGCGGGCTCGTTGGTGGGCTTGTAGGCATCGAGTTCGACGGCGGAGGGCTTGGCGGCAAGGACGTTGGTCTTGAGCTTTTGGTAGTTCTTCATGGGCGTGGCGGTGTTGCCGGAGACCTTGACGAGACCATAGTCGTTGTCCTCCTCGAAGTACATGTAGACGATACCGCCAGAGAAGACGCCGGTCATGGCGTCAGAGTAAAGAGCGGTGGTCTCCTCGAAGATACGGCCGTCGGCACCGTTGGGGATGTTGCAACCGTACTCGGCGAAGAAGACGGGGACAGAGTAGTTCTTGAAGAAGTCGATCTGGTCCTGGTATCCGGAGCCCTGGATGGTGTTTTGGCCGCACCACTCGTAGATGTTGTAACCCCAGAAGTCGATGGCCTCGCTCTGGTTACCGCAGTTGAAGTAGTGGGCCATCTCGGAACGAATCTTGGCGTCGTCGTTGGCGGCATAGCCAACACCCATCCAGCGCTTGACGTTGTCCTTGATGTAGTTCTTGGAGTCACGGACAGCAGCCTTGACGTAAGCGGAAGCGTCGGTGTTGGTGGCGTTGTTGGAGACCTCGTTACCGGCAAAGAAACCGATGACGTTGCTGTACTTGCTCATCTCGTCGATGACAGCAGTGTAGCGCTTGTAGAGAGTGACATCCCACCTGGGGTCGTCGCGGTTGATGGACGTGGAGGGCTCGGACAAATCACTGATAACGTAGATGCCGGCCGCGTCGAGGAGCGCCATGCAGGCGCTGTGGTCGGCAGTAGGGTCGATGGCGTAGGTACGAATGGCGTTGGTGCCAGCGGCCGCCATGATGGGAACATCACGCTTGCAGGCGGCCGCGTCGGCGAGGGGATCCTTGAAGGTACCAGTGGTTGTCTCGCCACCAGCGCCGGCAGCATCTTGTTGGTAGGCGATACCCTTGATGTAGAACTGGGTGCCGTTTTCGTAGAAGAACTTGGTGCCCTGTGGATTCGAATGTGGTTAGCATTGGGGGCGCTTCGTGATCTGGGGTGCCACAGTATGCCTACCTTCATGGTGATGGGTTGAAGCGCAGCGGAAGCCTGACCCGCAAGGGTGAGGCCCGCAACAAGGGCCGCTTTAGAGGTAACCATTTTTGCTGTGTGTGTGTGTGTGTGTCGAAGTTGTTGATTAAGGCGGTGTTCGTTGTATTCTAATCGGTATTGAAGAAAAGTATGTCGGGAATTATCCTCCAGCTGTGGGCCGAGTGTATCGTGTAAATATGTTGTTTAAAGAATGTGGGAGAAGATATAATAAAAAGAGGCAGTAGCGAAAGACCTCTGTGATGTGTTCAGCCCCCTCTATGGATGATTAGTGGTGGATGGGCAGGAGTGAGAGAGAGTGAATGGAGTGAAAATGAACAGCTCGGGGGACATGCGGTGGAAAAGGAGGAAAGAAGAAGGCGACGGAGATTGGAAAGTGTGGAAATGGAGACTGGTCTGTGCGTCAGTGTGCGTGTCGTTGTGGGTCCGCGTTGGCCGGTGTGGTGGGGAGTGGGTCAAGAACCCCAGCAGCGGGTCCATCGAGGCCCCCAGTTCGCTCAGGAACGCTAATGCTGCAGCAGACGATGCAGTGGAAGGGGCCTACGCCAAGCAATTGAGGGCAACAACCACACAGAATCTCGAAATGGCTTGCTCAGTCCTATCAATGATCCGTCCATCACACTGGCAATCTCTGTGTCGCAGACCTCACCGGCCAACCATTTTGCACCTTTTTTGGGAGGTTTGGGAGGTAACATGTCTCCAACGCCACACAGCCCAGTGAAAGATGAACTCGAAACCGACAAGTGGGTTCGTCTGGTGATGTGGGTTTCGTCGCATGTGGGGATTTCGTAAACGCAGGGATGATCAGACATTGGGGGAGGGATTGTGTTTGGGAAAGACGCTGTGCTTGTCTCCATTCCGGTCGTCCCTCATCTCTGGAAACACAGGAACACATTGAATTGGATTGTTATTGTTAACGGGAGTGCGGGACACTGCCGGGATTCCATAAAAGTTCATGCAACACACATGTAAATCCCGTGTGCATCACCATGTTGACAAGATTCAAAAGGCCGTTGACCGCCATCGCATCGTTGCAGTGTCAGTGTGCCATCTTCATTTCGCCTGTTGCCAATGTGTGGACTCGTCTCCAGAGGACCCTTTCCTTCGTGGAAGCTCTGCCGAGCCTGGGGCAGACGAGCAACTTTGTGGACACAACACAACCGAGCGAGCGGGCATTGAGCGACCGGCCCAGGGGTTCAATTGTTGGCTGACATCGATCGGTTCATCTCTGGCGATAAAAGATTGAACCCTTGAAGGAGCAGCTCAAGCGACTCGATGGTACACGTACATACCGATAACACGTGACAGGGCCGTCCAGAAGAAGAGGGAATGTCCGACCGTGCCACTCCGCGGCCTGCCATTTCAAGCATGCTGTTGATCGAGATAGGGGGATATGGGATGAAAGATGAAGGATGAACATGTTCTCCTTGTTGGCGATTGACGTTCATCACTTCCACTGTCAAAGCTTCATTTTCATTCAAAGCGCACATCTGTTTGGTATCTTTTTTCTCGTTTGGCGCTCACATCGATCAGCGGCACGCCGACGCCCGACACAGGCAGGGAAGGGAGGCGGAGTCGCGACCCCATTTCTGGCACGTTCGCAGTCTGGCTGGTGCTGGTGGGCTGCTCACCCCAGAGAGAATTGGCTCGCCAATTTCCCCCGACGTTATTTCCCGGCTATTCCGTTTCCTCTCTTCTGTCATGCTCTCTTCGTATTTCCACGAGAGCCGACTCGATGAAAACATGCAACGGAACCGAACCGGCTGCCAGTATCGCCGATACGCCTCGTTTGTGAATGTAACCCAAGAGATCTCTTGTCATCAAATCCGCGCAATCGACAAGCCTTGTTCCCGTCTTGTCGTCAACAAGCAACGCTTGGATTTGGCAAAGAAGGCTTGGTTGATCGACGAGACCTTCTCGGCCCAGCGGGTTTGCGGGTTTGGAGCGGGTTTGGAGCGGGTCCCGCTTTGCTTGGTATGAGCTTGGCAGGCTTGGTCGCAGTGGAGCCGGCTTGGCGCATCAGGGGTAATGCAGGGCAGGCTCGTGTGATATTACTGGTAATAATGGATATATGGGTTCAACGTAGCTTGATTGTATATATATATGTAAGACTGGCTCTGTAGACTTAAAGTTCTAGCATCTAGGTAAAAATCCCGCATATCCTAATCCAACTAGGCACGTACATACCCAATAGATCCTTTAACCTATAATACACCCTCTTAAATCTAATATATAAACTATGCCAAATCTACCTAAAAGTACCCTAAAATCCTTTTACCACTAGCTAAAAATAATATTATTCCTAAATTACTTCCCCGTTATAGTAGCTTTCAAACTATTGTTCGTAAAAATCTTATCTTATTATATTTACTATTATATTCGCCGATTTATTGCCCGAATCCTCTTTTATAAAATCCTCTATACCCTTCGGGCAGTTTATAGTGATATCTCCGCTATTAAATTCTTGTAATTAAATTTATAGCTATTATAACTCTACGAATCCTAATTATTCTAGAGACTTTAAATATACTATAGGAAGGAGGCTCTTAATAAAGCTATTTACGATCTACTCCTTAGTAAGTACGTATACTACGTTTACTAACTTCCTTTCTTACGCTTACTTTAACTAATACTTATATATATTAATATGCTTAAATTTAGTTACGAACCAAATTCCCCCCTTTATAATAAATCGTATCGTTTATTTATTATTATAAGCTATAAGCGTAGCCTCTTAATTTTCGAACCCTAGGGTAAGCCTATTAAAAAAAAGGCGGGTATAGATAGCCTCCTTAATTCCCTAGCTAAGGGATAGCAATTCGGCTTCTATAAATAAAGTTGTAACTATATCTTACTTATTAGCTCGGCAATTGATTATAGCGCCTAGGAATTTAAATACAAAAGGTTATAAATTCTTTCGATTAAGAAAACTGTCTATAAATAAGGAATTAATTAAAATATAGAAGTTTTAATAATTTTTATTATTTAACTAAAGGGCGTAATTTTAAATTGTAAGAAAGTAAAGCAATATTCGATCTATAACCGTATAATGTGCTTAATTAGGATTTGAATTAAATTGAATAAATTTAGAGATTAGGAAAGCTATATTTAATCGCGACGTAACAACGATATAAAAAATCGAACCAATTTTAACTTAATATATATAAATTTGATAAGGGGCTATACTATTTTAGTAAAGTAAGAACTCTTCCTTAATTATAAGTATAGAATATAATTTTTTAATACGTTTAACCTTCTCCGCGATCTTCTAAATATGATCGCGCTATAATAATTAAATCAATTTCTTTTTTCAGTCTCGAATAATCTCGATATTTAAAAATTATTTTAGTAATTTTCTACCCGTTAATTAATATTTCTTCTCTATAGTAATTACTACCCCTTTAGTTATAGTAATCTCTTTATCCCTATTTTTATAAGTAATAACGATATCGTCGATATAAAAAAAGAGGAATATATTATTTTTAATTAAAATATTAAGCTTTATAGGGAGAGGATTTATATTTATAACTACGAAGGTCTTAGTAAATTCCTATTACTAGAAGAAAAGAGATTTCTATAAACTATATAATACATATAATAATTAAAATACTTAATTTTTCCTAATATATTTAGGGGGAACCTTTATAAATACTATTTCATCGAATATAGTATTAATAAAAGTATTCTTTACGTCGTACTAAATTAAATCGAAGTTAAAGTAAGCGGCTATAGCTATTAGGATATAAAACGATTTAATTACTAAAATTGCTACGTACGTTTTACGTATGTTATCCTTAGACTATTAGTCCCTACGTATAATTAGACGCGCTTTATATTTAAGGAACCGGCCGTTTTAATCAAATATATAAATATATACCTACATCGAACCGAATTTTTCGTTATTTCCCGCTTTCTTAATATTAATCCACTTCTAGGACTTCTTATCCTTATATTTTTAAAGAATTTTCTAAAAGAATAAGAATTAAAATTACTATAGTATTCTAGAAGAGGTAGAAAGTTAATTCAATAGAAGGTCTTTAATATACACTTTATTTTATAGCGGTTAATAATATCCCTTATTATTTTTAATTTAGGATTATAATTGGGATTAATATTGATACCCTTCTTTTTTATTTATTCTAAGAAGGTTTAGTTTACGACCTTATCTCCCTAAAGGCTTATAAATTGATTACGTCTTATAAATAAAAATAATACAGCTTAATAAAGGTATTAATCTATAATTAACTATAATTCTTTATTGGAATAAGAGAAGTCAGTTATTAGAAACGTAATTAGATTGTTAGGAGGCGTAGGGAAATAGCCTCCTTTTTTATCCTTCAAATTTAAAACTATACTCTAAAAATCCGACGGTAATTATATAAGCAGCGATAATAAGGGCTCTAAAAACTTTTATAGTATTTTTAAACCTAGTAATATCCCTAATACTTACGGAACCTCCAAAAATCTAAATTGCGTCTATATCTCTAAAAACTCTAATTTCTCCTCTTCCCTTAATATATTCTTGGTAGGAAAATTTTGGACAACGGGGCTAAGAATTCTATTATCTATAGCGGGTATAGTTTTAACTTATAGGACGTTTATTTACATAATACTTATTTAATAAAAATCTCTTAATTGTATAGCTAACTTTTTAAAGGAAATATTAAGGGCATTATAAATTTCTTTAACGTTACTACTAAGGAAAAGTTTATTTTTATTAAATACGACGTTTCGTATAATAATAATAGAGTTAATATAGGGATTCCAAATCCTATAAATATTCGTTAATTAATATTTAACTAAATAGCCAACCCAAGTACGGTCCTTAAATTTCATTAATTTATTCTTTTTCTTTATAATTTATATTATAAGAATAAAGATTTTATAATTATATACTTTAAAGTATATAATAATAGGGGAGGGGTTTAATAAAAGAATGATACAGTCTTTAAATTAATATTACGTCTCGAATTAATTTTAAGGAAATTTCTAATAATACTTCGCCTTGGGAGTTAAATTATATAAGTATATAATTGCTCTAATGATTTCTATTTATAGTTTCTAAAGAAAATTTATATTTAATTGTATTATTATACCCTTAATTTTAATCACACCCCCTAAACACTCTATACCGCCGTTTTAAATTTATATATAAAGTACTAAAGGTTCGATACTAATTCCCTTAGTAATAAACCAAGTAATGATCTTTTTATTACCAATTATTTTATTATTGTATTCGATTACTTAAAGTATAATTTAATATTAAATCTATAGCCGTATATAAAAGGATTCTAAATACGCGATAATAAATTCAAAGTTTCTAATACCGAAATAATATATTTAAACGAATTTAAACTACCGGTTTACAATTACTATTAAATTTAAATATTTCTAACCCCCTATTTTTACCTTTTTATAAAAAAAGAAATCGACGGTTAATTATAACTTAAGGCCCTTTAAGTAATTACAAATTTCTCTACACATTTAATACTTTAATTTAGTTTTAGTATATAATTTACAATATACTATATCCGGTACCTTAAATCGTACGCTATATTTTTATTTTGTTAATTTAATTAAAGTCTCGGGTCCCGGGTAGCCAAATTGAAAATACTAGCGAAGGGGCTTACCCTTTTAGGGCTTCCGCTTAATATAATTTATATATTATATAATAATAAAAAAAACTCGTTAATACTATTTTATAAAGGGATATACTCTAAAATAAATCATTTATATTTAAAAAGGATATGATAAATAAGGGAATCCGTAAAGCGGAAGCGCAAATAATTATTCTTATAGTCTTAATAAATTTATTCATCTTCGAATTATTTTAAAGAAACGAGGTTATAAATTATACCCAGTATTAGAATGACGTTAGGGAATTAGAGCTCTCTATTTCTATTATTATTTTAGACTATAATTATAATAGTACTATACCCCTTTATAAGAATCCGCTTATCTCCTGCCTATACGTAATTACTAGTGTTTAAAGGGGTAAAGTTTATGAAGCGATTAATTTTATTAAAGATCTATATTATTATACCTAAATCAAAGATTGTAAAATCTGTTAGTAGGTATATAGCGCTATATTTCGTTATAAGTACTAAGAAATTATTTTCACCTACCCGACGACTATAGAATTAAGTATTTTAATCTTCGTCGTCCTACTATATTTGTAAACGGTTAACGGCTTCTTTAAGTATTTTATCCTTCTTTGAATTAATATACGCATGCTTTTTAATAATAGAATTTTCAATCTAATTTTTATAGGCTAATTATAACCTAATATAATAATATTTATTTAAATTATAGCCCGGCTTCTTTAAGTATTTTATCCTTCTTTGAATTAATATACGCATGCTTTTTAATAATAGAATCTTCAATCTAATTTTTATAGGCTAATTATAACCTAATATAATAATATTTATTTAAATTATAGCCCGGCTACTTATAGAATTTATATAGGGATCGACGTAATTATTTGTTCGTTAGTAAGGACGAAGAGGAAATATGTTTATTTTTATTAATATTCTTCCTAAATTTACTATTTTTACTTATAACCTTTCCCTATCCCTCTACCTCCGGACTGTCACGGCACGTTGAATTGAGGGCCGAGGCTCCAAAAGGTTCAGACGAATGTAATAAGATATTAAAAATGAGGAGGAAAGAAGAGCTAGATACATAGGATGGAAGGAAAGAAGGGTTCTTATATACAATAGCAGATGGGATGATAGAAGATCCCAGATGCTAACAGGTACTGGCATGCTAAGCCATTACACGGACTAAAGTTTTATTCATCGCTAGGAACATTCTCTTTAACGGGCTTACTGCTTAACGTAACCGCGAACGTAATACTTTTAAATAAGAGGGTATAACCCTTTCCCTAAATAATATTCGGTATTATTACTTTACGAAAATCTTTGGCTACGGTATAAAAAGAGATTTTAAAATTAGGGTTTCTCTCGATCTCTTTATTATATCAAAACTAATAATGATTTACCCAAGCGGTATAAACATTCGACCTTAAATTATATAGAATTTTAGGAATTATAAATTTGGTTTATTTATTCTAATAATTCCTTTAGTAATATAAAGGGCTATGGCCGCCTCTTAATAAAAGGTCTAATGGTACTAATTATAGTTAATTTTACTAAGGGGCTTAAAAATACTAATAAATCTAATCCGGGCGAACTTCTTTACCTTACGGTTATTAAAAGCAGTGGACTTACTAAAATTATTGTACTACTTATATAGACTAATACGTTTAATAAAATTAATTTCCCGGTAATTATCTCTAATAATTTCAAATATGTAACGATTTAATAAAATCTTCTTAGTACCTAAATCAGAAAAGGTCTTAATTTCTATACGTTAATCCGACTTCTCAATTATATAATTATAGTAGTCGTACTTATAATAGAAGCTGTATAATTTAATAATAATAGATAGGGTAACCTTTCTATCCTTCTTAGCTTCCCTAGTTTTTCTAGCGAGAACCTCCCCTTAATAGCTAGCAATATTGGGTTCTATTAGTTCGGTTAGCTAAGGAACGTAATTATTCGGGTCGATATATTTTTAGAGACCCAAGTCCTGGGCTATAGAAATAAATAGATTTTCCTAAGCCGGCCAATCCTTAAGACTATTGAAAGTAACGTTATTAATTTTAGTTGTAAATATTATTGGTAATCGTTTAGTCAGTTGTTGTTGCTAACGATAGTTTTAACAGTCGAATTAATAAGATTTTTAATTGTGATATTACTGGTAATAATCGATATCTGGGTTCAACGTGGCTTGATTGTATATATGTATATAAAACTAGCTCTGCAGACTTGAAGCTCTGGCATCTGGGTAAAAATCCCGCATATCCCAGTCCAGCTGGGCACGTGCACGCCCAGTGGATCCCCTGGCCTCTGACAGCTCGCAGGCATTGGGGGCGTGGGCGGCTGTCTCCTGGAAATCTTGGCAGCTTGGCAACTTGGCAGCAAGCCTTTTGGCCAACTTTTCGTGCCCACCTCGAATTCAATTCGATGTTCGTCTTTGGTTTCAGCGACGCTGACGACGACGACGACTAGTTCGATGGCTGTGCATGCGCTTGATAAGTATTGAACCGTTCTTCAATCTGTGGATGTTGATTTTGCTAGTGTCTTCTATTTTGGATTTGAAGATGGATGACCTGAATGCTACTCTGACATGAATGCACTCCTGACAGCACTCGCAAACTCGGAAGATGAACCCCCCGAATTGTGCATACATCTTGAAATTGAGCTTCAAGCGACACGCAAACCGCCCGCCGCGAGTTGTCACACCAACACAAGCGCCCGATATCTTGATCGCTCTATCGCTCAACTCAAATATCTATTGTACTCTAAAAATCCCAGCCATCGGCAGTGCAAGCGCAGTGCCACCCGTTTGAAACTTGTGTCGAATGTCCACACAGTCGACGGTTGAAGCACCACGACGGACTGGGAGCTTGTTGTCAACATGCAGTGTTTTACTTCCAAACCAAAATGACGTCCGGATGCCAACAGCCGAAACAGCGGGTCAAGTTTCATGCTTCAACTTTGTGGTCAAACCTTTTTTTGCGAATGAGTCGAATCAACAAATCAATTGGTCCTCGCTCGAAAATTCCTGACCACCCAATCCATGATCTACAGGAGAATGATTGGCGCGATCTTCACTCCTTCCAATGTCAGCACTGCCTCCTTCGTGTGGTGGTTGTCTTGGTTGTGCAGTCGCGATGAGGGTGTGATCTGTGCTTCTAAGAATGGAACATGCCGCTCACTGTCCGCTGTGGTGGGCGACGACGGCTGGCCGGCGAGTGCGACCGACAGGAAAAGGGGCGCGGCACGCAGGGCTCGGCAGGCACAGGAGGCGCTGGTGCACGAACTAGAACGTACAAGGTGCTGTTAGAATGAGGTTGGTGCACTAACATACTGCCGCAGTGTAGGTAGACAGATCAGATAGGATAGTAACAGGAGCGCAGCACTAAATGAACGTCCTCCCGTCACCAACCACCGAGGTTCCAGTGAGTGCAATCAATTCCAATGACCTGATGTCCGACAGGCAACTTGGAACAATTCACAAATACGACCCTCCAAACCCTCAATTATTCTAACATCCACGATTCTGTCCCTCACTCTTCATTACCAATATATATGTCTCTTCGACCGATTCAGCAAGATACTCGACGTCCTATAGCCCAGCCGTCGATACAGCATGCCATCAATGATGCACAAACAAGGCTGAAGTCAGCACCAAACAACCTCGACACCCAAGCCATAACGCCATCTCCATTCCATGTGACCATGTCCATCAATGTCATCACAGAAACATTCTCAAAGATCACATAGAATAAGTGATATCTTCATTCCACAGACAAAGCTTTCACTCTCAGGTCCATCCAGCATCAAGTTGACGCCCTTCTCAGTCTGTCTCAAAGCCTTTCCCATTTCGATCTATCTACCTGAGCTTCCTTGTTTTCCTTGTCCAACTAGCCTTCCCTCGTTGCATATTCCACAATGCCGCAGCCCTGTCCAACTCGCGTATCACGGGCCTAATGGGTAAAGTTCTCTCCCTCGTCCAACCAGCCTGAATATTCCACAATACCGCCTCCCTTGTCCACTCAGCCTGATCCTCATACTTCGCGATGCCGCAGCCCTGCCCAACTTCCATGTCACGGGCCTAATGGGTAGGGCTCCAAGCTTGGAGCAAGTGTTCCAGCCGCCTATATATACGTGGAGTCCTGCTTCAAACGTGGTTAAGCATGGTTAGCATCCGTACTCGCAAAGGAAACGGCAAACTCCAAAGAGTATTGACAAGTGTTTTGCTCTCAGACTGTTCTTAGTTGTTTTTTGTGCCTCTCATCGACCTTGGTCTCCGAACTGGTGCGTAGTAGGTGTCCATCATGAAGCAAGTCGCTATTCTATGGGAGGTTTTCTGCTTACCAAGCTACGGTGTTGGTTCTTTCTTATTGTTCCAGTGGCCTACATCGGCTCGCCAGTCCTGCTTTGAACACGGCTACATGTGGTTAGCATCCGTACTCCCCAAGGAAACGGTGATCTACAAGGACACGCAGGTTCGTGTTGCTTTCAGAGCGTTCTTAGTTGTTTTTTTATGCCTGTCATTGACCTTTGGGTTGGTCTACAGGTGCTTTGCTTGGTATCATCATCAAGCAAGTGTCTATTCTAGCGGGAAGTTCTCTGCTTACCAAGCTACGGTGTTGGCTGAAGACAGTAGCCAGGACCAAGCGCCGGAGTGGTGATCGAGAGGCCTACTGGGAGAAAGTATTCTCTGTTAGCAGTGTCCTTCCAAAAGAGGGCAAGTGCTACAGCCAAGTGGTGGTGCCGTTTCTATCAGAATCAGGCAATATTTGCCTTCATTGTCCCGAAGGAACTCAGAAGTAGTCATATATAAGGGTGCTCATCATGAAATGCACCGGGGCTGTTCGGTCGTCGGGAACACTTGGGGTTTGAATGAAAGTCAACTTACTGGTACCGCCTGACCTCAGACACCGCTACTGGGAAACTACTGATGCCTTGTTGGTTTTGCTCGCTTTTTCTCGTTGTTGATGTGATAGTATTGGCATTGTTACACGGCTCAGTCTGAACATTTGTTGGCTTCCCTTCACCGGCACTCCCCTTCAGTATTTCTAGGCTGCCCTGGTTTCCGTTTCTCCTCATCCGTTATTACTACATAAATATGCCCTTTTTCTGTCGTTGTCTTTCCCTTTCCACCTCGTCATCCTCGGTCTTGTCGGAGCCGGAAGGCTTCTTGCTCTCGGGCTTGAGCATCACCCCTGTCGGTGCGCTGATGGAATGGTAAAGAATCGCGAGAGGTGTGTCGCAGACGGCGAGCGAAGCGACGACGCCGGGGAAGAAAGAGAATTGATGAATCGAAGGTCGGCCGATGCAGTTGTGATGGCCAACTGACTGCATCGCCGTCTCGGTCGGGACTGTCGAGTCCATCGGGGGTGGTTGCTGCACTTTCATCATGGGGTGGTTGTCGTTTGGCTTTGGGCAGTCGTCCGCTGTTGTGTTGCAATCTAGTGTTAGCATCTGCTCTTCCAAGTGGATGTGTTGGTCATTTGCAGCAATCCAAGCACTTGCTTCATATCAGATTCTTTTCAGTATGGTGCTCATCAACTCCCTCCTCGCCTTGTGAGCGAGTGGTTGTTTCACAGTCAACGTATCAAGGGTTTTCATCATTGAAGCAAGTGCTGTTTGTTCCCCGAGATCCTCAACAGCCAGGAGAGGAATGATTAAAAGGGGAAGGGAGGAAGAATGTAAGAACTGCTATTCCATACGACGAAGGAAACTTGATCGCCGATGTTATTACACAGATCTCTGCATCGCTGGAGTCACGACACATTATTCTTCGGCATGTGGGATTTTCTTGTGATCTAGGGTCCTACAGCCCTCCCGGTCGTGGACTCTAGACCGGGAAGACTGGGCTTGCCGGACAAATGTGTAAGAGGTGCGTCCCCGGAACTCTCACCAGCCAGGGAGAGAGATCAAGTGATGAATGGGGAACGGGGGATATAATGGGGAGATGTAAGAACTGCTATTCCATACGACGAAGGAAACTTGATCGCCGATGTTTTTGACACAGATCTCTGCATGGGTGTTGTCGTTGGGATACATTGTTCTTCGGCAATTGGGGTTCTGTGGATCTAGGGTATGCCTACAGCCCTCCCGGTCGTGGACTCGAGACCGGAAAGACTAGGCTTGCCGGACGGATGTGTATAAGGGGTGTGTGTGTGGTGCTTGGGTAGGGCTGATGGGAGAGGTATGTGTAACTGATGGGCAGAGGAAATACTTACTTACCACTGACAGACTCAGGTATCCGTTGGCCTCAAGCTTGGCCCGCATCTTCTCCAGCTCGTGAGCCTTGACACCGCCAATGGAAGGGGTCTTTACTTGTTGTTCGTACATGTTCGACAGGCTTCATCTGCTCACTCGCGGTGAAATTCTCGGTCTGGGCTTGGAAGACGGCCGCCATCTTCTCTTCCTCCGTCATGGCACTGTTCAACTGCACAATCGGATTCGAAACCGACTTGGCTAATGAGTCAACCCCATTACTCGAACCATGCGCCCATCGTCCATCTGTTGTACTCTAGGCTCCTTCCTCCACCGCTAGAGGTATCTCTTCGCAGAAACGGAGTTCGGGGATAAGCTTCTTCTTGCGCTTGGTGTCGTAACCCAATAGGCGCAACTGGCGCACACAGCAAGATGAATGGGTGTCTTGGCCAGAACGTCTCGATATGCCGTCATCACGAGGTGGCCCAGCTCGAACCTTCTCGTCGCGAACAGGTCGGAAGGCGCTGCTGCGAGGTTTGCTGCGATGCGGATGGTGCAGTGTTAGACGGAGTCGGAGATTCGGGTTCATGATGTTGGGAGTAATATGGATGTCGGTGGTTCCGTTGAAGGCGCTTTTTTTTTATAGGGGCCAGCACGGATTATGGGATGAGGCTCCTGCCTATACGTCTGAAGTTTGGTACTGTCTGGGAGGTCATACGCCTTGCATATTCCTGGGGCTCCTTCCTTGTGTCTGCGTACCTTTTGATCCTCGGGGGCCGAAGAGATGATGGCGTTCATGAACATGGGCATTAGTTCAGTCACTCTATGGACACCGGCAGCATAGGTGCCATCCTGGGCACCGAGGGTGACGGGCTGTCCAAGGGCCTTTGCCTGATCCAACCATTTGCGGGTATTTCTGGTAGATGTCGTACAGCCCGAGAGCTCGCAGCTTCGGCCTCCATGTGTTGCTCTTCGAGCCGGTTATGGGCTTCAACCTGCTGGCCAGAGAGCACAAACCAGCTCTTAATTTGGTTCGACAAGAGCAACTGGTCTTTTGGAGCGTGCTTTTGTCGGTGATCGGTGGAGCGTGCCGTCGATGTCTATCGCAGCGTGGGCTGGGCGGACGAGTATTCTCTGCTCTTGCACGAGCGGAGGTCCTACGACCACGGAAAAAAGCTGTCCAAGGGCCTTTGCCTCATCCAACCATTTGCGGGTTACGGAATCTACGACGTATAGGACGCCCAGCTTGTGAGTGTTTGGTGTCTTCTTGTAGTGGGTGTATGTGGCCCAAGAGGAAATACCGGTACTGAATGACTCCCGGAAAGTACTTGGCAGGTGTTGACACTCCCAAAATCGTCACCTGGACCCGTCGTCCGAGCTTTGAGGTCCGCCTCCTCACTTTTTACGCTGGCACTTCTAGACCGCGGGGGCGAGAATCCAGGTTGGCAGGATCCCCACCTTGACCTCACCTTCACTTCCGCTTGATCAGGTTGACTGTTCAGCAATGTGGCTGATACCGATATTAATCTTCAAAAGCCAGGGCCGCAGGGTCGATCGGACGACTGCAGCTGCTAGGGAAAGAGATGAGTTCCGAATGACGGACGGTCGCGCAAGAACAAAACGCCCGAGACGTCAAGAAAACCTGCGCGTTTAAATCGCCTTTACAGCTTTGCCAGAACAAGGGAAAGATGTACGAAGAAAAGGACGCGATTATTAAGTACGACGACGATGGGCGATGCGACCGTTCGAGCGGTCGGAAGAATAAACCGAACACGGACAGTCCAATACCGCTCGCTTTCGCTATCGGTACCGGTCATGGCGATGACCCGTCTCCGAGGGATGATCGGATCAGGGGCATGCCATTGTTGTTGGCGGCGGCCCCGGTTGACGAGTAGGCGCTCATCGACAGACAGATCATGATCGAATGCTACGAGCACCACATTCGTTTCTCTTCGGGAGAAGGCGGCCCCCCGGGACGTACGTAGCACACGTGGCACTCAGCAGCTGTGGGAGGACTGGGTTGCCAATTCTTAGGTACTTGTATACACCTCCTCCTTCTTCGACTTGGTCGCAGGACTTTTCTTCCCTGCATTATTTCTCGACATCTTGCAACGATAGTCGCAACCAAGTCATTGGTCTCAGGATCACCCAGCCCCTTCAAGCTTTCAATTCCTTGATCCATTTTAGTGAGGTGGTCGCCGGATTGATTCGTTAGGAGGCGCCTTTGTTCCCGAAAGCTGAGGTTTGTAAAGCAACCAAAGAGTTCGAAGAGCTGACTTCACCGTCGCACCGAGGTTGAAGAGTTGAATCAAGAGGTTGAGTAGACGACCGCCACCTCGGTTCTTCTTGTTCTTCCAGTTGGGACTATCGCCGTAGATGGTCGTAGTTCGATTCGGTACGAGGCGCCTCTTGCTTTGGTCGAGTGGTCACTCCGTCTTGTTTTGTTGCTTTGTTGGTGTTGGGCGCGTGCCCCCTGGGTGAAATTGGAGATCTGGTGTCAGAAAGGCAATGGCAATGGCAATGGACCATGGTGGTGCGTGGATCAGCTTTCTTCTTGCGCTTCGTGTCGTAGACCAGGTCTGGTCCTCGGGGTGGGCGGGCTTCACGAGGCGCGGCTGTCAGGCTTGGTGGAGTCGCGACGGCCAAAACCGCCTTGAACTACCTCTTGCCTCTCGGTCCGGGATCTCTCGGGGATCTGGATGTGGTGGTTCGGGTAATCCGTCTCCCTCCGTCTCCTTCTGTGCCTTCTGTGCAGTTTTGGCGGACTGCAGTTGGGATCTTGAAAGACCTGCAGCGAACCACTGGTGGTGTGAAGATGTCTGGGGGAGTGGAGGTCAACAAGAGCGAACCGCACCGAACCGCACCGAACCGAACCGACTGTCAATTGTGCGATGGTTGCCGGCCGTATGGGTGCTGTTGTTGGTGCTGTTGGTGCTGCTGCGCTGGGCAGCATATTCCCCTTGAAAGGCTTCGCTGCCCATTGCAAACTCATAGAGCGCGGTGATGAGAGCAGTGTACCAGGTATCTTTTTTTTTTTTTTTTTTTTTTTTTTTTTTTTTTTTTTGATAAAGAGAAGGAAAGTACACTGCATCCTTCTGGATGCCCTTCAGGCCAGCGACACGACGCTTGACATCGGTAGGGAGAGACTCCGATGCAGCCGAGTCTAGAAGTGCCAGCGCAAAAGTGAGGCGGACATCAAAGTTCGGACGACGGATCCAAGTGACGATTTGGGGAGTGCCAACACCTGTCAAGTCAAGGTCCTTCTCTGTACAACAAACAGCAGGTTAGTACGAGTTCAGACGACAGCCAAAGTATTGGCAGCAGCAAGTTTCAGGAAGAGATGACTGACCTGGTCCTTGGATTTGGACGCAGACAATGCGGCAGATGGCTTTGCAGCTTCTGCCTTGACCAACGGTTTCGCTGGTTCGGCCTTTGCAGGCTCTGGCTTCGGGGCTGGCTTTGCTGCTGGGCGAGCCTTGCCAGGAAGCAGATAAAAAGCACGAGGCTTCGCTGGGACGACCCCGTATACGCGTCCGGACGGGCACGAGTGGCCTCTTTCGCAGCTCTCGAAGGCATCTGTCTCCGCGGAAAGGGACAAGGTGACTCAGGTTCTTGCGTGATGGCTACCGGGTCATCGGAAGAGGAGGTTGACGATGTGATGGAGGTCGCGGCGCGTGTTGTTGCCGAGTCTTTGGGTGGGAATATCTGATGAAGAACGACCCTGCCGCGGAACGTGCCCTGGGCTTTTGCCACTTCAGAGAGATGCGGGCGCGACTGCAACGGACTCGGCACGAGAGAGATCCGGAGGAGAAGGACAACTTCGGTCGGTGGGCGGCCCAGCCCGGCCCAGCCTGCGGTCGCTGCCCGCTTAACTCTACCCCAGTTGATGGGGAGAGAAGCCACGGGGCCTTAAGCTCGCAGGTTGGGCGATCACACCACAAGTTGAGTGTGATGTGGTGATGTGGTGATGGAGAGGCTTTTGGCTGGACTCCAAACCGGCCCTCAGGCGCCAACTGGCCCGAGGAAGGGCAGCAAGGGTGCCGTCTTCGGGCACGCATCGGAGGGAAGTCGAGACCGGTCGGGGGAAAGTCGATGAGCACAACGATGTACGAGGCGGCGGCGCGCACGGAAAGCTAGAGGTTGGTTGACAGATGGTTAGCACCAATGTCTTGAGGATGCAGTGGTGGTTATAAGCATGGTGAGTGCTCCAGGTCAGACTTAAGCAATTTTGTGTCGTCATTGAGCTGATCACAAAGTGAAGGCTCTTTGACAGGTTTGTCTAAGGTTTTGGTTCATCATGGAAGGGGAGCTGACGGAATGAAAGAGGCAGAAGATGAACCGCTTACCTTGCAGTTTGGATGGAAGTCTCCGAGTCTCCATGGAAAGCTTCAAGGTGGTGCCGCTGTCAAGCTTGGTGGTTAGCAATGCTTTCCATCCAGAGGAAGTGCCCGGTTATATACGCGCGGTGAGTGTCCCCATCCAAATCAGATCTCTGTGTCTTCATCGAGCCCGTCACAAAGTGACTTTCTCTTTGTAAGTGTAGGAGCTTTGACTGGGGTCATCATGGCAGGGAGCAGAGCTAACGAGAAGGAAAGCGGTAGATGAACGGACGACGTACCTTGCAAAGGGGATCAAAGAGGGCTCTCAAGGTTGAGAAGGTGGGTGGTTGCCTGACGGGATGATTAGCAACCGTGATCCCAGGTTGAAGCTTTACGTTTTCAAGCGAACGAGATGAATGCTCCAAAATCAGACAAAAGCTCGTAGGTATGTTGTTTCATCATTGAACCGACCACAGAAGGAACAGGCTCTTTGAAAAGTCAAGACTTTTGTCATCATGGAAAGGAGCAGAGCTAACGAAGGGAACTGGCAGATGCGAACGACGTACCTTTGAACGAAGCGCTTGCAAGTGCCTGGAAGACTGAAAGACCGCACCGGCGAGGATGTCTTTTGCTGTTTTACGGTTCTGGTTCTGCTCCTTTCCGGAGCTCCCTGCGAGCGCAGCAGGTTAGCAAAGCTCTCTCAAATACAAGTGTTTGCGTTAGAAATCGCTGCTTGGTGCTTCCAGTCAGTTGGAATGAGTACGAGTTCGTTCTCCTCATAGCTAAGGATGTTTTTGTTTTCGGCCTTTGCTTGGAGATGTTTTCATCATGGAAGTTGTTGTTGTTGTTGTTGTTGTTGTTGTTGTTGTTGTTGTTGTTGTTGTTGTTGTTGTTGTTGTTGTTGTTGTTGTTGTTGTGTTTGCGCTGGCGGGACAAGGCAGCCGGCTTACCTTTCTTTCTCTTTGACCGCATTTCCGGGCGTTCTTTTCGTCGTTTGTTGGCTTCACCGCTCGGTCGTCCAAAATCGGGTATCAGGTATGGTGTAGCGGTAACATCGTTGGTTCTCACTTCTGGGAGCGGCTGACTGCAAAAGAACCTGCGAACAGAAGTTGCTGGCGGTTAGTAACTGTACAAAAAAGGCAGAAGTCTTTCCCACCAGCGTCAAAGAGCCCAAGTTGTTGCTGCCTCAGGCGTTTGCCAGTTTTGTCTTCATCGAGCGATGCTGAAGCTTCTCGAGTACAAGAACGCTGGTTTTGGTCATCATGTACAAGCGGTTGGGTGTTTGACGCTGGTGCTGAGGGCGGAGTCAGATTTGACTTACTAAGTTCTTGTCTTGGCTGTGGCTGTGCCCTCGTTGAAGGAGAGCGTTGGGGAGTAGTGAAGGAATCCATCGCGATGGAGCAGTGCCGACGAGTGTCGCGTCATCCTGGGCTCTTTGGTGTCGCGAAAGACCTTAAAGTTATGTTGTCTGCTCAGACTCAAATGCCAAGTGGTCAGTTTCTTGTCAAAGACTGGTCTGCTGGGAGAAGAAACGGCGGCGAGTGTCTGCAAGTTCTTTGCTGTTAGCCAAGATCAAGGACAACTGATGCGAAAGTGATTGCAAGTGCAGACAAAGTTGCTTGGCCTCAGATTCCGGCATGGGACTTTTTTCTCTGTCATTGAGCAGTCGAAAGTGTTTGGTTCTCAGAACATGAACATGGGCATAGTTTTGTTTCATCATCCAAGCGTGGGGTGTGGTGGAAGTGAGAGAGGGGTGGCTGACTTACCAAGGTGCGGCTTTTCTTGCTTGGTCAGAGAAAAAAGAGGGGCAAGTGCCTGAACGAAGAAAGGCAGTCAGCTCCCTGTCATGACTGAAGACTCAAATGCAAGTGCGGATATTGTTGCTTGCCCTCAGGCTCGTGGCTTGGTTTTTTTGCGTCATGAAGGAGTCGAAGTGTTGCACTCTCAGAAGCAAATGTACATGAATATTTTGGAGATCATCATGCAAGCAGTGGGGTGGAAGTGAAGGACAAGTGGGAGACTTACCAAGTGGTTGAGCTGCGGCCAGGCGGAAGGGAGAGAAACTGCAGTGTGTGCTGAACCGTTAGCAAAGTGCCCAAGACATGGGGGAATCTGGCAAGTGCTGGAAGAACGTTGCTGGTGGCCTCAGTGCGTTTTTGGTTTCATCGAGCCGTGACAGTCGTAGACTGTGGAGGCTTTGCGCTCTCAAACGAAGAAGGTTGATTGCTTTGTCATCATATCCAGGCGGGAAGGGGGGAAGTAAAAAGGGGTGTATGACTTACTCAAGTTTCTGGCCTGATTTGCAGCAAACGGTAAAGAAAAAGCGACCTGCGATGAACACCGTCAGCAAAGAGCCATTGACAAGAAACGTCGACAAGTGTTGAACAAATTCTGGTGGCCTCAGTACCCCTTTTTGGTCTCATGGAGCCGTGACAGTCGTGGACTGTGAAGTCTTTGCACTCTCGAAGGAAAAGCAAGTTGGGTTGTCATCATTGGCCGGGAGGGAAGAAGCAAAGGGCTGTATGACTTACTGAAAATGCTCGCCATGATTCGTTTGCAGCGAGCTATGGAGAGAAGAGACCGGAAACCTGCGACGAGCACCGTCAGTAAAAGCTCTTCCCAGACGCAAGCTGACTTCGGAAGAACAAAGAAGACATTGCTTCGTATCAGAAAATCTCCAGAAACTTTCAGTCGGGATCCCAAGCATCTGCTTGTCCCCCTCAATCCAGTAGAACAAAGCTCATCACGGAAGCAACTGAGTGTTGGGAAAAACAACATGGAAGGGAAGCCAACTCATCGCTGGTTGTCTCTGTGACAGACACACAAGCTCATGATCTCTCTGCTTCCCAACTCTCCAAGTTGAAAGTTCCTTTGATGCTGGCTTCGCTTGGATAGTCTCGCCGAAGCGATGTTTCCAGCTCCAAGACGAAACACCCAGCAGGACTTTCAAGCAAATCCCACCCGGGCCACCCCTCGGCGCTTATGGGGTACTCCCTAGCGCCTGCAGGATCTTCTCAGATGCCGCCCGACAGAGGCAGAGCCTTTGCTGGCACGAGGCTGAGGTGGTACGTGTTGTTATCGTCGACTCCCCGGCAGACCGTAGGGAACCACGCGATAACAACACTCCATGAACTGGAACAAGGTTTCCTTTGCAGGTTACCGCGGGAAGGTGCCCAGGCCAACGGCCCGGACAGCCCTCCCGCAGCTATATATCTATCTACACTACTTAGAACAGGACCAGCGGCGCCCTGATGGCTGATGGCGTCCGTTGTGGTAAGGAACTGGATGTTTGCCCCTAGTGTGCACAATCCCCAGAAGCGGCACCTCGATCGAACGGTGACTGCTGCGGTAGTAACTGAATGTCTGATGGGATCGGTTTTTTGCGGGGCAGGTCGTTCATGAGATGTTGAATCACGCGGCTTGACGGTACCTCGACCAACGTGGTGACCGCCGCCGTCAAGTCGGAATCAGTGCATGCCCCTGAAGATGTTGGATCTTCAGGAGAAAGTGGATTTGTGAGGTCATATCCCCTCGATGGTCGCCGTGGACTTGACTTGTTGGCTGCTTGAGGAGTGCTGACTTCACTCTCCGTGCTGAGGCTTGACTTGAGTGTTGCATGATGTGTTGAAACACTGCAAAGCGGGCTATTAGCATGTTTCCAGGCAAGTTGTTGAACAAAGACTGAGACTTACTGTGCGAGGGGATGCGGGACTCTCTCTTGCGAGCGCACTGCTTGCTTGACCAGGGGAGGTTGCGGACGTTGATGATCTCTGACCAGACTGACGATCTGAGCCTGAAAAGCCTGCGTTGGCAGTGGAAGTCTGTGAACACGATGATGAACACGGATGGTTAGCAATGCTCAAGCGAGATGCTCAAAGAGTCAAAGACTGGTGTCAATGAAGGCGCCTCAGAGTTAGAGTGAAATGACCGACCCCACGCTATCTACGGCAGAGCGGTTTTGTCCATCAGCGAGGAAATGCTGCCCTTATGGTAAGCACATATGCCGAATCCCCTTTTCCAAAGCACCGCGCCGCAAGCACCCAGCTAATATCAGATGTGCCACAGGGACGAAAATCGTAATGTGGCCACTCGTTCTCATCATCGGGGAGGAAAGGCAAACCAGGGAAGGAGAAAGACTTACGCTGAACTTGTCCGCAGTGGAAGTCTGTGAGTATCATGATACCTGCTAGAAACGGTCAGCAATGCTCAAGCGAGATGGTCAAAGAACCAAAGACTGATGTCAATGAAAGGTGCCTCAGAGTTAGAGTGAGAAGATCCGACCCCACACTATCTACGGTAGAGTGATTTGATCCATCAGCGAGGAATGCTGAGCGCAGATGCCGAATCTCCTTTTCCAAAGCACCACGCCGGTTTACAGCACCATGTTGATTTCAGACACGCCACCAGCACAAGGATCATGGTGGCCACTCGTTCTCATCATTGGCAATCACAAAACAAGAGAGGAGAAACACTTACACAGCTGATGTCCGACCAAACTGACGAAGCTTGAATTGTCTGTGTCGGCACTCGGCAGTGGCCGCCTGCGACCATCAAGATGGAAATGGTTAGCAATGCTCGTGAGATGTTCAAAGAGCCAAAGACTGGTGTCAATGACAGGAGCCTCAGAGTTAGAGTGAAATCCAACCTCGCTCTATCTACGGTAGAGTGGTTTCGTCCATCAGCGTGGAAATGCTGGCTTATGCACAGCACCCAGCTAATATCAGATAAGCCACAGGGACCAAAATGGTATGATGGCCACTCGTTCTCATCATCGGCAAAGAAATGCAAAACAGGAGAGTGAGAAACACTTACTGATGTCTTTGTCGCTGTGTTCTTGAACTTTGCAAACTGGAAGTTCGCATTGATCGCAGCGAAAACAACCTGACCGCCACAAAAATAATGTTAGCCCGATCCATAAAACAAGGTGGACTAAGTCTCGAATGATGAATGTCGACTGTGTGAAGCAACGGGGGCAGCAATCCCGAAGGGCAATCTCCAACAGTCCTCCTGAATCAAGGGTCACAACTTCTCGGAACAGGCACAGACACCAGACAACCTCCAAGCTTTGGCATGCAAAGAGGAAGCTGGCCGGGCTAAGTGAGTAGGTGGCAGGTCTACTCACATTTGAAGTTCATGTTGTTGAAAGCAAGACAAGTCGCAGCGAGGAGAACCGCGGGGAGGTGCCCAGGACAAAGTCCCGGACAGCCCCCCCGCAGCCCCCAGTCGCACGAAAGCTGCCCACACCGATGTGTGAAGGTCGAAGTCGAAAACCTGTGTCAAAGTCTGAAAGTGTCAGCCCAATCTGTTCATGGTGTCCCAATGAGAGATGCCCGCAGGGTGCCCAGATTGGGTCCTGCGCGGCGCCAGGCCGGGACGCGTCACGCGACCAGGGCTTTGTACCGCAAACGTCCCCAGAGAGGCTGGCGTAACCCCCCTGAGAATGGCCGCTTTCCCTGAGGTGGCTAGCCCCAAGGACCACAGGCACTCGAATGCGGCGCCTGACCGTCATGACACCGACCCGGCTGAACTGAGTGAATTCGTTGTGCAATGAACTCACCTGATGATTGCAAGAACATGTGTCGAGTCAAAGAAGACAATGAAGACCTGCAATGAAGACTGAAAAAGTTAGCCAAGGCCCAGCTTCCTCAGGATTCCCCCAGACTCGGACCAGCGGGACTTGGGTCATTGTCATCACATCCACCAGAACAGCCACCCTGAGCAATGCGCACTCTGTGGTCCTATTCCATTTCCCACATCCCTCGGCTTAACTAAGTGGACGCACCCACCTTGAAGAATGAAGTGTCGGCAGAGAAGTTGTCGCGAAGAAGATGAAGACCGCCGATGAAGATGAAGACCTGCATGCACCACCACTCCAAGTTAGCCAAGGCCCATCCTCCTTGGTCACCCCAGACTCGGACACGGAGGGTCTTGTTCGTCATTGTCATTGTCTAGTACAACCACCTGGTGTGCACACCGTGGTCCTGATACTGATCCCACATCCCAAGGCTCGGCTAAGTAGGTGTCACCTACCTGATGCAAGAAAGAGAGAAGCTGAATGCTGAAGACCGAAGACCGATGATGACGAATCACCTGAGATGATGACCGCAAAGGAAGTTAGCCAAACCGAACACACGAATCAAAGTCCGAAGACGAAGAGTGAACAGAACCCGTGACATCAGTGCCATCTCCACTCTCGCGCCCACGGTGGCGTCGCGTTTGAGGCGTGACCTCAGCAGTCAACATTAAGGAGCCGGTGGGTTTTCTTCATCGCCACATGGAGGGTTCTGCCGCGCACAAGGAATGAAGCTAAGTAGGAGTAGGACCTACCAGATGAAGAAAGAGAAGTCGAAGACCGATGACCGATGACCGATGATGAAGACCTGCTGAGATCACCGCAAAGGGATTTAGCCAAACCGAACACGAATCAAAGTCCGAAGACGAAGAGTGAACAAAACCCGTGACTCAGTGCCATCTCCGCTCTCGTGTCCACAGAAGCAGTGTCACATTTGAGAGCGTGACTACTCAGCTTTCCGCAAATAGCATTGGGCTACTGCGGGGCAGCATCGCAGTCAACTTGCTGGAGCCGATGGGTTGTCTTCATTGCCACATGAGGGTTCTGCCGCGCACAAGGAATGAAGCTAAGTAGGAGTAGGACCTACCTGAATGAATGTGTGGTGAAGCTGAAGTTGCCGACAGTGATGAAGACCTGAGATGATGACCGCAAAGGAAGTTAGCCAAACCGAACACGAAACAAACCAAGTTCGAAAACGAAGAGTGAACAGAACCCGTGGCATCAGTACCATCCCCACTCTTGCCCAAGGTGGCGTCGCATTTGAGAGCGTGACTGCTCGGCATCCGCAAATGGCATTGTACCACTGCGGTGGCAACCTCGCAGCCAACATTAAGGAGCCGATGGGTTGTCATCATCACCACATGGGGGTTCTGCCGTGCAGGAATGAAGCTAAGTAGGAGTAGGACCTACCTGACTGTGTGTGTGTGTGTGTGAAGTCGAAGTCGCCGATGATGTTGTTGATGATGTCGAGGTGATGAAGCAAGAAACCTGTGAAGACTGAATCACTTAGCCCAACCGAACGAATGTCATTGTCATGGGTAAGAAAGGGACCGGTCAAGAAAATCCAAACACCGCTGGCTCAGAGCGTGGCAAACACAGGTCTTCATGTTACCCAAGGCCGAAGCCGAGGAGGCACTCGAGAAGGCAGTGGAGATGTCATCATTGCCAGCGATGAATGGGGTTGGACTAAGCGAGCACGCTGTGCAATGTGACTCACCTTGAAGTTGAGATGTGTTGAAGTGAAAGATGTGTGTCCCAAGCTGAAGACCGAATGAGTGATGATGATGATGATGATGATTGATCCTGAGAAAAAGAACACGTCAGTAAACTGCTTGACAACGAAATGATGTCCGGTTAGGTGAGGTGTTGCTCATTCAGATAGTGGCGGGTTTCTTGCATTCAAGGCTTTGATTGTACAACGCCAGCGTTACCTGGCGACACATTGAACCAGGGATACTGACGCCGGCCACATTTCATCACGGGGTAGAGCCTGCTCGTGCTAGTATCTGTTCTTACCTGAAGATGTGAAGCTCAAAGATGAGCGATGATGGTTGAAGAACAAGAGGAAGAAGAAGATGAGTGAGGTGAGAGATGAGGAAAGAGGAAAAGTTTGAGAAGAAGGAAGAGTTGAAGGAGGAGGGGTTTAAGTAGAGGAGAGGGAGGGAGAATGGGTGGGGTCACCAGGTGACAGAATCAGTCTTCCTGAATAGAAATTCCCGGTGGGGCAAGACAAAAGGAAAGTACTCGAAGGAAGCAAACAATCGTACGAGACAGGGGCTCAGAAGACGGGACGAAAATATAGGGCGAAGAGAGCAGAATCTTGTTGGCCAGGCGGGCTGGTTCTGACGTTGTTCGTGCGACCAGAAGCTGAACGAGACTGCTTATTGGCAGGGCAACTGTGGCAGGCTGTCCAAAAGGGTCCACACAAAACTAAAAGCTGCTCTGCCAGCCACTCGAAAAGGGAATCAGTCGCAAGGCAGGGCGGTCCGGACGGTCTGGGCCAAGCCAAGAGGCAGCAAAGAAGACCGGACGACGGCTGGGAGATACGCAGGGCCCCACATCTGGTTTACTCACTGTGGTCACGAAGGCACGGTGGGAATATCTCTACGGCAACGGAGCACTCTGGTTCGTCGAGGAGGAGGAAGAGGGGCTGGACGGTCTTCTGCAGCCTTCTCTTCACATCTTGAATTGCTTGGGACGAATAACTTGCTCGTCCCGTTGCTCAACAAGTCCAGAAGTTGTGATATGCGAGAAGGAGCAAGTACCTGTGGAGATACAAACCCAAGAAAGCAGTCCTCTGGTAAGTTGAGAAGCACGAAGACAAGCGTTTAATTACTCCACGGTACTTGTCGAGTCTCCGTCAACAATGGGACGAGCGAAAGGGACAGTCACTCGTCCCATCATCTGCAGATATCTTGAGCAAGAAAGACGGGATCTCAAAACAATATCGAGTCACACGGGATCGAGATCCCTGTCGTAGATAGCAAGAGAACCGCGGTGGAGAGCCTTGTGCCTCGACAAAACAATCTCATTGGACTTGTGGAGGGATGACGTGACGATATGGGACGGGAGACAACAGGGACTTTGGTCAGTTGAGACGGCTGGCAAGACAATTTGGACCAGCTGTTGTGGGTCAATGATTTTGTTTTGTGGCCTGGACCGTTTGCTTTACTGTGGGCGCGGTGACGCGACAGGTTGCCGGCTGGAAGGTACGTAAACAGGTACCGGCACCGAGCTTTGACTTCTTTCTTTCACCGCTTTTGGGGGCACTGGGCAGGCAACAGGCAAGTGAGGAGTGAGCCCTGGTTGTACTGGTCTTGAGGATATACTTATCGTGTTGTTATCTGTGTTGAAATGTAAGTTATTTGCAAGTGACTGTGCCGTTGGGGGTTGTTGGAAGCAGATTCCATGAACTTCACTTTGAGGAAGACACTGGGCGGGCAACAGGCACATGAGAAGTGAGAGCTGGTTGAGCTTCTTGGGAGTGGACACCTCATGTTGTCATTGATCTTGGAGCCGAACTTATTTGCAAGTGATTGCTACGTTGGGCTCATTTGAAGCAGATTCTGCGAGCTTGATATCATGTTTTGATATAACGCGTTGAGAGGAGCACCAAAACACCGGTCCAGTTATCACAATGCGATCTGTGCTTGAATAATCTTCAACGGCTTTTTCTGCATCTTTGGCATTCCTTGGTGCCAAGTTCCACGTCTGTTGTTCCCATATTGGGTGATTTGCAAGTGACTGCGCGGTTGGGCTTGTTAGAGGCAAATCCGTGAGCTTGATATCATGTTTTACTGCTCCGCGATGGAAAGCAGCACGAAAGCACATAACAGGTTGATTCACTGCTATTCATCATTTAACGAGCGTTGCCAGCTTAATTGGCATTCCGAGCACGAGTCCGTGAACTTGATAGGTATCATGTTTTGATATGCGGCGTTGGAGGGGAGCGCCGAGAGACCAATCCAGACATTTCAATGCGACCCAGGCTTCAATGAGAGCTACCAGATTTGGCTGCATATCGAGCAGGGATGAATTAACCTTGGTATCATGCTCCATTTGTGATTTTCCTGTACTCAGTGGCTTTACAAGTAACTGCTGCGTTGGGTTTGTTGGAAGTACATCCTTGAGTTTGATATTCAGATCATTTTGTGATTCCCTGCGTTGAAGAGAATTACCGAGGAATCACTCCGATCATCTCGGTGCAAACCATAGTTTAGTGGGCGCCATCAGCTTTATATCAGTGTTGAGCATGAATCAACTTTGGCACCAAGTCCATGTCTGATGTTCCCCTGCTGAGTGGGAGCGCCCAAAAGCGAGGCCAGATAGAGTGGTGCAAATCACGTTCCGTTGTGCATTATCATCATTACCAGCATTATCGAGCACTTATCTGTGAGCTTGGACAATGTGGCTATTGCAAGAACTTGAGCTGGATTGTGTTCTCTGTGAATGTTCCTTGCGAGTGTTATTTGCCAGCTCTCTCCGCCAGTGTCCAGTGCAATACGACATATCAATCACACGAAGCCGATGAATGATGTTTTGACCTTGGTTCTCTGTCTGTGATTGTGCACCATCTGAGTTGGATTTTATTTCTACTGTTTTTGCCAGTTCAATGTTCTGCTGATATATCCGATGCCCTTTAGCCCTGAAATCCACCGCGAATACCACAGCAGAACCCAAACACAGCCCAAAGACGCCTTTTGCGGCCCATAACAGCGTTTCCCCTATTTCCCTCAATATTCCTCCTTCTCCGCGTACATCTGCCATCACTAAAAAAATCTCGGGATTTCTCCGTACAGTTTGATACTACCAAATGCGTCGTTTCGCGCTTGCTCGCACTGCCCGAAATGCTTTGTTTACACGGAAAAGGGGCTGCGGTCGTTCAGATGTCGTTGAAAGTGGATCCGGTGGCGGCTCATGATTGGTGGGTTGGGTGATCTGCGGCGCTACGGCGGGCGACACAGCGACAGTGGCAATACGGTGCGACGACAATGAACCTAGAAGCAAACAGTTAGCAACCTGTGTAAATAAGACGACAATACAAGGGAGGAGTAAATGAGATGATGTGAAGGATTTGCTGAGGGTTAGCAGTCAGTAGAACACCATCGACACCAAACAGGATGGAAGGAACACCCCGACAACGAACAACGCCGGCAAGTACAGCAAAGAGGCACAAAGCCTGGAAGGCGCCAACTGTCTTTGATTGAGTGAACCGCAAGACCATACATGTTCTTGACCATCCACACAAGATGCATTTTCTCTCTCCATATCCCGCGCCCTCAATGTTCCTGCCCGTCCTCCTCGAACTTGCCCATCCCTCGTTCGTCTACCACGCCACCTTCGGCTCAACGCCTTTGGCTCTGGCCATCGCTGCTTGTCATATGGTTAGCTTGAGGTTCGGATCTTGCACAAATGACGCCCGGTGCTCACGACAACGTACCTTTCGGCCAGCCGGTATGTTGCCGTCCGGAACACCCCATCCCGCGATTCTTCTGGGCCAGAATGAAAAAGGCATAAACTCTTAAACTCAATACTCGGTGTATATAACTGACAGAGTGCTGGCTACGGATAGGTGAGGGGACTGTGAACAAGGCCTCCCCTCCGGTAGTATCGGAGGGGAAACCGAGCACGCGGGTGCAGCAGCTGGAGAAATGGCGATTGGTTTCGAGAGCCATGGTGGATAGAAACTGACAGATCGGAAGCGATGGAGCTCCCGTGAGGACGCAAAAAACAAGTGGAAAACGCAAATCAAACGCCACTTGCAAAGTATTGCGCCTGGTATTGGTCCCAAGTCTGATAGGGTCCGGGCTGGTACGGGCTCTGGTACTGCTGGTACTGGCTCTGGTACGGAAGCTGGTACGGCACCTGGAATTGCTGCGGATACTGCATCCCGGCCGGGATGTTCTTGACGAGGGAGATGGTGGCTGTAGGGTACGTGTAGGAAATCGTAGGGTGCGGACAGGCGTCACAGTAATACAGCTGCTCCCGTTGGTGCAGTTTGGGCTGCGTGTTTTCGGTGCTGTTGTTTGGCTAATGAGCGTGTTAGTGTCTTTGGACTCTAGGAATTACCGAGGTCTCGTGAGATCATGAGGAAGTGAGGTGGGCAGAACTGAACGAGCTGTCGCACTTGCGATCGTCAGGAAGACACTCAGCAATGACCGCCCGTAAGGTCTCCGGTGCCTCAAAGAAAGGAAGAGGCCAGTGTGAAATGTGAAGTGTTCTCGTCATGGTCGGTGATCCCGGGGTGATGTGCTTCCCCTTCGCGACCGTGAAGGCCGACAAAAGAGGGCGACCACGTTCAACGACGAGGAGTGTTTGAAAAACAAAATCAAAGACGTATGAAAACGAATACATGGAGTCTAGCCAATAGGTTCTGAAGCTCTCACGAGGCGTCGTTATGGAGATGTTGACCGGGGAAGGATGCTCGTGTCTTGAGATTGATCGGGAAGTCTTACCTTGGCAGCGCCGCCGACCGTGAAGGTTGACGTTGGCCTTGTATCCGCACGGGTAGTCCTTGTAGCCGTCGGTCCCCTTAGCGGGAGTCTCGGCGTTGGGGCCGGACTCGCCGGAGAGGGTATGCTCTGGCTGTTTGGCGACGTCTGGGGAAAAGAGACCGTCTATGGCATATGAAGTTATGTCTCCATCATTAGAGGTATGTTGGGAGCAGTTGGTTGCCGTTGTGAGTGGCAGTGGCAGTCGAGTTGCCGGCGTACCTGGGTAGCCTTGACAAAGGCTTGATCACTAATCGCAGCGTCAACGTAGATGTAGGCCATCATGACAAAGGAGGTCCAGAGAACGGCGTTGAGGGAGCCGGTGAGGTTAATCCGGACCCAGGAAGTAAGTCCTTCGGCACTCTTGACGGCTTTTTGAATCTCAAGCATGGCGAACCAGGTAGCGAACAGGAGGAAAGTCGCGAGGGAGGCGTCATGGTGTCCCAAACCCCGAGCAGGCTGATGACCCGAAGGCCGGCGCTGCTGAGGCTGCTGCTTGACTTTTGACGGGCTGTATACCCACGCGGCCTTCATCGAAGGAGTCAATTTCGGTCATGCCGAGCATGCTGCTGCTGTGAAGCAAAGGTGTGGATGCTTTTGTCAAGATGTTTTGTCTTGCTGAAGATTGAAAGTGAGAAAGTCGTGGAAGACTCCTCAAGGGGCGAAGGTGGGGTGAAACAGGCAAAATTGGCGGCTTTCCTTCGCGCTGCTTCCATGTACCCCCCTGGAGGGAATGGGGGGTCTAAAAACAGGGTCTAAATGGGACGTTAGGCTGATAATAGCAGCTTCTTTCTGGAATCGTCTTTCACAATAGCTTTCGCTGGGAATTCCGTTGGAACGGAAACACTTAGTTAAAGTTCTTAGAACTTTCCAAATCATTGCTATGTTCTAAAAGGAATGCTCTGTTCTATTTACTTTTCTAGCCGTTGTTCTTTCTACTTTTGCTCTCTCTCTTCGCCCTCGCTCTTTCCGCCGCTACTTCGCGCATTCCTCCCCTCCCTTCCACCTTACATATAACCCCTAATTTCCCACCACTCGCGCATACCCGCACACGGGCACCCGTGAATATTCATATGTCGTAGCTGTATTAGTGACTGTAGCCATCTTGTAGACCTCCAGTTCGAATCGTGACCATGTCATTTCTTTCCAAATTTCAATAAAGAATTCCAGGCTGAGAAGGAAGAGGAGGAAGAAAAAGAAAAGCTCGGACCAAAGAAGAAGATGAACATCGGACCAAGGAAGATGAACATCGGACCAAGGAAGAAGATGAAAACATTGGAGAAAGGAAGAAGAATTCCTTTTTTTATACCTTCAAAAAGTATCCTAACACCCTGTTTCTTTTAAAAGTTTGTTGAGTACAAAATGGTTTTCTGTAAAGGGGGCGTGTGCAGGCGGATTCGTCCTAAAATCCTGTTACGCGGTTAACACGACTTTTCGGAAGCTGTTGTGGGCCCTGTTGTCAGACCCCCCATTCCCTCCAGGGCCGGTCCACTTATTCTGTGCCGGCCACAAGATTGCCGCGTACCTACCTTGTACCCAAGAGCCCCTCTTGTCGTCACGTATGGAAACTTTCAAAGGAAGGAGCAACAAGTCCAAAGTAGCACGAGGTCCTGAGTCACTTGAGGGGGGTGCATGAGCTTCCATGACAATTGAGGTCATATGGACTGTTCGCATGCGGGGGACAAAATTTTCAAGGTTTGGATGTTGCTAGCTCTTTCCTCTTGCGTTGAAATTGTTTGCGGTTGTATCGAATCCCTGTTCCTATCACTGCAGATGATGTTTCCGTTGCAAGCCCCGCTTGAATTGCTCCGGCCTGGACCAGCTGAGCCCAGAATCGCACGGTGCAGGTTTTGGTTCGCGGGCCCCAGGCACTGTTCTGTCTGGGCCAGAGGTGTGGTGGCACACGCTCTGACGCGGAATGAAGAAGTCGGGAAGTGATTTGCCTGGACATTGGGAAACTGTTTGGAAGTCAACAATTTCCGCGTCAAGGATGCTCTCCTTGGACTGCGCTCTGGTCGGTGATTTTGCCTGCCAGCTCTTTGCTGTAGTTGGATTGAGATTTTGATTGTTTCTCTGGCTTGCGAACGTGAGCATTCTCATGTCGAGCCCATACGCGATCGTTATCAAGCAGTGGGGCGATTCCTCATGGCCGAATCAACCTTCTTCATTTTACTTGCGTGAGGTTCATGTCTGGATATCCGTTGCTCCTTCCTTGAATGCTTTTCCTCCCTAAGAGGAATCCACCGGATTGCCGAAGCCGGCTCCGCGTTTCGATCCATTGCACGGGAATGACGATGGCTCCAGATCTGCCCCAAGAACTTCCCCGGGAGCTCGTGCACTACTGATTGCAATGAACATTAAACGACCTGTGTGAGAATGTGTGACATGCCCGGAGTTCGATACCGATATCATCGAAGAGCAAAGCAGATGCGCCTCCTAAAGTCTGAAGTCAATTGAATCACGATACCGCACTTTTGTCTGCCATTTTGTAGCTCCATCTCTGACATCTACGTTGTATGCTCTTTGGGGTGACCCTTGTGCTTTTCCGCTATAACGCCGTCACCGCTTATACTTGTCCCTCTTATGCCTTCGAAATCCGCTATCCTGAGAACTGAATCTTTGCGAACAACAAAGGGAATCTGTGAGAAGAACCAGAAGGTCGTGATTGTTGTCCAGTTAATTAGAAGGGACAGGAGTTATCCCCGAGAATTTGCACAGGGGCATTCATTGCCATCTAGATGTACCTTTGAACAAATTAATCAAAGTGCAAAGAACTTTCCCATCTTCTTTACCGGTTTGAACCACAACTTTACCGCTGTGCCCTTTCATCTTTGTTCCACAGGAACAGTTACGTTTCGACGATGTACCTCTATGCCTCCCTTTTGGATATGCTTGCACTATTTTATGTTGGTATGGACAACTTCCCTTCTTACCCATTACCAGTTAATGGACTTAATGCTCGAAGACAGATGTTATTGGCGGTGAAGCCTCTTCGACTTTCGTCTCATCTATGACCTTACACGGCAGAGAGACTTGAGCCGCTTTCACCTAACGCTCCCTGGATTAAGAGTTTCTACTGGTACCTCTAACGTTTTTCTCCAAGTTCCATCTATTAGGTTACTCCGGATTTCAAACTTCCTTCCTAGACGCAACACGTTTATCACTCTCTCCTCCTTTCCAGTACCGTATCCTCACCCCGTCTATGCCTCCTGATATTATGTCTACCCTTCCGAAGCGGGTATCTGGGCTGGGCATCTATGGTAGTAGAGGATTACTATTATAGCACCGTTTTGTAGAATAGTTTGCTCAACTGTAATAGATGCCTCAACTACCATAGTTACTCAGGGAGGAATCTGATTGGTCAATTGGACCATGCAGCTGTAGGCCCTAAAGCATGCGCTGAAGCAATGCGCTGAAGCAATGCGCTAAAGCGTGGCCTGCGGTCCGAATTCGATACCGAAGCGGTGGTCTGCAGGTGGCAACAAGTCTTGCAGGGTGCGAAGACTTCGGCTTTTATGAAGGCATCCCATGTCGGGAAGTCTTGTTGAATTGGGAAGTCTTGTCGACTCCACCCCCCAAAAGGCAAAATAATAGGGCCTGCAATTGCAGGCTTCCTAGGCCACCTTGGCCACTGGAACTTTCTTAGTATCTTTTTACTATCATTGGACTTTCAGGTACTAAAGTAGTTGCCCTGATCACGAGCAGGCTGGAATAGAAACGAAAAGTCAAAGAGCAAATGTCACAACGGGGAATCGAACGGAGAATCACAGTTACGATGAGAATCAAAAGAAAAGGTCTACGCGAGGAACCACTTGACCATTTGGCCAAAGGTTTAAGAAACGAGGGAGTTCTTTGCTTTGATATAGCCGGGTGGTGATTCTTTGGGAAGGAGCAGGGCGGGTGGTTGAACTTGGCGAATTCCCGTCCACCTCAAGTGCAGGAAGTCCCAACTCCAAATCCCAGCTCCAAGTCCCAGCTCCAAGTCCCAACTCCCAACTCCGAAATCCCAATTTCCACTCCCCCAAATCAATGGGAGTCAATGGGAGTCAATGGGAGTCAATGGGAATAATGAGAGCAATAAGAGTAGAGGTAATAAGAGCAATCCGATAGGAAGAAAGATGGGGGAGTAATAGGCACCAAAAGCGTTGCAGATAGGGAGCTAGGGCATTGCATACAGGGAACGGAAGTGTAAGGTAGTGAGTCCAGAATATTTTGCTTCGGGCGAATGGTTGTGCAGGCTCAGGGTTAGGGATATTGGTGGCAGGGAACAAGACTTCCCGATCCAACAACACTTCTCACGCTTGGCAAGCCTGAGAAGACTTGGGGCCCCCTTGATTTTCCCACTATGGTATCGATGTCGATGTCGATATCGACATCGACTTCGAGATTTTGACATCGAAATTTTGACATCGACTTCGACATCGACTTCGAAAATTCGAAGTCCGACGTCCAAATGAAGGGATTCACAAGTGCGACCGCTGCGCGCGAAACTTTTCGCGCGACGAAGACGGGTCGACGAGAACCATTGAGCCACTGGCCCAATTGATTGGTATTGGGGAAGAATCCAAGTCCAAAATTCCAAATCAGAAGGCCGTCATTTATACCCCACTCCAGTCGTCGCCCACCGCAAGGCCTGGACTTATCGTGGTAACTTTCGCAAAGTTCGCGGAAGGAACTATCATTAATCGGCACCCAAAAGGATCCGGCTAATTAGGATCCTTCTTTCACTACCTGGTTAACTTCAATGCTGTAAATGACTGCTAGAACTTGGCCGCTCAGCGCACCTTTCAGCACCTTACAAATCTGACCAATCAGGTTCTCCCCTGGGCAACTACCATAGTTGAGGCTACTAGAGCAGTTGAAGCAACGATTACAGATGCTCTTGACAATTGTAACTAGAATAGTAAGGCTGCCCATTTTCCCACTATGGTTCTTTGTCCTGGCGCTGAAATCTAGAGGACTAACCGTTGCCTTTTTGTCCACGGTCAGTTGCGCTCTGTATCATCAAAGAACGTATAGCTGTTTTCCAAACCTCCAACCAAACGGCTTCTCTTTGCCTTTCTTCTATCAACTTTTCCGCTAGACCCTCATCTCTCTTCGCTGGTTTCCATGGTTGGGATGAAAGAGCATTCACTTCATGTTGCGCTCTCTTTGTTAGCACAAGCATCGTTTGGTTGTACACCTTCTCCAAGAGTCATCGTGATTGAAAGAGTTCGATGTGATCATTGAGGTCCCTGTTTTCGGTCGTTCCAGAGCGTTTGTTAAGGTACTTGCGACTTCGTCCCTTTTACCTATGCTTAGACGAACATTCAGCGGCAGCCGGCACAAGTGAAGGGGTGGAAAGGCTCCAGTCAGGTTCTGACCTGGCATCTTAGTATATACACCGAACAGTCTGTCCATGTCGTTCACCACTGGTGTTCGTTAACAATGGAGGTTCAGGGCTCGGCTCAGAGGCACGGCATATGGGCCTGTTCGGACGTTAGGAGCATACCTAAGCACCGTAATGGCTCGATTATCGACAGAGATTGGTCGAACGATAATGTAGGCACTTGGTGCATTGATGCATGGCGGGATGCATGCCGGCAGTCCAAGATTTCACCATCTTCTTGCATCCCGCTGTACATCGAAACATGAGTCAGCAAATGCATCCTTTAACTCTACATATAAGGCCACGGAACCTCCTCATCTTTGAGTAAAAGGCAGAGGAATAGGTACATCATCTCGCACAACCATAATGGCCGTACTTAGGTTGTTACACTTTTGTTCTCCATGGTTCGGTTCAGGGGCTAGCGGGAAGCGGCCACGCACACGGACCCTAGCCCTCGGGGGCGGCGCGTAGCTAGAGTACTCGAAGCGAACGATCAAAACAAAATGCACAAGGACGAGAAGTGGAAGAAACACACTTTGTTGATTGAAGGAAAAGACTTCACGACTACCTAGGTACCTAAGGGACGGAGGAATGTATCGACTTACCTAAGTACATGACCGAAACCAGGGCATCCACACGCGGACCGAAAGCTCAAACGACAATCTCTTTCAACACTGCCCAGCTGGGGAAGTCTTCGGGCAGAACCTCTTGTGCTGCCTGACTCTGAGACAGCCCAAGAAGCTTCGTCCTCTTTGGCCTTCCTTCTCTGGACTATCAGCGAGTTCAAGTGAACGGAGTGAACGTGGACACGAGGCACACAAGAGTGAGTACCTATAGGTAATGAACTTGTTGATTTGAGGAAGAAAGATGAAACGAGAAGAGGATGGGTGACCCTCGATATATACAAGACTGATCTATGTGTGGATCGACCAAATGCCTACAAACAACGATCTTGCTCCTCTTCCTCCGCCCTCTTCCTCCGCCGGCCTCCATGGGGATAAAAAGGGAGAAACGGGTAAACTTGGAAGCCTGGTTGAGGAATTCTGTGCGGGTGATCTTGCCGTCCTGGCTCTTGTCACAGGCCTTGCGGATGATGACCTCAACCAGGCTGCCCTGGCTAGCCTGTCAAAGACGTGAGTCTTTCATTGATGAGTAGGTAATACAATATCGCCGCCGAGAGAGAAGTCAACAAGGTCCATTTCCTCAATCATGTTCTGGAAGGCTCTGACATTCGCAGTCCCATCAAATGGGATGCTATCCGGTCCCTTGTTGAGTTCGTAAAGACGACGGAAGTCGTCATACTTGGCTGTGCCGAGGCGCTCAACGTCGAACAGGCGGAAGGCGATTTCATACTCGGCATCGGGCTTCTCGAGCAGGTTCTCTGTGAGTACACAAGTGTTCCCACGGGACGTCGGTACGCGGCCAGGGGATGATCTCAGACCATAGCTCGTCCATTTGGTAGTGACGACCGGCGGACAGCACTCGGCGTCGGGCTTCTCGAGCAGGTTCTCGAAGTATGTCCAGTCGGAAAGGGTCACCTTTCCCTTGTTGGCTCGGTCGGCGACGCTGAACAGAATGCTATACTGTTCGCGCTTGATTTTGTGCTACATTCGGAGAAGTCGGGCGTGGGTCAGTCAACGTGTCGCAAGGTGAGAGCAAAGTCAGAATCTCTTGAGGTGTGACTCACGTAATCATCATGAGGGGGAGCGTGGCTCCCCCTCATGAGCCACGGCGTCGATGAACTGGTCTGCGCTGGTGGTGATCAGATCTTGGTGCTTGGGGAATGGCCATCTCCTTCGAAATGAAGTTAGCAATGTCCGAGACCTCGTGGACTTGAATTTCAGTGGGGACTGCGACTTACCTTGTCGATCTTGAAGGAGTTCTGTCTGATTACCACTTCGATGGCCTCCGAGCGTGCTTCGGGAGCAGCTGTCAATGAATCAAGTGTTAGCCGTCTGAGCTGACGGTGACACAAACAGAGTCAAACAAACAGGTAAGTGTTTTCAGAATGAGAGTTGAGGAAAATGGAACAAATGACTTACGGAAGCCTTCCTCTCTTCTTTCTCTCACGCCCCAGGCCGAGGCCGGTGTTCTGATGTGGATGGCGCCCTTGCGGGCCCCGGCCTGGAGTCGGGCTCTTGAGAACGTCGCAGGGAGTCGCAGTGGTGGAGTAAAGTATCCTATCACGGTCCGCTCGAACAGCTGATCGTTTGTTTCCGTTGATGTCCGGCGAAACTGATTATCCGGAATGATGAGAATAAAGAGGCGAGAAAAGAACCCGAACAAGAAACCGCGGGAGTCAGAGCTCAACCGCCAAAGTTCTAAGAAAGGGGGTATACGATATGGTGGAATGGCCTTGTTGGGACAAGTCGGGTTCTGGAGGTTTCCCTTGGCGGCAGCACGACCCAAGATAAGCAGGCCACTGCTGGTCGAAACACTTCCCTTGCTTCCTCTCTGGGAGTGGTATCGAAAGCGGTGGTGTCAAAGACAGAAAACAGTGATGGCGCAACAAAAGGCAGCTCCGACATGAAGATGTTGAAGCAAGGCAAAGCAGCCTGAAAGGGATTGTGTGTTGGACTGGTAGTATGGAAAAGTGGTAGAAGTGGTGGGAGAGTGATGGCTGGGGTGAAGTTTCGTTCAAATATGCCCCTCGTCTTCTCAGCTAGAGGTACTAGCACACAGCGAGGGCAAGAAGCAACCTGGAAGTCTTTCGAAGGTACCAAGCCATACAAGTGGAGGTACGAAGGTACATCGAGTACACAATACAGAGTCATTTCCCCGCAACGGGTTGCAAAATTTCACTGGCAAGAGCACTTTGCTTGGCAAATCAAGGAAGGATGCTCAACGGTCCCGAGATAGGCCATGTCGGCTCCCGTATGACCTTGGGCATTTGCAACTTCCCTCATCCCCCCCCCCCCTGCGGCTCTGGGAAGAACCTCTACGGTTTGGTTTGTCTTTTTGAGTCAGCCATGGGGGTGCCTGTAGTGTAAGGAACTCTCAAGTGGATATCGAGGCTGCAGGTACCCTGCTGATATGGGATTCAGATTGTTCGAGGCCTACTTCGTCTGATCTTGGTATTCATTGTATTCTCTAGAATAGGTAGAAGAGCTCTACAAGGCTGCCATCACAAACTCCAATCTCTTGAGCTCAAATCACGGATAGAAACCCAGTTGAAAGTGAAACCAAACTCCACTCCGCCTCTCCAACATTCGGAAACTCTGTTGTCTTCATCATTTCGCAAGAGATCGAAAATGACAGCACTTTCCTCCCACCTCTCCAACTTCCTGCCGCAAGTTTCCTCGGCCCTTCTCTTCATCACCACCAAGAACGCCACCGCAGAAGAAGAAGGCACAAGCCATCACGGCCACTTCCAAGCCCTTCCAGAACCCACAAGCAGTAAGCCACCTCGTAGTCCTTGTCAGAAAGCACCCGTATTGCTCCTTCCATACGTCTTTGTGTCTCTGTTGTGAAGGTATCCCTGCTGACCTTTAATCTCCGCTCAGTTCCACCTCACCACAAAGTCCTGTTCACGGTAGGCAGTTGCTCCCCCCACCCATCGATCCCCAGATCTGCTGCAAGCCCACAGGATCCCGATCGAGCACCAGGGGAAGTCATGCTCTTGAACACCAGCTGACCCGATTAACCAGATCACACCATGCGCCGAGTCGGTTGTCTCCGACTGTTCGTCGTTGCCCTCTTGTTGGCCTGGTGGGCCACTCAGCACTTTCGTGAGTGGCAGGGGCGTTTGGCCCTCGTTGCGACCCTGGACCACCAAGAGAAGGAGGTGGCAAACATCGCCGGGACGGGGACCGGGGCGAGAATCCACAGCGGGGAAACCCTCTACCTCTGAGTCCACCCGGCACACGCACAAGGACAAGATGGAGGAGGGGGAGGACGGAAGCCGAGGCACAATCGACAGGGGGGAGAATTTGGGGACAGAAAAGGCTCGCTGACATCCAGTCGGCCAAGAAATACCATCATTCGTGCCCGTGCCATCTGAATTCCCTCGTAATTCTGCCATGATATCCAGTCTTGTACGCTGAGGTAAAAGGTTCCTTGAATAACTTGCACTAAGAGGATGCCAAACAAAAAGTGCCTTTACGAGAATTTCTAATGATACTTCCTCCCGGCGACGGGTCCTCCCGCGCTGGCGGAGACTCAGACCATCTGGTTCACCACCCCCAGGTAGAAATCGCGAAAGCAAAGACAGAGCAGAACGCCATTTGAGGAAGCAGAGTGTACATAATTACCAATGCGTACACTACCCATCCCAATCGCGATGCATGGTTGCTCCATTTCATCAGTTGTCTGGCAAAGATTGCGGGGTCTTGCAAGCTTCCTTTGAGCCCAGATTGCCTCATGCTTCCATGCGTCACTTCACATCCCATCATTCATCCCATGAAACAACTCAGGCCTGCCAACCAAGCAAGACAACCAAAAGGGATAGTGTAACTACAACAGAGCCTTGGCTGCTTCCTAATACCCCCCACGATCACGTTGATGGTCCGGTCAAGACCTTCACCGAACCGCCCTTGACATTTTCGGAGCCCCGGGCATCTCTTGTGTTCCCTTCCCAACGACTGGTAGTGCCTGGCTCAACCGTAACATCAAAGGCAACGACAGTGAAGTCCGCTTCTGTTGGCCAACTTGCAGTTCGGACTCTGATACTTGACCGCGGTGCCTACCCCTGCTCAACTGGCAACAGGACCCGGAGGAACTGGAGGATATCACATGCTCTGTTGATCCAAAGGGGCAACGCAGCACGGCAAGGTCCAACTTGCAAGTGAGCCGAACCTGTTCAAGACCAAGGGTGGCGCCCTCTCTGCCTTCAGATTCTTTGCTAGCTTCAGTTCCGACAGCGTCCTACTTTCTCGAATTCGAGGCTCTGGCTTTCCATCCCCGGCGCCAAGCAGCTTCCAACAGCCATATCATGTCCAGTTCAAGGCCGCCCGTTGTTGCCTAGAGACCTTTCAACTGGTTGCTGTCCCTTCTTCGAACAATATCATGTTGATGGAATTGCCAGGCTCGGACGGTAAATCAGGACCAAAGACGTTGCTGCGAGATGAAAACATGTGCAGCGTTGGACAAGCACGCCGGAGGCACTGTCGCATATGCGTGCAACATAGTTAAGAGCGCCTCCGAGTGGCATTCTCTCAGTGGTCCCGGAATTTCTATAAGACAGCCCATGCCCCCATGCTTCTCTCGTCTGTTTCTTCTCCATTCTCTCATCATCCCATCTTCTAGTCTTTCAAACAATTCCAAATGCAAACAATGGAAACCATTCAACCATCTTCAAACATCCCCACTTCCTCAAACGCAAAATGATCCACTTTTCTTTCACTTTTGATTCACTCCGCCTCAGAAGTACCTCGCGCGCCATCCAACGCCCGACATACATCCGAGCTCGTCTCGCCTCTTGGCAGCCGCCTCAGAAAGTATGCTCTTTTCCATTCTTGTCTCCATTCTTCCTAGATCTTTGACGCAGTACTGACATTGCATCTTTCAACAGTCCACCATCATTACCTCTTCTGTCGCATTCTTCCTATCATTCCTCCATCAATTATCGTCTCTTTTTGGTCCAGCAGCTTGTTATCGCCTGCTTCAACCTACGGCATCTTTACGCCCTCTCCTTTTTGGCTCATGTCTCACCACCTGACATAAGGTATGCCGTCCGATTGGTTCCTCCTCCGGTGGTCAAAGCCCTGTGGCATCTTCTAATACTGGGCTCTGCCGCATCACGCAGTCCTCCGTCATGGCCTACTTCCAGGAGCCTTCTTTCTAGGCAGCTACTCTGCTGGTCATCACCGCACAGCTTGTGATAGCCCAGGGCCGGTATACACTTGCTTGGTGATGATCGCATGGTCAGTTTCCCCCAGATGCAAATCTTCCGTCCTTTCCTCTCCTCTGTTTGTCGTCAAGGCCCGCATTCTGACCACCACCGCAACACAGAACCGCAGATTCTCGTCCATGGGCGAAACCTACAGCTGTTCCCGTTACAGTCCCGCCCCTGTTAACCGGGGGCGCGGCACCTCCTTCGACACCACCTACAGAAGTCATGTGCCTAGCACCGTCTTCGCACACACTTCAACCTTTGGCCGAGAGTCAGCATGACAAACAACCACCTTGATCGGTCCTTGAGCGCCTCGCAGTCATGTCCATGCCACCTGCATTCAACATCAATACCTACCTCTATCATCAATACCTAACAACATCAACAACATCATCGATAACACCATCCGTGCCACCGAAGTGGCTTTCACTTCGCCCCAGCTGGCGCCGGCGCCAAAGGGTGGCCAAATTTGCGTAGGGCCTTCTGGGACACTCTTCGGGATGCATGGCAGCAGGACCACCTGAAAAGACAAACGCGACTAGGGCGCCGGCGCCGGCACGCACTTCACCATTCAGCTGGCGCCGGCGAAGACAATTTCAACGACGCCAATGGCGCCGGCGCCAGCAGGACAACATCAACAAGCAATCACAACTAGGGCGCCGGCGCCGGCACACACTTCAACCTCTGGCCGAGGGTCAGCGTGACAAATAACAATCTCAATCGGTCCTTGACAACTTGGGCTAGACCATGCACTCTCAATGTCTCCCATTGCTCTCAATGCTTCCATTGCTCACGAGCCACCTGGCTTCAACATCGATATCATCGATAACACCATCCGTGCCACCGAAGTGGCTTTCACTTCGCTCCAACTGGCGCCGGTGCCAGCAAGACCATCCTCAGGAGACAAACACAACAGGGGCGCCGGCGCCGGCACACACTTCACCAACATGTTCAAGAGGAACACATGCACAATCTGTTACACTCCAACGAGGTACCGCCGGAATACAAACGACCAACTTCACCAGAGACCACGGGATCTGACAGCGAGGGTGCCAACGTCACCAACCACTTGACAAGTCCAAAGCCGCCAGCCCTGCCCCCGACTTGTCCCGACAAGGCCATTCCGTCATAGTGTACCATATACTCCCTTTCTCAGAACTTTGGCGGTTGAGCTCTGACTCCCGCGGTTTCTTGTTTCTGGATCTCTTTTATCTCATCGTTACCTACCTACATCTTCATCATCTATCATTTTGCTGGTACCTCACGAACCCAGCACCCAGAGGCAACCCCAGCAACACGGTCAACACCACAACCTTCCAGATGGCCAGTGTGGGTGGTACGATGCAACAGTAATGATATCAATGATAATAACCATCGGACCCGGGGAAGAGGCGAATCTGGAGGAAAACAAGTGAGATTTGAGGAGGCAGAGCAAGAGGGAACAAAGGGGCGAGGGTGGGAGGAGTAGGGGGAGGGGGAGTAGAACCTTTACCTTGCGACGGATTATGCTCCCACGCAACATTTGATGAATGGAAGCCTTGCGGTCAGGAGTTGAATATGGGGCTCCTCAACACGATCTCGACCTACCTCCTGGCAATCTTCTGGCTTCCGAGACCCGATTATTGTGGGTAACAAGAGTGATCTGAAACCGAACAACTCCAGTTTGGAGGACGAGCAGGGAGACGTGAAAGACCAGTACCATTCTCGTCTCCTTAAATGCGGTGCTCTAACAGTACTACCGCCTATCAGTCCGAATTCGATAAAGTCAAAACTGAGAACGGAGGGAAACGCCAGACGCGGACCAAGTTGAAGCAGAAGAAGAATAACGTGGAGAAAGAGCTGGTAAGGCTGGAGAGGAAGCTCTTTTCCGTAATTGCTCGGCTAATCTGCAGAGTGGCTTAAAGAGTCCTGCCGTTAAAGGATGAGCATGTGGACTTCCCTTGTCATGATGGCCTACATCTACATTGACGCTGCGATTAGTGATCGAGCCTTGGGCAAGATGCTGGACACCTTGCAGACTAAGACTTTCCATTGTTATTCCATTATTATATAGTACTTTGTTGTTTCAGTTGAAGTATGTAACTGTCTTGGACTAGAGGGCAAAAGAAGTGTAGATGTGTGTGCTATGGAGAGGAAGTTAGAATTAAGAAGGAAAAGAAGTGTGGAGGGCTAAAATATAGGAAAGGTGTGAGGGTATGGATTTATACGATAAGATAAGGGAGGTGGGGATATGAACCCACCCGACAACAAACTGTTGTCTTCGCGTTCGATTTGCTGGTGGATTCCTGTATCTAGATCGAGGGGCCCAGCCTCCTGGCTCAGTGCTCTTTTTCTTCTTCTTCTTTTCTTCTTCTTCTTCTTCTTCTTCTTCTATAGGTAGTCAATCAAGTTCAAAACACTTCCGTGCCCCTCCCCATCGCTCAAAGTGTTTATTGTGACATGTCGCTGCTGCGCTATTGAGGACGACCGTGCCAACGAGCCTTGTCTTTCCCTGTGCCCTGGTAGTGTTTCTGATTCTCCGCCGACCCGACCGAGAGGCATCGAACATCTTCATCCTATGACCGCCGTTTGCGAGACCAGTTCTTTCCGTCTCAACAAGTTCATCTCTTTCTTGTGACTGAGAAAGAGGTTTTGCCCCCATTGCATAGCGGTTTCGATCCCTTCTGGCATCTTCCATCCATGTCCACTTCCAGCGAGCCCGCCCAAAGTTCAGTGAGAATGACACTCGACGATACCTCCCCAAAGCAAAGGAGTCTGCCTGGAAAACTGTGCAACATGCTTCTCCCCGTCAATTTCTGGCCCGGTATCAATTTTTTGGCTCCTTGGTAGTGGAACCTTGTCGGCGTCGCTCCCGTCACTCCACGCCAAGGCGAGAGGACACTCAGTGATATCACCACCAGACATAATCCCGCAAACGAACAAAGACATAACGGTTGATCTTTTATTATTTTGCTATGTTTTTGCCACCTTGCAAGTTTGGTGCATTGCAACGGACTTTGATCCATGCCGAGTGTCTGCCATGGGTCCATGGTTGGGTTGCGGCATGATCATGGGCAGCCAGCAAGATTGACATCACAACGAACAATAACGATGAACAGCAACAAGGCACAGCACAATGCAAGGCATTCATCGCTGTTTTGAAAGTAAGTCTTCATTGCTAAAGAGGAACTAGCTACGCTAACTATACCTCTACAGGTATCTACCTGTCGAAGTGAACAGAGGCAGCCGAAGATGCATCCCCCCAGCTATCAACCGCGGATGGTAAACTTCCACTTGACGAAGTACCGCCGCAGCCGCCGCAACAGGCGGGTGCAAATGGCCCGGCAGAGAGGATTCTGTGCGCTGGGCTTCTGGTCGGGGTATCGCGATACGGTGCTGTTGTTCTTCTGGATGAGCGCCCCGGAGCAGGCGTGGTTGAAGTACGTCCACGTGCGTGCCACATCCTCGTACATCGGTGTGCTCAGGTCGCCATTCTTCCCCCAGGACGGAGCGGCGTACCTGAGCCACCTGGCGAGCGTCAAGGCGCGCGAGCTGGAGAAGATGCGGGCCAAGCTGGAGGCCAAATTGTTGTTGTCGAACGCCGATGATGCCAAGAGGAGGTGGGAGAGGGTCGTCTTGGTCGCAAGGCAGGCGTCATGGTGTACCGCATATCGCAAGGGGATGCCGACGGTAAAAGTCAGGAACCAACACAAGACCAACATCGGGTTTCGGCTGAGCCATCCTCGGAATCCTTGTGGCAATTCTGTATGGCCAAGTACTTTTCGTAACTCTTGGGAGTTCGTTGTGTTCGGCTGAGCCATCCTCGGAATCATATCCTCGGCGGCAAAGTCGAAGTCGAAGTCGAAGAAGTCTTCCGGGAGTTCGTCTCGCTGGGCTCTGTTGCCTGTTGTTGGGGTCTCTGGGGGTCTTTCATCGTGCTGGGTTCGCGTCAGAGGCTCAGAGCGAGAACCATTTCGCTTGGACGTATTCTAAACGTCTCCACGGTTTCATGATGACGGGATCGTTGAATCTCGCGCCGCCTCTCATGTTGGTGGTGGCTTCCTCCATCTTCGATATGGACGTTGACTTCAGGTTCGGCACCAGGGCACCGGTGGGTAGCCGGAGGGAGCGGCGGCCCGGGCTCGTGTCAGAGCGAGAACCACTGCGCTTGTACAACGGAAACGCAATCACGGAGATCACCCACTGGAGAGGCTTCACAGCCCTTTCTAGGTAGAGGGTCAGCACAACCACGCCAGTGCAATTTGATGGTGTTGTAGAATGGAACAATGCTGGAATTGGAGAACCAGGACATACATGCGATTCTTGGTGCTGGCCCGAGGCTCCGCCGATCACCACTGACAACCTTGGAGCCGGTCTCTCCTTCCCCTTTCCTATCACATCTGCTTCCACCACGCTACTACATCTTTCGCGGCGGCCTTCTCCTCAGCAGCCTCCTCCTTCTCCTTCTTTTCCTTCTTCTGCTTCTTCTTGTCACCGACCTCCTCGGTCTTCTCCTCAGCCTTCCCAGTCTTCTCGGCCTTGTCAGGCTTCTCAGCAGCAGCAGCAACAGCAACAGCAGCAGCGGCAGCACCGGTGATCTCGGCGGGGACATCGGCGGTGGTGACAGGCTCAGTGGTGGCGGCGGCGGCGGTGATGCAATTGGTTCCGTTGCCCGCCGCATCGCCAGCGACACCACCGCCGATGTTGACACGCACGGGCGTGCCAGTCAGGCGCAGGCTCTTGTCCATCTTCACCCAAAGGCAAAGCCAGTAGACGAGCAGGAGCAGGAGAAGAGCCGGGATGATGTGTGAAAGGCGGCGCGACATGCAATGGTTGAGCATTGGGCGGCCGAGACAGTGCTAGGAGCACGACCAGCGTGCTGGGTCTTCTGGTGTGTTAGACATGGAGCGAACAAAAAAAACTGGAGGAGTAGATGGAGAGACTGGAGGAGTGGCGCAAAAAAAAGGACTGATGGACAGGAGAAAGACGACTGACCAGAAAATTCTGAAAATCCTGGGCGGCGCCGGGGTGCCTGGGGCGCGGCGCGATGAAGTCCCCTTACGACCGGCGAGAGAGCCGGTCTCTGCTGTTTTCTGTCAGAACGTGGACTTGAATCACACTCGGGCTTGACAAGCAGCGACGAGAAGCGACAGGGAGAAAAGCAGTGTCGCTCGATGACAACAAACTCACCTGAAATTCTGAAAATCCTGGTGGAGCGCTCTGCTGCAGAACAGGGACAACGGACTTGAACTATCGGCTTCAGTCAGATCGATGTCACATTTGGGCTAACGCTTCAACCAAGCTGGGCGGGCAGGTAGAGGACGGCGCCGTCGACGACGACAAGAGACTGGAACTAACCTTAGACGGCTTGGGAGCCGTGGGAGCTGACGGAAGCACTCTGCACCTTTTGTTGGTGCAAGCAGGACTGAAAGGAGGAGAGAAGTGTCAGTACGGCCTCAGAAGGATATGAGTACGAGGGGCACGGTCTGGAGGTGAGAGAAGGCGATGAGAGAAGACATACCCTTGATGCGGTCCCAAATCTCGTCTGGTTGCAATCGATGTGATGGTTAGAGGAGCACGAATCCTTGTTGGAGGTGGAAAGAGAGTGTGTCTGCTGTTGCAGTTGACGGAGGTGGTGAGAGAAGTTGTTGGAAGAGGAACGTGTGAAGAAGAGTGAGGGTCAGAGGTAGGAGAGGCAGAAGAGTGAGGGGAAGGAAAAAATCAGTCGAAGGAGGGAAGATTTGTGGGCTCTCCCGGTCCCGAAAAAGACACCTTGGGCAAGTACCTTTGCTATCTTGGATATGGCGCCACTTGTGACCGACTGGGAGCGCACATAGGCGTGGCTGGAGGCTCTGCTCCTTCCCTCTTTAACTCTCGGTTGACTCCCTAACGTTGAGTGACCGGCTCATGTGGACGAGCGACTTGCCCCCGGCAAGGATCCGTCCTCTTGTGCCGTCTGGTGACTCTTGTCTAGCCCCGTGTAATCTCAAATACGCTGTGGTTTGTTGCCTGTCGCGAGGAAGGAGGTGTGCTTCCCTCTCTAACTTGCGGTTCCTTCCTTACATCCAAGGCTGAGTGACTGGCTCATGTGGACGGGTAACTCTCTCAGGACAGGGGTACGTCCTCTTCTGTCGCCTCTTCTGACCCCGCGTAATTTCAGATACGCTGTGGCTGGTTCTCTTTTGCGAGGAAGGAAGTGTCCTTCGAAGAGGGGTGACGCAGCTGATCCAGGAGTCTAGACGGCGGGGTATTGCTCGTCGGTTCAACGTCTTTGCCGTGATTCTGTTGCTGGACAAGATGGTTCTCTTGGGATGTGGTCAATCCACACATTTACATCTTGTCCTGCTTGTTCTCTTCTTCTTCAATCAACAAGTTCACCACCATTCTTTTGTGCCTTGTGTCTACATTCACTCCGTTCACTTCGACACATGCATCCTTTCTTCCCCAGACATACAGCCTCTTTGAAGAGAACGTCCACTCCGCCACAAACGCACATCTGCCCTTATCTTTTGTTCCCACCAAAGCCACACCTCTACACTCCCTTCTGCATCCTTCCGTGCGGGAACCATGCAAGATCCAGGTACTGGCTCCGTGGGCGTCTCGAGATCCCCCAGCCTTTCAAGTACTCGATCGATGAGAAGCGCCGCATTCTCGACCGCCTCATCTGGTCTTCCAGCTTCGAGTCCTTCCTCGCCACCAAGTACCTCAACGACAAACATCACAACACTATTCCTCCAGATCCACCATGTCCTCCACCAACTCTTCCAACATTCCTAGTAGCCTGTCCAACGTCAGGCACCTCAAAACCAGAGGCCGCCTAGCCAACCTCAAACTTTTCAAGTTCCGACCGACAACCGACCCAGTTCTTGTCCTACCCACAGCTCACTCGAGCACACGATCACAATCGACGTCCTTGAAGGATATCGGGCCGCAAAGATGTCTGACAACAAGTATGTCCATGACCATGTCCCTAAGGTACCTCTACCCTGTTACCAGCAGCCGGCCATACCTCCGCTACCTCCGCAGTTGGATTCAAATCTCTGCACCAAGAGACTGCGACTGTCGTTAAGGATCGCATAAATGACACATGGCTGAGATCGTGATGCACGCCAAAGAAGTCGAGCACTAAAAGGGCTCAACCGAACAGGCATGCAGCCAAAGGGCAGGAAGGAGGCCGTGAACGTCATCATGGGCAAGGATGACCGTCTCCTTGTCGTTGTTGAGGTACCCACAACGTTATCCCTTTGGTGACGAGAGCGCTTGTGAAGGAACCAGACCCCCTACTTCCTTCGAGAAGACTCAGCCGTCTGAAGCACAGGAGACACCGAAGACAGGATTCCGAGGATGGCTTAGCCGAAACCCGATGTTGGTCTTGTGTTGGTTCCTGACTTTTACCGTGGGCATTGCCTCGTGCTGCCCAAGTACCTCAACTGAGTTCCACTTTCCCTACCTAGCGACGACTCCATCGCCAAGATGCAAAGGGCATTGGACAAGAAGTCGGTAGAGCCCGAGGTGAGTTGAAGCTGCGCTTAGGCTGAGAAGTGTCTGACATGCGCTAACTATCCCGATACTCAAACAGGAAACACCACACCAGCAGTCGGAGTCGGCCAAGGAGCCCGAAGTCAGGTTGACGATTGAGGAAGTGGAGGAGGAAGATGGTGCCATGCTGAACAAGTATAAGGTCACCGTTGTGATGAAGAAGCCTCATGCGTGATGTGGGCCGTAGGAGCTAGCAAAGGACAGATAGAGGGCATAATACAAACGTTGAGAGAACATCGCAAGCATCCACTACCTCAATGTTACGCAAAATGCATTACGAAATGGTACACGCAGAGAGATTTTGTCGAGATGCCTTGAAATGATCAAGTTGACCGCACCTCTAAGCATCCATGTCCATCAGTGACAAAGCAAGAAGTGGCTATGTGACATGCGCTAACTATCGCGAAACCGGAGCAGAGAACATTCCCCAGCGGTCAGTGTCGCCCGTCAAGAAGCCCCAAATCAAAATTGACGAAGGCGGGAGAGGAAGAGAAGAGAAGAAAGGAGGGAGAGAGCACCGCGAGGCAGGACAAGCAGATCAAGCACAATTATCCCTCTTAAGCTCCAGTCCGGTGAAGAAGCCCCAGGCATGATATGGGCCGGGTCGGGGTTACATGCCAGAAGCCCAGAGCACGACAAGAAGACCGAGCGCTGTCGGCAGCACAAGGCCTTCAATCAAATTCTGAAAGGAAGATGAAGAGGAGGATTAAACGCAAAGGAGGACGCGAGAAAGCAAAGCAAACAAGGAAACCTGGTTGCCACAAGCGACAGCTGATCCCACCGCAAGCTACGAACAACCTGGATTGCACAAACCGAGAGCGAGTGAAGTGGATGTCGGGAAGAGATGGGCAAAAGGATATCTGCTCTACAAGGACGACTAAGACGAAGAAAATGTTCACTCACAAAGTGTTCGAGTTCCTTTGGCTGTTTCTGGTTGCTGGTAAACCTCAGGAAGTTGTTGCTGGGTTGCGGATGAATAAAAGTCAAAGAGGTATGTACCATATCTATCTTAAGGCAGGTAGAGGTAGAGGTAGTTATTAGTACGTAGTTATAATGCTTAAAGATATTGGACTTACTTATAAGCAACCACGATTGTAAAGAGATGGAAAGGCAAGAGAGCATCAACATAGAGGTTGTCAACTTAATCTGGCCTCGGGATATGCTCATCTCAAGGCCCATATGTCACTACAATAGATGTCTCTAAAAAGTAACCAAATGTTATATCAGGTGGATATAAGCCATGGAGAGGAAAGTGTATAGGAAAGCTCATTGAAGTTGCATGCCATTTACGTACCAACTTGTGAACAAGCACAAGGCACATATAGATAGCATCCATGCCTTCTTTGAACACCAGCCTAGTTGACCGGTTTTGCATACCGTTCTGACCAGCTTTCCGGCCCATGAGTCCTTCGTTTTCTTGGATCGTGTGCAGGAATCCCTCCTTTCAAGGCAGCGTGAACTGTCCAAACATCAGGGGCATCGACCGTTAGCTCTGGACACCAAGGTCCCAAGGACAGAGAAGACAGATGATGAAACGGGATGAAAAGAGGACTAAAGAAGGCACTTACAGTCTAAAGGTTCATTTACGCCAAAGAAAAATGACCAGGGCTAAACTGAGATATGATATTGGTACACGAACAACCAAAGGGTTAAGGGGGTGCACGCGGAGTAAGTGCCCTAACAAAAACGGTCCATTATCGGCACTCGACCCAGCACGTTTGGCCCTTTGGTTCATCACCGGAGTGTCCATGAAGTCAACCAAAACGCGTGGAGAAAAGTTCCGGTATGCAACTTCACATCTACTACCTCTACTCTTTATAGTGTACCTCTAGAAACGGAGATAGTGTTGGTGAGGTAATTTTGAACTTCCTTGGCCCTGAGGTGGAAGCGTTAGCGACCAGCACGTAAGTGAGTTGGTCAACCCGAACAAAAGAGCACTAACAAAAACACACCGATATCGGCAATCGACCCTACATGTGCTGCCCTTTTTATCACCATTGGGGGGGTCTAAGAGGCAACCCAAACTTGTGAAGAAAAAGTTACAGATCTTAACTTTGTGTAAAAGAATTCTTTTGATGTACGATGAGTGATAATGTTCGTGATCCTGCCCTGAACTGTTCTGTCCCGGCGGTGGAAGTGTTAATGACACGATCAAGTGGGTCAAGCAGGATATGGGGAAGGGGAGCACTAACAATTAAGTCCCATTAGCAGTAACCGGCCCAACACGTTGTGCACTGTTTATCTTCGTACAACTGTCCAACAAAACAACCCAAACTGATGGAAGCAAGCGCCACACATTGGCTTTATGCTTACCAGGTTTTCTTGGAATATAAAACTTTTTAGCGCTGGTGACGTTGTTTTGAACTGTTTTGTCCCTGCCATGGAAGAGTTAGCGATCCGGATATTTTATGCTGTAGCACAACGGCCTGCTGACACTGGGAACATTCTAGACCGGCCCTGTCTACGTCAAGCGGCGCCACCAGAACGAAGACTCCCATGGTGCAGACATCGCTGTCAAGAAAAACATCGAGCCTTTGGAAGAATTGTAGCTGATTATTTCACGACATTTGGTTTCGTGGTGGTGTTGTGTTTCGGTAGGACTCGATGTGTGGTGGGTGTTGGTCATTCAGTGACCAGCGTGCACGGCCGTCATCAAGGCCAAAGGACGTTGGACGTGGACACTTGCTTTTTCCATTTGTTCGCACGAGACACCGTAGGAGTGAAATAAAGCGAAGGCTAGCCATATTGACCCCATCTAATTAAAGTGGTTAGCAGGTAGCATCGTATGTCGTCGATGAGGCTCTGCTGGTCGTTGTTGGAGGGAAGGGGGGAAGCCTGGCGGAGCACGTCCTGGGCAAGAGGCACAGCGCAGCCATGCAGCTTTGTGACTGGAGCCTCAACCCCTTTGGGGACTGTCACTCCCAACACTACTGCACAGGGGCAACAATGCTGCAAGATAAAACTCGGAATTAACCAGCAAGACTTACAATATAGACGATAGATCCATCCTTAAACCCATTGTGAACAACAGGGCAGTTTCCAGCTTCATACCTCTAGTCTCGAGACTGATGTGACGGAAAGTGATCCGCACGGCTCTCAATGTTAGTGCATCCACCTAAATCAAAGTCTACAGCAGCCTCGCAGCTTGTGTGTAGGGCTTGGCGCAAAACTGCGTTAACATGCCCTTGAAAGCCGATTTGACCCACTTTTCCCGCCTTGCCCGCATGCCGCATCGACGTCTTACATAGACGATTCCAGCCCACGACCAGTCACCCGTGAGATATTGAACGAACGGGAGGAAGCATCCCGCCCAAACAGGTTGGGATGAAAAGAGCAAGTACATCAAAGAGAAAGGGGTTGATGGCTCAGTGCCAGGCCACAATAAAGAACAAATACCTTACTTTGGTACCTTACCTACCTAATGGGCACCTACCTCTGCGTTGAGACACCCACCCGACCCGGGTCTCTCTGCCGAGTAAAGACTGTTCTGACTTCCGGCCTTCCGGACTCCGCAGGCAGCCGAACGGGCGTGCTTCAACCATCCATCGTCTCCAGTCGCTCAACCACATCAACCACATCAACCTCCCTCCCCGTCTACACCCACCCACCCTCCCCTAGTTCACTAGTTCAGGAAAACTCACCTACCAATACCAATACCAAGACTGCCCGGAGACATGTAGCTCTAACTAATTCCATTCCATTCATTCCATTCTCTTGCCAATTTCCTACCTCTACAGGTACGTAGCTGCCCGGTTGAAAGCCTCTCCTCGAGGTTATCTTGCCTATCTTGCCTGGGCAGGGCGTGCATTCCAGGTTCCGTCCCAACTTCAACGGAGCGCTTCACTTCACTTCACTTGCCATCCATAGAGGTACCCGAGCTCAGCTTTGCGTATGTATGTCCTCTTGCCATGCATGAACCCCGTTCGTTCAGGCTTGTATCTCTCTATCCTTACAGCTCACCGGACGCTAAAAAATCCGGCTAGGGTGTTAGTGCTTTTCGCGGGCGGTCCTTATACAAAACCCCGCACGCACTACCCAAATCATAACGCACGGCCCGAAAGTGCACTTTTCGCCCGCAAAAGAATTGTTAGGCCTAACAGAATTTCGCGCTTTTTCTGTTAGTGCACTCTCCGTCCCCAAACTTCGCGTTCGCGTCGGGTTCGCTCTAGGAAGCGCCGCGGCAGGTTTCCTGCCGCCCCGAACACTAGCCTCCATTTGCACCTCTATTTGCACTTCCATTTGCACCTCTATTTGCACTTCTATTTGGTTTTTCGTTTTCATTCGTTTAAAGGCATCTACATCTCTATTTGCACCCTCATTTGGACTTTCATTTGAGGGTAAAGGTTTCTTTATTCACCTTCCAGCTACAGTCCATCCCAGAATCCAGCTCTACGCGGGCTCAACCCAGGATCCAGCCTTACACCCTCAGGGAAGGGTCGAGGACAGCTTGCTGGCCTCCCCGAACACTAGTATGTAAGAACTTGATACTAGGCCTTTTGGGGTGGAATTATCTAGGTACGCGAAAGTTGATACATACCCCTAAAGGCGTGCACGCAAAGTACAAGGAACGACTAGGGTCATTCATAGACGCGCGCATGCGTGTGATGGATATACCTGCCGTGGCTTGTGAGTCGTAAAACGAATATGACTTTGGGATTTGGGGTTTCCTTAGTACCTACATTGAAGGCTGTACAAAATCCTGGGTTTCCCATTTCATGGGTTGCTTGCTTCCTGATGAGACTACCGGTTTGGTGTCGGTATGAGACGGTATGTATCTACAAGCAAGCAACCATGAGGCCACAAAGCCACCACAAGTTAACACCAAGCCAACTTTATATCTCCAGCCTTGGAGCTCCTCGGTCCCCCCTGTTCCAAAGTCTGCACCCTTGTTTCTCAATGCTTATTCCTTTCCTATGAACTGTGTAGTCTACCTGTAATTGTACCTATACATCTTTTCTAAGCATCCAGTCCATCCATGTTGGACGCCTTTCTCCTGCTGCTGCTGCCTTTCCGTTGAGTCCATGGATGGACATGGACACCAACCATCATCATTGCCTTTTGACCTAACCGTTGCAAGTACGCACCTCATGTAAAGGAATGCTCAAAGTCCTTCCTCCCACCTTCTAGTTATACAGTAAGAAAATGTACAAAAGCAATTTCTTCAACTCAACGAACGCTGCCCGTTTGCATACCTCTCTCTGCCCTCTACCTAATAGACCGACTAAGAGGAGGCATACAGTACCTAGTTATTCTTCAGGCATCATTTTGCGAGAGGAAACACGAGGAGACCGACCTAGATATCAATCTCCCCATCAGCAATAGCCAACCTCTGCTTGGTAGTCTTAGCCTTCTTGCTTCCACCCGTCTTCCTCTTCTTCGCCGCTCCCACTGCTCCCTTTGCATCTGCACCTCCCTCTCCCGCAGCAGCAGCACCATTAGGCGTAGCGGTCCCACTGCCCTTGATGTTATTCCCGCCATCATCAAAGTTACCCTCGCCTGTTTGTTATCGTTAGCCCCACATCCATACCATCTGTACCGGAAAAAGAAACGGAAAACTCACCCTCATGATACATCTCATCCAAACTAACCTCCTTCCCCTCCCCTCCTGCTCCGCCCCTCTTCCTCTTGTTTCCTCCCCTACTCTTCTTCTGCAACTTATCCAACTCTCCACTTTCGAGAAGCTCGCGCTCTCTCTTCTCAATCATCTCCGCCTGCTCGTCATCCGCCAGCCACATGGCGATATCGCGGTTCCTGTTCTCGGGCGCACGACGACCAGAGAAATCGACGCCTCCGCCAGCGGCCGACGAGCCACCCGTGATAACCACGCGCTGGACTTCCTCCTTCTGCATAGCGCGCTTGCGGATACGTTCCTCGATCGTGCCCCTGGTGATAAGGCGGTAGACAGTGACTTGCTTGGTCTGGCCCAGACGATGGGCGCGATCCATGGCTTGCGAATCGATGGTCGGGTTCCAGTCCGAGTCGTAGAAGATGACGGTGTCGGCAGAGGTAAGGTTGATGCCCAGACCACCGGCACGAGTAGAAAGCAGGAAGATGAAGATCTCGGGACGGGTCTGGAAGTCGGAGACGGTGTCGCGGCGGTCTTCGAGCTTGGTGGAACCGTCGAGACGGCAGTACTTGTAGTTGCGGTAGGTAAGGTACTCCTCCATGAGGTCGATCATGCGGGTCATTTGGAAGTAGAGGAGGACGCGGTGGCCGTTCTCCTTGAGCTCGCGCAGGAGCTGGTCCAGCTTAGCGAGCTTGCCCGAGTCGGTTACGAAGCGGCGCATGGAGGGGACGGTGATGTTGGTGAAGCGTTGCTTTTCCTTGTCTGGTGCAGGGAGCAAGGCTGGAGGAGGGTAGCGTGATGGCGGCACCTTTTGTACGACGAGTGCCTTCTCCTCGGCTAGGGTAGGTCCAAAGAGGACCTTGCGCATGGGCGCATTAAACATGATGTTCTCGCGCTCAACGACTGAGCTGCGGCTGTCGCAGACAACCTCGATAGGGGGAGCGGAGGTCCTTGGAGCAGCAGCCTGCTCGAGACGACCGAGGCCAGTCTCAGAGAATGCACTCCGCGAGACGTTCATCAAGCTGCTCAGAACGCCTTGCTCAGTGATATCAGCCAAAGGCTTCAGATCCTCGCGTTGCCTAATCTGGAAGAGGGCATGCGCCGGAGAAAAGTTCAAGTCCTCAGGCTCATCATAAGCGATCTTGATCTCCGCAAGACGGTTCTTCTTGGTGGACATCTCAACAGCTCGAGCAAAGAGATCCTTGTGACTGGCGCGGTAGGCCTCCTCGTAGCTCGTATCGGCAAAGCGCAGCCAAGAGAAGTTATCAGTGCCAGCCAGGCTCTCACGAATGTGCTCCGGAGTCCAGATGTTGAACTTCTCGTTCAGCCACTGGTTCCGCCATCCGGCGACCTGATTGTCTTCACCAGCCTTGTACAGCCGTCCTCCGTCGCGCCAGAGCAGTCTAGGCAGCTCGTACTGAATCAAGCTGCGCGTAGAGTAACCGACAGTAACCTGATTACCCTCACGGATGAACGAGGCCGTCTCGGCAAAGTAACCGAACGAGTACGGCGAAGCGGTATCCGCACGCTCAAAGAGGTCAGGGTGATTGCACACCTTACGGAACTGCATGACGAGATTCATGAGACTAGCAGAATCGTCGTCGCCCAGTGTCGCCTTCTCAATGAGATCCATGATGCTGATCTGGTTGCGCAGGTTCGCGTACATGGCACGCTGTCTGTACGTGAGATCACAGAAGACGTCCAACTCGATCTTGTCGCCAAGTTCCTTTTGGACGTGCTTTTTGACACGACGCAGCATGAAGGGTTTGAGGATCATGTGCAAACGCTTCAGCTGGTCTTCGTTCAGCTTGGTATTACTCTGGGCATGAGATTCAATGTCCTTGGAGAACCATTCGCTGAACTCGTCGTGAGAATCGAACAGTGAAGGCATGATGAAATGCAGCAGGGCCCAGAGTTCCTGCATGTTGTTCTGGATAGGCGTACCCGTCAACAGGAGACGGTTACGGCAGTGGAAGCCCAACAGGCACTTCCAACGCGAACTTTGCGAGCTCTTGATAGCCTGGGCTTCATCAAGAATCATGTACTGCCACTTCATCTTCTGGAAGTACGCAACATCAGAGACAACAAGCTGGTACGAGGTAATCATAACATGGAAGGGGGCGTCCTTCTTGTAAGTCGTGTGCTTGCGATCCCAGAACTTGCGCAGCACCTTACGGTCGCCCGCAGTACCCCAGTAAGGGAGCACTTTGAACTGGGGAACGAACTTTGTGATTTCCTGCTGCCAGTTGTGCAGGGTAGACGCAGGCGCAACAACCAGGAAAGGTCCCCAGATATCGTACTTCTCGGCAAGGTAGGCCATAACGGAGATAGACTGCACCGTCTTTCCTAGA